TCTAATTATTACCTACTCTTGGTAATGTTGAGAGACACATAAAATTAATTTCATATCTTCCGTTTTGAATTACCACAAATTGTATTGGTCACCTCCAGTGTCTTCTAAACATTAGCATGATATACTTTTTAATGTCACAGATTGTTAAACTTTATGTTAAGGTTACAAAACAAACCTCTCAAACTTATAACTAAATTCATCATGACAGAAGACATAGACTATATCTTCAACCAAAACATAGTGGCCATCTTCACATTTTGATACTCCATTCAACGTTTAAATCAGTTACTGTAATCTGTCTAATACTATTGAAATAAGGGTACAAAACAAAATGTCATTATAATTACATTCTCATTTCAGAGCCAGTACAAATTACATGTATGATGCTAGCAAAATAAAAAATAGACCATGGATAGATGCATTTCTCCTCTGCCTTCCTTGAAGTAACAACATACAATGTATACTGAAAACAACAGCTAGAATGACAGGCCTCAAAGGACAGTTCTTGCTCAAAGACAGCTCCAATTGTTACATAATAAACGCAAATGTCAACCCATATACCGTAATTAAGAAATTTTCGGATAATTTTAATTTTCGGATGGGTAGAAAAATTCAAGTTAAAATTTTAAACAATTAAATATTAAAATATTTGGGTAAAAGGAATTTCGGTATCCATGGCATGTGGCTTAACTTTAGCTGTCTTCAGTACTTCTCTGTGCCCTCTACTTTTTCTTTTTCGCTCATGCCCACTCTCTCTTGGTCTACCATTGAGCTCCTTGATGTCTTTTCAAATTCATTCACTGTTACTCCTTAATATTGGAATTAAACTTAATTTCGAAACAAGATTGCTATCCGAAAATTAAAATTATTAAAAATTAATTATCCGATTTATTTTCTAATTGGAAATTTCCCAAATTACGGTATGTATCCTAGTGATGTATACTAAAATGCCCCATTTCTAACACCGTTCATTCACTCTAATGTCCATGGCCATGTAGCTAGACCACTTTCCTTTGCACAGCATGTAGCCAAATTGGGCTATGTACAATGCACACCTCAACAGTTCATTACTATTCTTTGTGACGGTTAAACATAGTTTTGCTGACAAAATTTTCGCCTCTCGCGGCTCATTATCATTATTAAAATTACTTTTGTGATGGCACAAATTAATGTAAGCTTTTATTTTTTTCACTGTATGGTCTATGGCTTAATTGGTTAATAGCCTATCTTCATGTCAAAAACTCTGCATTTTTATGTAGTACAGTCCTTTTTCCTTAGTTCAAATTCTATCTAAAGATATAGGTTGAATGGATGGGCCTCTGAAAATGGACATTTTGGAAGTTCATGTCTTATTGTACTAAGTGCTTGTGATAATATAAGTATCCTATCCTCATGTAGCTTTTTGGTGCATATTCTCATACTAGGACTTGTTTAGTTTTAGTTATTCTAAGCAAGTTATAGGTTGATTAGACTTCACAATTATCACGCACATTAAAAAAGGACACTTTTACTCATTTTTACAAAGCAATCATACCACAGTTTTAACAATGTCAAAATTCAAATCATGAAAATCATGAAGTAAACTTCCAGTTACAGTTAAAGCTGTATATTTGCCTTGGAGCTTAATGCTTCCAGCTACATATAATCAGGCAGTTCTCTTAGCCATTTCCATAAAACGGCTAAAGGAGATTAGAAAAGAGATGATTACAAAGTCTGTAGGGACATACTTACTGTAGACGTATATTGATTTGAATAGGATCATGTGATCATTTTCCATTTTATGTATACATACTCATTACGTAGTTATTAAATCTATGATTATACTTGATGGGGCATAGATAATACACCTCATTTCACAATTTCTGTTCAATATCAAGACCTATGTTTATCAATTTTGATAACAGTCAAAAGGGATAAGATTGAAACAAAATTGTTCAGTCATAAATGCTGTTATCATATTAAAGCCATATTCTAAATATTTGTGAAAAGAAGAACATATAACAAAATCCTGACAAATAGACCTTTTTGACTACATAAAATAGTGGAGGGCTTATCGACTAAGAAAAGGTGTACCTACATGTAGCTAGAACCTAAATGTTCCATTTTCAAAACTTACTATAAATATAATTTGTATGACTTTAGTTCAAACAAGGAACACAAGTACACAAAAACTACAATCAGCCCTCGACTCACTTGATTTCATCCCAAAGACATGACCAGCTATAGCTTATTTCTTCCCCTCTATATCTATTCACATAATATGAGACTTCATTTTTTTCATCTTCCTGAGTTAGTGATGAGCTATCGCTTTGCCTCAAGCTCTGCCTCTGCTCATTCGAACTACCATGAAACATTACTACTGCTGTAGGCTTACTAGTGACATAACCTAGCTGAGTTGTGTAATTACCACTCACCAGCCCCTCCCCTGTTGATTTATTAATGACAGGGAGGGGCAACATAAAACAAAAATTAAAACATAGAGTACAATCATATTAATAATCAATGTTTTTAATTACAAAATTTTTAACCAAGTCTTGTAAAGACTGCATGTTCCCCTAGCCTTTTTCCTAAAGGTCCTTTTGTGCCCAATACAGTCATGCCTCCCTTCTTGAGACGGGCATGAACATCAGAATGTTTACTAAATGTATCAGCAACCATAGTAGGTGTACAGATATCGCTGCCACTTGAAGTCAATTCTTCTCTTTCACCAAGTCGACTATGAATAGTTGAGGCACTTTCACCAACATTAGCATCAGAGTAAAGTCGAGCAGTTTTAAAAGAACCAGAAGAAAGTAACTGTTCTTCATCCACTCTCTTTCCTAGTCTACTCTTAACACTAGTTTTCTCAAAAGGCCTATCACGAACAGATGCTGGTATTTCCAACCGGGAAAAAATTGATGACCTCACATCTACAAAAATAATATATCATTTACATGAAATATATGTACATGACAATGTACACATGAGCACCTGCTGTTGGATTATGAAAACAGCCAGCAGCTTCTAGAAACCTCTTGCTTCTCTGAATTCCACTACCAGAAGAATTTTCTTCAAGACCTCCTCTTAAAGACGAGAAAACAATCCTATTGGTAGGCTTGTTGAATGAATCATTTTGAGCAACTTTAAAAGGAGATGGCTGAGTTGCTTTTCTCTGAAAAATAAACAAATGCATTTAATTTTAACATGTACAGTATTTCAACCAATTTAAGCAATATAAAATTATTTTGTTTAAACCAAACCAAGCAGAAAAGCACCATTAAGATTCAAACTGCAGCATGACCAGATAGGGATTTTAAATTTTGAAGGCACAATCACTATACAAGGAGAGTGATCACACCAATGCTGATCTATGAATTAAATTTAATACATGTATGCTAAACACAACATGCAATTAATCTTAGACTACAATTAATGAATGAGCTGTTACAAAAATTCTGTATTCAAAATAAAGATAGAATTTAATGATAAACAAACCTTCATCCTATCTTCATAAGCTGATGTAGTATACTCTTCATGTATCTGAAAAAAAGCTGAAGAGAAAGGGAGGAACTAAAACTAACCAATGGGTCCGTTTCCTCATGAATTAACATTCGGTCTGAATGAAGTGTTCCAACTTCAAATTTTTTTTCAACTACTTCGTCATCCTTAACACAATTAATGACAGAAATAAAAGACATAAACTTCAGTAGAAAAATAAGCAACAAAGCATACAACAAGTACACTAAGATGTCACAAGGCACAAAATCATACTAACGATATTAAGTTAAATTGCTGGATATGCATGTAAATGAAGCTATGGTACCCCAGATAAATTTGGCAAGAAAAGTTCTCCGCTCCCTCATGGAAGGGGCTAAGTCCAAGCTTAATTTACATGATTGCACTGCATACTAAAAAGCCATTCAAAAACAGCTCAGCAAGTGTCACTTCAATTTACAAAGAATAGCTTAACATGTCATTCATACCAAAATTATCAATGGCTACAAGGAAATACATGTGTCCATGTGGCACCAACATGTACAAAACAGATTCAACACCAGTAGAACAAAGAGTACAACTAAAGGCTTGAAACTACAAACTACATTGTAAAACTAAAGCTATTTGAAAAATAAGAACTACATGTAGAACAACACTAATGTACATGTACATGTATTTTAAATCCTTTTATTCAAAAAATTCCTCCAAAAAATAGAAGGATTAATTTTCCTGTTACAATGGTCCATTTACGCAGAAAAATTTGTGACAACTTGAATATGTTTCTAACAACAAAAATATTAAACAACATGACATAATTTACTGAAAATACTTTAAAATATGTAATTCAAAAAGCCAAAAACTAATCCAAATAAAGTATATTTCCAATGCATTTATATGTGCAATGTACCTTTCCTGGTAAATTGGCAGTTGAAATTTTCATCTCTGAAGATATTTCCACTGTATCTTGTTCAAGTGCTGTATAATAATTATGTATAAGAAAATGTACATATATACATGTATATCTATATGAAGGTATTTTTCCCATATGTACCTGGAGATGCAGTAGACGTGACTGTGACAGCAGGAATAACTTTATTTGGTTTCTTTGATTGATAATTCATTGTGCTTGGTGATTCCTGCTGGGTAAATGGTAAACAGTATATACATGTATGACTAAAGGCTATTCACACTTGGAACTTAACGTAAGGTAAGACGTTAAGTTAAGACAGAAGGTGTTGTACAAATAGTAATGGCCAAAGTTAACTAAACATAAATATAGTAATAATTTCTATCGTTATGTTAAGTTAACCATGACCATTGATTTATACAACACTTCCTGTCTTAACTTAATGTCTTACCTTCTGTTAAGTTTAAGCATAAATCAGCCTTAAGTGTAGATCATATTAGAATGTACATGTACATTGTATGTCAAAAGAAAACAAAAGCTTTTAACAAATAAAGTAATAAACTAACAGCTTGAAGATGAATCTTCTTAGCATATTTCAGGATAGCAATGATGTCACCAACTACGACAATTCCTACATCATGAAGTATGTCCTAAAAAAACAACACATAACAAAGCCGCTTGCTTCCACTCTAAAATTACAAAAAGTTGTACATCCTTCCACACAGATATGCACTGTTTGCATACAACAAATTTTCTATCACACAATGAAATATGAAAATTAGGAGTCATATGAGACTTATAGTCTCGCGTAGCCAGACTCCTCCCCTTTTTGACTTGGGGATGGCGGGGACAGAGTCTGGTATACTGCCCTACATTAACTTGTTGATAGGGCAACTGTCGGCCTTGGTCAGTGTGACTGACATCAGGCAATAAAGACTAATTAAAGAGGTATAATCAGAAAAGACGGACGTGCATGGCTACACAAGATGGCTGACAGTCTTCCTTCAGCTGTGAAGAATTTTCTACCCATTTTGGCATTATTCTTAAGGAAAAGGCTTTCTGAAGCTGCTGTTCATTTGCATCTATGACTATCTCTTTACCTGACTGGATTATGGCAACCCTAACACGTGCTTTTGGGTCTGCAAACGACTTTTTCATACATCATATGAATTGTTGTCAATATTTTATGCTTACTGTATAGGTAGGGAGGTAGCATTGCCCAGAGTGTGATTTAAAGGAAGTATTAAAGATTTACCAGCCACAACAGCCTTTGGAATAAAGTACAGATGACGAGTATCCTACAAAATGTCATTGCAAGAAGTCTGTACTGAGTCAAGGAGACTATTTTAATACCTGTTGTGACACTTGCTGTACATTGCAATTAATATTTCTTGATTGCATGTGTATAATTTAGTGTGTTTTTGCATGTCAGGACTGATAATAATGGAACAATTCTTTCTACACTTGCAACCATGCAAGTCACTCTCTATACTTGTAACCATGCAGGTCACCCTCAGAAGATACAACTTAGCAGTGTTACTCCTCCTTTTAGCCTTCCACGTACCACTAATGACAGTTTAAAGCAAAGAAAAGTTAGAAAACACAGTTAACTGTTCTTATCGGCCATATTGAATTTGTTGCAACAGGCACACCCAAGATAATTATATTAATTATTAACGACTGCCATTATCCGGCACAGCTTCCCAATTCTAACTTCACTTCCTTGTACAACTTTGATATGGGCAGTATAACAGACTCCCTCCCCACCACCCCCAAGTAAAAAAGGGGAGGAGTCTGGCTACGCAAGACTATATGAGACCTGCAGTGGCAATTGTTACTGCATGCCTTATGACAGTTTCATGCTGTCAAAATCATAATGTATACTGTAGGGTCATGCTGGTAAAACAACTAAAAGGACACATGCACATGTACAAATAGCTTCTAAACTACTACTTTCAACAAATATATATCTGTAACAGTTCGAGCCATTTTGCAGGTACCCCCTTCTTTCTCTACTTTTTTCAATTCTATCATACTATTTTCCCATTTTTAATGTTTTTTGGTTGCTTACATATACTATTACATGATGGTCGAATTATACACAATTATTCTACTTTATTTAAATCAGAAAGCATTTCCCTAGTGATACGGTTGTCTTCAAATAGAGACGAATATCTAAAAATGGGAACTTTAGCACGTGTTTCTTTCAAGATACTCACTTTTCTGCCAGAGGAGAAGGTATACCAGCATCCTTGAAAAAAGGTAACCATGAAGACATTTTGAACCATTAAAATAGCACACCACGCCCCCAATTTAGAATTGAATTAAAAATAATTATTAACCATTATTGTACACATTGATGATAGTTATGCATAATAGAGCTATCGTAGTTTCTTATAGAGAACATATGCCGTTGGCAATCCAAACATTATGACTACAATTGTTAAAGGTAGCCATAAATATGTTTTCCTGAACAGTAACTGCAAAAATAAAAAATTAATAATAATGAAAGAATATCTTTACTGATCTTCCACGAAGACGAGTCTCACTATCAGGTACCCTCTACAGTAAAAAAAATGCTATAATTAATACAAAAAAAGTAGCTACACTAGTGTACAAACACAATTGACACACCTTCGAGTTGAACACTTCTCTTGCAAATGCAACCATTAGAAATGCAAATTAGGACAATACATACATTGTCACATACATGTAAACACTAAAACTCATTAAATTCATAGGATCTCTTTCACAAATAGGGGACTAATACTGTGTTAACACTATCAAAATTGCTACTTGTCAAAATGGCATGGTTCTGTTCCAATAATGTAGTGGAAAAAGTACATATACAATGTAAAAGTACACGTACATGTAAATGTAAATGGAAACAAACCACACAACTAAACTTAAGTGGACTCCTGAGTCCTGAGATAGTACAAACCTTCTCTAATAATAACGTAGCAATGTCTCCTGTTTGGTGAAAAAGATTAACTGCTTCTGCATGAGTAACAGATGTCAGATCATGACCATCAATCTAAATGATAAAATAAACAATAACATCTGAGTAATTTAAGGAATTTTGTGAATACAAAATCTGATTACTTTCATAAGGATTTTCAAATGGCTTGAGCAAGATCAAGTGAAATAACCAGGAGATACATAATACATTAGCAGAATTAACTGCAAAACAAGGCCTTCAATCACAAAAATCAGGAAACAAATAATTTTAAAAACAATTAATATATTTCTTTCCTGCTTTAAAGAATGAAATGGAAATTTTGACTTTTTACACAATTCATTTAATTTCTAGCTACACTATATGTACATGCATGCTTAATGTGACAACTTAAAATCACATAAATATTTATATTGTGCCATGAAACCTAAATACAGAAACAACATTTTACTAAATCAAACATTGTTCCAAGTAAAGTGCTGCCCCTGTACATGTACATGCACTTGAATTCAAAAATTTGTGGCCAATTGAAAAATTGAGTTTTCAATTTTCAGAGGTAACCTAGCTTACATGTATGATAAACTTGTAACAAAAAGTGTATGCATTATGCATTATGCTTTCACTGCATACATCATTTGTTGCATACTTTCAATATCTTATCACCAATAAAAACTCGACCACTCCGTGCTGCAGCACCATTAGACTTGATAGAGGTTACAAATATTCCATTTCTTAAACCCTCAACTTCTTCATCAGTACCACCTCGTATAGTAAAACCTAAACCTAAAAAGGTAGCATTCATAAATACACTGCATATGTATTTTTACTTCTCCACATCATAAAGAGAATTAAGGGATTGAGTGAATTATAAAATAATTTTTTAATACTATAGTGTACCAAACCTTCCCTGGAAAAATTATACCCTATGAACAAAATTCTACTTTCATATGAGCTGGCCAATAATGATAAAATCACTATCACAATATTTTTCTCCAGATAGTGAAACTATCACTGCATAATAGCTTTTATGAGTTATAGCTTAATCAATAAACTTTATATCGCAATGATATTGCTCAACAATACAATAAATATACCACAATGTTGTCCTTGTATGCATTTTATACATGTACAAGGATACCTTATAGCTTGATGTGTTGTTTAATAACTAGTAGGCATTACTATTTTTCAAGTTTACAACACTGAACACTATATCAAGCATCACTTGCTTCAAACATTGCCATAGCTTGAAATGTGGTCATAGCACTAAGAATGCCAAGTCTTGCTGGCCAGATCTACTACCGTAAGGGGGCACCTTTTTTAAGGGCTTTAAATTTTGCGAATTGGCCTAAAAATCTATTTCGTGGATTATTTTCGCGAAGTTATGCCGTCTGCCAAATTGTACCATAAAAATTTGATTTTTGCAGAAGTAATTTTTATGAATCTTTAAAAAATTGCAAAATCTGCATAATTTATAGTCCTAAAAAAAAGGCGCCCTACGGTATCATGATAGTTTACATGTAGATACTACTATCACATCAAAATAGCTTCTATACTATTGCAATAGTTAATGCTAATCAAAACTATCACCTAGCTCTACTTCCATCCATATGTAATTTTTCAAATAGAAGGCTTTGAGTAAAATAAATTAAAAAATGAAATGATAAATACTGAATTGAATCGATACATTGTACATTATGTTTCTCTCCCACAAACAACATCAAGAAAAACAGGCAATGACAGGTTTTCAGTTTCCCTTTGAAAAACAGTACGCTAAAGTACATGTAAAATCACAAGTAGGCCACATGCACTGATTTGAGACACACAGTATTATCATATGAGGCAACTTTGTCAGTAGGATTCTCAAAACTTCCTTAAAATTTCAATTTTTGAAGAGGTGCTACTGCACAAAAAATTTTGCTTCTACGGAAACTTGGTTATTAAACCACTAATTCTGCCAGTTACATACAGTCCATATCTTAAATAATAATTGGTTAATATATTGGATTCTTATTAATTAAGACCTATAGAGACACTATCAACCTTATTATGCTTCTAGTGAACAATAAGGGGTTGACAATAAGCAGACTTGGGGTCAAATACAAAGTATCCGTATTTTACTGGGTTTACATGTAAATATTAAGTTTAAAGTATCTGTATATGAGAGATTCAAATTCAATGTACATGTACATGTATTTGTATTTGCATTTAAAAGACCTCCATATTTGTTTCAAAGCACTGCTGACTTTGTACATGTAGAAACATGATCACTTTACTTTAACTTATACGTATAGTACAAGTACACTGCCAAAAATTATCATTCTAATACAGTACTACTGCCTCACATCAATGAATCACAAGCCTGAATACTTGACTGATACAGTCCTGATAGGTTATCAGGGCTGTATCCAGGCTTGATTCATTAACTTTGGGCAATACCATAAATCTGGTATATTTCAAGTGATGGTAATTTTCATAGCAATGTGGCATACTAAATTTAGAATTGCTAATATTTCCTTTTCCCTATTTACATGTATATATTGGGATAAATACATGTAGGTATACTTATAGCAAGAGTAGATGATAGTTAGAGAGAGTGTCGAACTGCACTATGCTATCTGGAATATGACCGCGTAGAACTTTCTTGCACATCTTTGGGCATTCCCGCATACTGGGTGTGGCTGAGAAGAATAAAATGGCTGCCTAGTTTGCTCAACAAGGTTTACTGGCCGTTTTGGAGTCTCTGCTGTAGCTGTACTGCATAACAGGCTTCAGCAGGATTATAAAGTGTACTAGTATGATGTCTGCAGCTTCTTCAAGTGTTCTCCACTGTTCCTTATGAAAACTTCTACACATGCTTTTAGTAGGTACACCCACGCTTCAGGTCTCACGTGACTTAGTTCTACGCAGTCATATTCCAGCTAGCATAGTGCAGTTCGACACTCTCTCTAACTATCATCTACTCTTGCTTATAGGTAGCATATGAAATTTTCAAACACCATTCCGCATTGAAAATAACTAGATTTACAGTAGTACTGCATCGGCATAATATTTCTTGGCTATGTACCTTAACACTTTTCTACCATGCTTTACCTTTGCAGGTATATTTTTTGATCAATATAGTGTCAGCTTAAAAATAAAATTTGTCATCAATTTATAATTACATGTATATTTATTTTATCAAAATGATGTATACAGTTTTACATGTACATGCCTTCAGTGGTATTAGAAGACTGTTACAGGTACACAAAACTTGTTATCCTATAAAACAATTCAAGAGCAAAATTTTCTTAGCGTGTGGAGAAAATGAGTGTTAAGAATTTCATGCCAATGCAGCACCATATTATGAAATACCATGTACTATAGCCCATGCTCTTTTGCCAAATTTTGAAGCACATTTAAAACTTTTTTTAGATGGGACGTATGCAGCTCTCCCCTCATATTTGGCTATACTGTATTACTTACTGTAAAATTAACTTTAAAAACAACACAATATAATGTGAGGTACATGACTAAATTATCACAGATGTAATCAATGGGAGGATATGGCTACCAATGGTAAAAAAAGTACATGCACATAGTGGAATGGAGAAAAAAATCTGAATAAATATTTCAGTTGACATTCCAGGCTGGAGAAAGGTAGGGGATGAAGATAATGAGTGAAAAACTCTTAATAATATTCTGCAGGAAATTATAATATATCTAATAAAAATCCCAGTTTGTTGCTATTCCCATATTTGTTGCATGCATATTCTTGGATTTCTTGCCACTGAACATGGCCTATGGTGACAAGTTACATGTAGCTCTACCATCCCTTTAATAAAAGTTCATGCAAAAGCTCTATAAATCCCAGATATAAGATGAATTCCATCCAGCGGGGTTGATGGGTACAAGCACAACCAACCAAGTAAAAATCAACTCTACACCTATGCCACAAGTGCTGTTAACAACTGCACAATTCTGTTTTGCTACCACAAGTGCTTTGCTTTGCTACTGAAAAAAATTTTTTGGTATACTATACACTTCATTTCAAGATCCCAAATAGAACCCTTACTCCATCAGAAATGCCATAATTATTAAATATACATACAGCATATCTACACACCAGGAGCTTTCAATTTTTGCACGTAGGTGAACATGGCTACACCTACATGTAGTCTTTCATTTTTCAATGTTTGAAAGCAAAACAAGATACAGTGAACACAAAGGACTCTGACAGGTGTCATACTAACCTGTTGTCTGCTTGTCTAACACTACTGTCTCTTCAATAAACTTAGACTTTGACATAGACATTGAATTCGTATGGATTTGATAATTTTAAGAGGTGGTCCATGGGTGTGGCAAATTTAGGCTGTGTTAAAGTGTGTTTGTGCGCATGCGCAAAACGACGCACATTCTTCAATTTTGCAAAAGCAAGGAGGAGGCCATTTTTATTTCTACTTTTGAATTGTAGTGAGTGAGTTTGTAAATTTTGTCATAGTGGATAGTTGTTAGGACCTATTTTGTTCATGTACTGTTGTATCCCCTTCCTTAAAAGTTTCTTGTAGACAAATTTGTTGGTTGTAGGCGTGGCACTTTGCTTTTAATTTGTATCTTCTTCTTTAGACATCATGTCTCGTTATAGCCGTATTTACATTGGCCGTTTGCCGTATCAAGCCAGAGAAAAGGATGTGGAACGATTTTTTAGAGGGTTTGGAAGAATAAGGGACATCAACTTAAAGAATGGCTTTGGTTTTGTTGTGAGTTTATGTTTCTGAAATGTTATATTTAATGTGAACTATAACATACGCCACATCAGGGTTATTTTCATTTCTCATCATTTTTCACTTAACGAAGTGTAATGGTTTCTTTAGAAAGCATATCCCTTTAATTTTGTGTTACTAATTTTTGTTAAAAGTTGGTTGTCATGCAAAAGAACATGTGCAAGATCTGTGAAGGAAGTTTGTGCAAATTTTTTGACCATGATAATGCATTTTTAATGTTATCAATATGTACATTAAGCTTCTTTGACTGCTAAAATTTTGTATTCTGCAGTACTTATTATAGACCACCCAGAGTGAGAATTGCTTGCGTGGGAAGATTATTATGTTTGTAAGGCGTGGTTTAGGATGAAATAAATTCCGACTACTATTTTAGTTGGCAACTTTCAATGGAGAACAAACGGGCCAACATATAAATAAACCTATATTAAGAATTCTGGAGCGAATTTGACCAAATCTTTGACAGGAAAAGCTTAAAAACAGCTGTTCTTTCTTATAACAAGCTCTTTTTAGCTTTTGATAGAGCCACAGCAGGTGATTGAGGCATTTTCTTTGTGCCTCCATAGACTTCCTTAACAAACTTGCCAACCAAAATGGCAGCCAATTATGACGTGTAGGCTGATACCATGTATATAAAATTAATGAAATTTATAGCTCTTGCAATTCTCACTCTGGGTGATCATTAGAAGCAAAAGCTCAAAACTAATTGCCAGCGATAATTTGTTAAAAGTGCGGTCAAGAACCTAAATATTTCCCTTTTGTATTTGATAGTGAACTTGCACCATACATGTACATTTACTAACGTTGAGTGGTTTCTAGTGTTCTGACATCTAAGGAATGTAAAATGTTGTTTTCCTATTGTTTGTTCTGTTGATAATTTTAGTATTTCCATGTAGTGTTGTGAAGACATACATGTATGTACATGTACCTGTACAATGTTTTTACTGCACATTTTTTGTATTTGTTGCCTGAGCTTGGCACACAACTGTTGACTTACATGGCATAGTTGTAATGTGTATATAGTGATTGCCTGGTTGGTATGCCTGCATTGTACATGTACATGTATATTAAGTTATAAGAGAAGTATTGTTAAGTTGTAGTATCTGTCAATTAGGCACATGTTTCATTTTCTTTCTGTTTTACACAATTCAATACAGGAGTTTGATGATTATCGTGATGCTGAAGATGCTGTATACGAGTTGCACGGCCGTGAACTCCTTGGAGAAAGGTAAATTATTTTCTTTTTTTTTTTTTAATCACTGTCACATTCATTTTTGGTTTGTAATAGTGGGAAATGCAGACTTTAATTTAATAGTTTTTGGTGTATATAGTACACGTTCTTCCTTTTTAATGGTTGTTTAGAGTGATTGTTGAGCATGCCCGTGGTAATAGAGACAGGGATGATTACAGGGATAGGAGAGGTGGTGGTCGTGATTTCCGTCAAGATCGTGGGCGTGATGGACGCTCTAATGCTTCCAAGTAGGTGTATTATTCAATGATCATTCATTGATATACAATGTACTCTACAGGTATGGCCCTCCTCTTAGGACTGATTTCAGAATTTTGGTTGAGAATGTATCTAGTAGAGTTAGTTGGCAGGTTTGTCTCTTATGGCCTTTTTGTTTATTGTTACAAATTGTCAAAAATTATAGTTAATTTGGAAGTTCAAAATTTGTAATGACAGCTTTATTGCTGGCTTTTGTTATAAGCATGTAGCCCATAAATGTAGCTGTCATTGTACATGTAGGTATTCGTTTTATTAATCTAGTGTTTCTTTTTGGTATCCTGCATGTTGCTTTCTGAATATATAATTATTATTATTTTATTACTTATATTTATTAAAGGCTTACTAAATGTCAATGGTACTCACTCACTCTGTTCTATGGTATGGCCCTGTCTGTGACTATATGGGACTTTGGGGTGTGATCTTAAGACGTGTTCCATCCCTTCCTGTGCTATCTCCCTCTGTGTCTCTACCTTTTTGTTCTGAGCCTGGCCAGTGGCCGCATCTTCCTATTAGTGTTGGGTAGACCAGCATTTGCCTTCGATTTTTTTTAGTTTGTATGTGTTTTATGAGTACATATGTGTGGCCCTGTGCCTGTGCACTACTAGTGTCTGTCTTTACTGCACTACTCCAACTCTGTTCTGTGCCCCATCATCAAATCCTTTCCTATATTCCTGGGTCTGTAAATGAGGCAGTTGTGTTATGTACAGAGAGTATTGAGCAACCGGTACGTACATGTTGTGTCTAAACTAAGTAAGGTGTCTCAGTATCTATTATATGTCAATTGTTAGTGTGTGGCACCATACAAGATACAGAGCATGTCAGTTGCTTGAGTATTTTTTTGCTTGATGTGAGATCTTGATTTATTTGTATGTGTTTTAGGATTTGAAAGACTTTATGAGAACTGCAGGTGAAATAACTTATGCGGATGCACATAAACAGAAAACAGGAGAAGGGTAAAGAAAATAAAGAGTATATTTGTAGTGTAATAATAATTACATGTATGTGAGAAGTACAATGTATGACTTGCAAATGCTTATTTAGATTACATGTCCTACTAAGCATTTTGATTTAATTTTTATTAAATTGCATGCAGAGGCTTCGCTTGAGAACGAAAATGAGAACTTAAGGTTAAGAAACATCTGTGGACTCCTGCAAGGAGGATGTTTCGTAAAAAGAAACGTGTTTTGTGGTGTGTTGCTACCAATTTACTTTGTGCCGTCCCTGGTATTGCAGCCTCTGTTTTTAATGCATTCATTGTTGGTGGTTTTGATAACTTTAAAGTTATTGTATTTAATTCCTTTTCACAGTATTGTGGAGTATGCTACATATGAAGACATGAAAAATGCTATCAGAAAATTAAATGGGACCGATCTTAATGGACGAAAAATAAGATTAATTGAGGATTATCGTGGACGCAAGAAAAGGTAAAGTTTATATCATGTAAACTGTGATAGATTAATCAGAGTATGAATTAGTGAATTATAGAAGTAACTTGATTCTTGGTGATGCATTTAACACTTTAAACCATGCACCAGGATCTATTTCTACCAATTTTTATACTTGTATGCTTGTAGATATGATATGTAATAACTTAATTACCATGTCAATTTGTAGCAGTTTGAACTTTTATGGAAAAAATGAAAGTGTATGACTGCCATGTACTACATAGGGAGCATATATCTTAGTTTGATTGGCTTTACAGACTTTAATTTGGCATAGATGTACTTACCGAATAGTTCATGCTACAATTCTCATTTAAGCAATTCACTTGTATGCAGTATTGCAGGTATATTTTATAGATGCATGCAAATAATCGTGCATTCTTGTGCATAACAATAATAACTACTTGTATTTTTATGTAGTCATTCCCGGTCTCGTTCAAGGAGCAGAAGTAGATCCCGTTCAAGATCTCGGTCCAACTCTCCTGATCGTTCACGCTCTCATTCTCGTGAGCGATCTAATGATAGATCAGCTAATGATCGAGACCATTCTCATGATGATGATGAAAATGAGCGTCGTTCTCGATCACGTGATCGTGATGAAACCAATGATGACAGGAGGTCACCTTCCCCAAGGGAAAATGATGATTCTCATGAGGGTGTAGGTGATGAAGAAAGAAGAAGTGCTTCGAGATCTAAGAGTAGATCTCCTTCTCCAGAACCAAATGAAAAATCAGCAAGTCCTTCTCCCATTATTGAAGAAACAGAAGATTAGAAGAGTGTCTTGTTTAACAGTACTTGGTACATGTAATATATAACTTTTTATGTTACTGTTATGAATTTTCTGTTTCATTAGCTGCTAAGCACCTTTGGTCTTGTTTATTTTGTTAGTCCTATATATTTTGTCTATTAAATTTATAGTGAGGTTTGTGTAGTCTATAATATCTACTGCATGACTAAGTAGTACTACTTGGTCAATAGTAGGCTCTCTAGAAAAATAACATAGTCTACATCAGTATGAACAGTCTGTAGACTTCAGAAACTACATGTATGACTTAAGTTTGGGTATTCATGGAACAGTATACATTCAAATCTGACTATCTTAGGACACAATATAACTACTTAAAGGTGACTGGTTTGACTATACTTCTACATTCAGTGCAATTGTGAGCACACAAGGCATGATGCCATTTTTATACATCACCTTTCCTCTCTAGCCATTTTGAACATTAGTTGAACCTCAATAACTTGACAAGGTGTACTGAAAAATGTGATTTTATTATGATAATATTTAATTCAGTGCATGATGTCTAAATTTAAAACTTTACAATTTTCTGTTTTAATTTATGATTTTGTTCGGTCTTTTCTACTTCTTCATCTTCCTGACTGAAGTCACCTATTAAATTACATAATACCAGTAATTAACAAATTTTTACACATTTTCATGAGTCAAAAGTATCATAATACTTCACCTTTCCCTTTTGGCTTTGAGCTATTAAATTTCTCAGGACAATTTGCTTTGAAGTGCTCCACTGATCCACAAACTTTACACCCACCACCTGAAATAAAGACGACTTCTACATCAGTATCACAACAATTCACACAAATTCATTCATAATTAATTCTGCTCCAATTCAGTAAAGCACAGTCAAATTGGTACAGGATTATTTTATACTTTAGCTTTAGAGGCGCAGGTCCCCAGTGCTAGTTTTTACAAATGATCTTTATAACAGCAGTTTCTAACTATGACATATCTCATTACACAAATGTTGCATTAGAAAGAGCATCACATTGCCAACTACTTGTATATCTAAATAACGGACAATCATATCACTTTGTGCTTCACAGACACAGACGTAATTCTTCACCACCTCCATCAGGGTACAAAGTGACTTTGTGATAACAAGGCTTGACACTGCACCTGGGACCTGCAACCCTCAATCACTAAAATTATAGATATGTATTCCTGTAAACCATCCGTTAAACAATTATTACCATTAGGATACAATCCCCGCGGATTGTCAGGGCAAGAGCGTGATAAATGCCCAGATTCTCCACATATAAAACACTGAGCAAATGGGTAAGAACCTAAAACAATAAAATTAGCTTGTATAGACAAAGGAATTATTTACATGTACCTGATGGAACTACAGCTTTACATGACTTCACAGAATGTTCTGTAGATCCACACTTAAAACAAATGTTCAATTCATCATTATTATTCTTACAGTCCTCTAAATGATGTCCTGGCTGACGACACTTAAAACACACCTAAATGTACATGTTATACTATAAAATTCGAATTTTTAAAACTTTACAATAACAGAAAAAAAGTAAAATTAAAAACCAGTTAATATTTTGTCAGTTATATTAATTTATATTAGCTCACATGAAAACCATAAAATTAAAAACACGTAAAAATTTAAAAATTAAATAATAAGGCAGTAAAATATTCCACTTCTACAGTATTTGAAACATAACTCTGTGGCACAAATGAAAAAGGTCTGTCAAATATAAGGTAACAAAAATGTAACTTGGGTAAATAGGGATTGTCACCTTTGTCCTTTCCATAACATCCTCTAACTCCTAGTACTACATTTAAAACAATTAAGAGTTGAAGGATCCATCTATACTGAAAACTGGTTAAAAACAAGTACCGGTAATATGCTACAACATAGTGTCATTTGGCTTTTTAATCCTTTTATCCTCCACCAAATTGACTCCTAAAAATAATTATGCAATGGAAAGGCCCAATAGATACTGTGCATGTACTATGGCCACATTTTAGAGTACAACATAATGATTTCTTCTTAATCAAAATGTCAAATTGAGTGATAAAAGGTCTTAAATTCTAACTTTAGAATATGCTCTTCTCTGCCTTCTCTTTTGTCGCATTCTTTCTTTCTTTTCATCCACTTTTTCAACTTCGCTAGTTTTAAGTTTCTTTTTTTTCCTCTGAAACATTTTCCCAGATGATGAAACTGGAGAACAAAGTAAAGATAATAACTTATGAATGAGTTAAATGAAGAAAGCTTAGACTCACACTTAAGACGGACATGAGAGTTTAGTGAAAGCTACATGTACATGTATGTGTGAATCATAAGAATCAAGTGGTAACTGACTAGTGCCATATACTGTAGAGTTGCTAAAATTGCAATAGTAAGGCGATGGTTCTTTTGCACTGGTGCTGTACTTTTTGTTCAATGTTAAAATCAACTATTCAGCTACATGTATGAGACTTTACAAGTTCATTCATGAAACTCAATCCTGCACAGTAGATAAAATCAAGACGAGGTCACTACCAAAAAAGTCTATGTATTATATGTATTATTCTTATGGGCCCCAGGTCATACAGGAACTTCTAATAATCTTTTCGTAATTATCTCATAGTCTTCTTGTTCTAGTGTAATAATGTGTGTTGTTATGGTCATTGCAAACAAAATGATACGTGTAGCATTCAAACAGGAAAGGTGGTGAAAACTATTTCTTTTACTTGTTTTTCAAATGCACAAAATTAAATGTCACATTGCAGTCCAAGTTTAGTGTAATATGGTCAAAAAATTATTTTGCCTAGAGAATGAGACCTTATGTACACCGTCTACCAAGACACATCAATGATCAAGATGTATGATGGGAAAACAGACCATACATTTGTAAATGAGTCACACAATTCTCTGCCTGCATCAATAACAATCAACACAACAACATTTCCATTTTAATATCAAGGGAACAGTTCTGGCTAACTGCACAATTAAGAAGTTGGCAGTCCCAGGAGGTGTGGCACACAATTGAGCACACATGTACATGCACATGTACACGTAGGATATTAAGGCTGGTGTTTGGCAATTTTGCTACACCCCTTCCACAGGGCTGATACAATTAGGGACCACGTATATAAATCCAGATCGGATCAACTAGGATATCTGCCACCAGAAGTAAAAAATAAACACTAAACCCCTTAACCCTATGGGCAGGTGCTCTAAGATCGAGAGGGTGTGGTTTCCGGTGGCATATATTCTAGTTGACACTCCACAGATCTACCAGAATTAATAATAACTAGCCTAATGTTAAGCAGTACTGAACTATACATACATGTCCTCACATACCGTATAGGGGTTATAGCATATATTTCACTGGTAATAAATTTCGCGAATTTCGTATTTTCATTTAATTTGTGAAATTAAATTCCACAAAAGAGGTATGGCACACTAGGAAAAATGGCTTCAGAGGGTAAGATTCGCAAAAATTTATACCAACAAATGGCAAATCTGAACAAATTCACGGAATTTTATACCAACAAAGTAAAACCCCTATACGGTATGTACTTCTAATCACTCTTAGATAGCTACCTCGAGTTACTTGCTTGACTGATAATTTGCTCCAAGTGCTAGCCTCTTCATATTTCTTTTTAGCTTTTCTTCTGGCAGTCCTTGTCATTATTGTTGAGCTTATGCTGAAGAATCCACACTAGTATCTATGTCATGTATGTCGACACTAAACTAAAGACTCAATCCAAACCGGGGACACGTGGGAAACAGTAAAATTACAAAGGGTTAAAAATAAAGGCAATCAATCTCATACGAGACTCATCGATACTCAGTCGAGGAAGATTTGCCATCGATGCCTTACCTACAAACTTGGGACGATTTTGCCAAAGGTTTAGAGAGGCTCTACCAGCAAAATCCTTGGAAGGTAGAATGAGAAAGACGTAGACAGATAATGTGTCGACTAATGACGTCACACTATTCTTGTCTTCTTCAGGTTAGATTTATTGTGAAGTATAGACACTGCAGTGGTTCTCTGGTTCTTAAAGCAACAGATGACAATGTGGTAAGTTCTACTTTGGTAACTATATGGCACTGAAAAAGAGTAGGGACTTTTAAAGATAAAGCCCAAGTGATCTCAACTTCATTTCATGCCTATATCAATTTGATCTTGAACACACCATACAACTTATGCACATATTCCATATTAAGTCTTTTGTTCATGTGCAAATGGGGACCACAACAAAGAGACCTGATTTAAGAATACTGATATACATGTATGTTTTTTATTCACAGTGTATAAAATACAGGACTGACCAACTTCAAGATGTAAAGAAATTAGAGAGATTGAACAACACATTATTACGGCATATGATAGCCAAAGTACCTACATAACAGTGTATTTTTTGCTATTAGAACTTATACTGCTCTGAAGTCTGAACCATTAAAATTTACATGAATGATTTTTTGAAGTATATAATCATTGACAGAATGATGTTTAAATGTTGAAATACATGCTGCATGTACATGTATTTATAGAGGTCACAACTCACAAAGCTAGAGTACATACATTGTATGTTGGTTGGTTAGCGTAGTAATGAAGCTATCAACAATTGAAATAAGTTTCATATTGAAAATTGCTATAGATATACATTGTGTACAATGTAAAGATGCCACTGTTTAGTTACTTATAATGTAAAATTAAAATTATTGACCTGTCCTTATATTAGGGTTTATTTTCCAGTCTAAGTTCTGACTAGGGTCTCTCCTGCTACTAACTCTAGTCATAAATACTATTAATGTCATTACTGCCATGCACACTATCAGGAAAATAATAAGGTTTCTTTTAACTGTGACATTTGAATCATCTAATGATAACTTGCTGAACTGCTGTGACCTAAAAAGATAGCGTTTTATTACAAATGTACATTGTATTGCGTGCTTCAAAAAAACTCTATGATTTCAAGTCATACATTTAAGAGGTCTTATCGTGAGATTATCATTTGGTGCACAATCTTTTCTACACTGTAACTCTACTTGTTCATCATTGCCATTTGTGTACTTTTAATTATAATTTTACTAACCTGAACCAATGCTTCATTCCAATAATAGGATTTTTCCGTTTGTACTTATCTTCATCTAAATAGTCACTACTAGGTATAGGAACTGGATTGTGTCGCTCTAACAAGGAAAATTCAAGCTGTAAATATTTTCTCTGACTTGCTCTGCCTCCCACAAGAGGTGTGTATGTCTGGCTTTCAAGACTGCACTTCAAGTGCTGTATTTCCCCTATTAGCATTATTTTCTATATGCTTGGCTGCATGAAAGGCACCAGCACAAACACCTGTTTCACAAATAGGCTGCCACCATTACCCCACTAAGCTAAACATGCAGTTCCACTGGTCTTGCCATCACAGTTTATACAACGCAAACCATAAACTGTGCTGTATGGACTACAAGCCATGCTATATGACCTGACATACAGAATGGCCAGTGTTAAAATGAGTACAGTATATATACTTAATAATGTATTTCATACCAGCTCCTCTATTCAGAGGCTGCTCAAAAAGCTCCAATGTGACGTGATTATCACGCGATGTCTGAAAATTAGATAAAGGAGTGCTGGTTACTTGATTATCAAGTGCTGTTGAGAGACCTTCTACAACGACTACATATCAATGGCATGCAAATAATAAGAAACTTTACCTCCAGTTGTCAATATTTCATCATCTTCAAAAGTAACTTCACCCTAAAAAAGAAGCAGTGATGACACAATGACTATTAGCTGTGATCGACAGATTCATTATTTATTCTCTACAATGCTACATTTATTAATTTTCTTATCTTCCCTTACCATTTCAGTTTCAAGACCTAGACCTTCTCTCCCCCACCAATAGTTTTTTAATATTAACCTCAGTTGATCAGCTATTGGTGAAACAACATGACTGGAAGGAAATAAGCAATCCTAAAAATTCACAAAATCAAAGTACATTTACATGTATATGGTATGACATTTACAAATTGGACTGGCATAAAGGTAGATGTATCACAATACAATATACATGTGCATGTACTTTGCACTGGGGGCACTTCAGTTCAGATGGAAGGTAACTTTTAGAATGACCAGTAGCTGATTGAACATATCCATCAAGGCAGGACACATGAAACAAATCTAAAATAAAGTTATTCAATAATTGGCAAACCAATCTGCATTTAAATCAATTTGGAAATCATGCCCCATAATGACAATGAAATTGATTAACTTCCAAATGCACATTGGCTTGATTGAAGTTGACAGAAAATACACAATACTGCGGTTCATTAACATACCTTTTGCTACATGTAGCTACATAACACAATGGCATTCTTAAGGCTCTAATTTCATAAATTACTTTTTAATCCAACAGGCAATTCTTGCTATAAGCTAAAATTGCAAAAAATTAGTAACCAACAAAAATCACTATCTAAATGTACTTTACATCTACATTCTATACACTCATGATACAATGTGCTCATTAGGATACTGGGCAGGAGAGGGGGAATTTCCGATGATAGCCCCTAACAATACAACAACTCCAGAAGCAGAAGGCCCCACAAGTTTGAAGTTTCACTTACAAGGCTTTTTTTTTATTTTCAAATTATCAATCTATAATATGTACATTTATCTCCATACCTGGGACCATGAAGCTCTCTCAGTGGCCCTGACCATAGATACAAAAATTTCTAAGGTTTTAAACTGATGCAGCGGCACAGAATTTACTCTAGATTTACAGTACATGCACATGTCCTTCTATCTGGTAAAACAATAAAAAATTTACCCTTTTCCATTAAAAGTCTCACAAACTATGCTTTAACATTTACCTGACCAACCACTCCACAACCATTATCATTTATAAAACTAATTATGTTGCATCACCATTAAATTTCATTCACACACAACTAATGGATTCTTATCTCTCATTACACACACATCAAAATTTTACCATGACAACAGAGCCGAACAACATCTCCATAGTCTAGTGACTTCGCACAAAGAAGACAAACAGATTCATAATCACTATCCTGAAGCCACTGGAGATATGAATGAACTATACACTATCAAGAACTTTTAAAGGAGATGCCTATTATCATTCTTACTCTTGAGTGCTGTCTGATCATACAGTCCTCACACACATTGACCCTGTGGACAAAGCAGAAAAGATTTGTAACTCTTTTTTTTGGACACTTGCACAATCCCATTTTTAATTAGGCGTGGCCGGTCGTGAGTTTTGATCACGCCTATTCATACAGCACGCGCATGCGCAGTATAAAGCCCCGCCTCTAATGGGTGGATCAAGCAGAGAAGTCATCTGAGATTCTGAGTTTCACTGAACTTTGAACTCTCTAAATCTCTCTGTTTTAAAATCGTATCTCCAGCTACGACAATGCCTTCCAACAAGAAGGCAGTCAAAGCTGGAGAGAAAGGAGAGCCCCCTCCTGCTCAACCTCAGCCGCCAGGAGATGACAATACTTCAAACAATGCCTCTGCTCCAAAGTTTTGTAGCTGGCATCTACTTGCTCTCCTCCCTATTATACTGGCTTTTGTAATTTATCACATACCGACATTGCATGAAGAATATATGGCCAGGATGGGGTAAGAATGATGAATGTTGAGTTTAAGATACTCATTTTAGGTATGGTGAAGTGCCACAATATGAGATACCAGCTCCAGCAATGAATCATTTCAGGATATACGATGCTAATGCTGATGGTAACATAGATCCTTATGAGTTTATGCAGATTATACAAGATCTTAATATATCATTATTCGAGACTGCTGGGAATGAAGTAAATATTTTTTGGTCGCATTGTCTATGTACATTATGTGTATTTCATTTATCAAACCGAGCTACATGTAAGTCAAAGCATGTACACTTAGTTTCAATTAAAATCTGTGTATGTGTCTTCATGGCAGTAGCATAACCACTTCTAACTTCTGCAATACCTCATTGTAACTCTCATGAGAAATTCATCTATTTTTTTACACGTACACCTGTAAAATGTGCAACCAGTGGTTTTTAGCTTGTGAGTCTCATTGCCTTTGTATTTTTAAATTTTTATGGGCTCCTTTATAAATTCATTACTTTGAGCACATATGAGACCAGTGATGCAAGAATAACTTTTATATATATTTTACTGAACTTACATCTGTTGCATGTACATTTATCAAACAATAATAAATAATAACAGGAGGCTTTTGTTGTTTTTGAATGTTATGCTGAAACTGGAGATGCAATGTACCTTGAAACTGTTGGACACCATACATAATCATTTACAATGTACATGACTCACAAATGATTTATGTGTTTCTTAACTTATTCTTATTGTGTCATATTTAGTTCATGGCTTTGTTTCAATCATAATAGAGTAGCTTACGGGAGGTGTATTCTTTTGTTGATGCTGCACTTGGTCCTGATAAAGAAGGAATTACTGTAATGGCAGAGTATGTACCTCTTGATTTAAAAACAATGAGCAAGTTTACCAATAAAGATCAAGTAAGAAACACAGTTCACACTCATGTACTTGTACTTTGCTGTATCTGCCTTTTTCCTTTCTCTAGTTCTTGTTTGGATCACCTGATCAACTTCTTCCTGGTCTAGTGAAATGGAAAAATGTTCATCACCCAATTCATACTTTTGGGACTGGAAATTTCAAAATTTTCCTTCCACCAGAAGGGAAACAAGTTGGGGAACCTTACTATGTAGTTGACTCTGAGTATTTTGGGCGCCGTCCTCATATGAATGTGTACTATCCTCCAGCTCCTCGTGGCAACGAAGTTTTCCTTCACGCTATCCTTTCCATGTTTCATCCTAATGTCTTTGTTAACACAAGATTTGGCCCAAGAGGCACACTGGCTGTTTTAAGGGCTGAAAATGATACATTTTATGATATTGTTATCAGGTTATTTACCTGCCACAACTTTTTCCTGATTCTTTGTTATTCGCATGACACTTTAGAATTAAATAATGTCAGCAAAAGCTAACAATTTTCATTTTGATTTGTTTAGGTCACATATTGAGTTCCAGTTGAACACTGAGCCCAGTTATCCTTTCTGGTTTACTCCAGCTCAGCTTGCTGGCCGTCTCATTATTAGTAAAGATGCTTCACATATTGAGTATTTTGAAATGAGTCTACCTACAAAGAATGCTCTTAATATTGGTTCGTTAAGTAACATGTAATAATGTGGATAACATTACTCTTATCATTGTTATGGGCATTTTTATTGACTTTTTGCAAGTATTTTGATGCATTCATTTCATTCCAAACTTTTTCTTTTGTGAATTTAGATATGGAGTGGTTGACAGGGCCTGATCAGAATGAGGTTGATATTGGTAAGTGTAATACCAGTTTATTTTCAAGGTAAAATATTTTTGAAAATATGTAATTTGTGGAAATAGATCCCCACAAACAGCATACCTTAGTGCTTTTATTACAGGTACCAAACATTGCTATTTAAATCTAAATAGACTTTTGTATAGGATAGTGTGTATTAATAATTGCAATTACACTTAGTAAATAAGTGTTAACAATTGCAAGTATATGACCTTATTGGCTCATAATAATTATATCCGCAACAGCAAAGTGAGCAGTCAAAATTGCCCATAGTTTTATTGCAATAGTCACTATTGCACAACTACATGTATGAAGCTTTAAGCTTCATGTCTAAAAAATTAATTTTAAAATTGTGGTGATTTTTACTTACATACTAATTCATTGAGCGAAGCCCACTCTGGTGATAAATTTTTGTTATGTATGTAGAGTGTATGGGCGTGACTGGGAGGCATGGTCAGGATGCTGAGTCCCTTCATGTTTTACATTCTTTCTAGTAGTTTTATAATGTTGTATGTGTAGGTTTTGTTCCAAAGATGAAGTTGTATTCTTCAAGTCCCAGCATATTGTTTACTGATAACACAGAGGTATCCATTGAAGTGCCTGATTCTCAACCTGTCTATCCTTTCCATGAACTCTCATGGAATAATGAGATATCAGTTGATGAAGCTGTTATCAAACTGGAAAAGACACTTTATCCTTTTAAAGAAGTTAGTATTATTTTAATTTACATGCATAATGCTCATGACTGCATGTGCTCTATGCTTTAATTTTGTTGTACATGTGCATACAGTGCATATGTACACATACAATACATCTTCATTTGCATGATACTGTTTAATATGCAGTGTAGCATAATTATGTGATTCATAGTCACACAGTACTTCCTTTTTAGGTTCCTTATCTTCCATTTCTTGAAGCATTTGATACTGCTAAAAAGGAGAACAAATTAATTCATTCTATAATCTTGTGGGGGGCACTGGACGATCAGTCATGCTGAGGTTCCGGGCGAACACTCAGGGATGGTCCCCTGGGTTGTTCGCCCGTTAAAAATCTCCTTACTGAGAGATTTGTGTCTAGTTGGTCTTTTGTGAAGGATGTACAGGTAAATGATCAATTTGTACATTACATGTGTGCATGTGACATGTACATTGTACATATACACTGTACCTGCATGTGCCTACTGCCTACATGTATGTACAGTGTATGTACTAAAATTATTAGAGCCATTAACTTTTAATTAGCCATATACATGTACACATGTATGTGTCTGGTTTTGTATGAAGTATCAGGCTGATGATAATACACACTGCATACCTACATGTATACATGTACATGTATCTTGTTTTCTTTCATATCCAGGATATTATTAATAACAGTACTTACAGTCCTGAGGAGAAGAAGCTTGCACAGCTTTCACTGGATAGTTACAAGTATTTATTTTGCAGGAATTTTGTCTATTTGATCTTTTCTTTTAGTTTTCCAGTTGAAATGATGGTAGTTGCCCCTGATGGTGAAGTACTGGTGCATTCCAATGCCAATTCTCTTCTTCATTTATCTGAGGAAGAGACCTCATTAACTCCTTTTGAGTATGTTTTAAACATAAGTGTTTTGTAATATTATTATAATTTTAGGACTGAACAGCCTCTTAACATCAAGTATAAAAAGTTTCTTCAAGAGGGTATTAGTAAATTTGAATCGAAAACTATATAAGCTGCTGTTTTGTTTGCACATTATTCTTATTTTTTGTTTTCTTATTATTATGGATTGCTTGGCAATTATTGATTGTGACGACATTCATGAAATCCATTATTTTGGCAGTGAATGTCTGATTTTTTAATCAATTTTTTCTTTGCAATAAAAAAATAACTCTTCAATTTAATGATCTAATCATCATCACACCCCTGGCTCCACCTACGCAGTATACAGTAAGATAGTGAGCTCAGCTCACGTGGCAAAGAATTATCGAGACGAATCGAGACCTTTTAGTTTTCTTAGAAACAAGATGAGCACTGAAGTAAATCCTTCTTTCTTGTACGAAGTCAACTTAGTTTATTTTTACAGGTAGATAAATTGAAATCTAAAGGTAACTTGGCACTGAAGGAAGGCAAAACTGATGTTGCTATTGAGCTATACACTGAAGCTATTGAATTAGATTCATCAAATCACTTGCTCTACAGTAACAGATCTGCTGCTTATGCTAGTTTAAAGAAATATGATGAAGCACTAGCAGATGCTATGAAAACAGTGGAACTCAAACCAGATTGGGCAAAGGTAATTGTTTGTGAGCATTGCTGTAACGTACATGTACTTTGTCACAGTTGATATAATACCCTTTATTAAAACTTTTGTCAAGTGTACACATCCTTTTTATTACGTTTTATTAAATCCTTTTATTAATGACCTAGACAACAAGCTTAAATTAAATACAATTAGTTTACATTATACATGTAAATTAATTTTCATACCTTCTCGATTTTTGTTCATGGGTGTTAGTTATTACTGATCATAATGAGTACATGTACCTGTCCTGTAAAAGCTTGAAGGTAAGAATCTCATTGCATCAATAAATGCTTGTCTATGTATTGTAGTCGTGTACATTGTATTGCAAAGTTAATTTTTTGTGTTAAATAAATGGTGGATAGAATACATGTACAATTTGTTTGCAATAGTTTTATCCTGATAATTTTACCCGAGAATCTGCATCCTTGAAATGTATTTGATGGCCTGAAATATTGGTGTGAGTTAGATTTTACAATTGTACATGATTTGTAGAATGCTTAGTACTACTTGTATTAATTGACCTGCATGTGCTTGGTCGCGAAGTACATGTACATGTAGCTATATTAGCTTAATCTTGACATTGTTATTAATCGTTTACTTAATAATTATTAGTTTTTATTATAAAATGAATTTGAGCCTAACAAAATGCAGGGAAACAAGACACAAACCAGTTTCACTACTTTTTGTATAAGTATATTTTTTAATATAATGTAACAAAATACTCTATAATTATGACCTATAATGGGCATGTTCTGTGGGTGTTTAATTTCTTTCTTTCTAAAATTGAAAAGGCGTTCCTGGATGTCACATCTAGAGTAGGTTACTGTTAAGCAGCTCTACAATGCAGTTGTAATATAAATGCCTGTGTAAGTATTACAACTACATGTAGATTGATTAGCAATTCATTATGAAGAAAAGCATTATTCACATCCAAAATGAGCAATTCTTAATTATCATTCAAAGATATTAATTCCTAATGTAACACAGTATAATCTGAGAATATTAGGTAATGAAAAGGTGTACACTGTACATGTACATGTGTATGTGCCACTAATGTTCATGTGTATAATATGAGTGATGATATACAAGTATTTACTGTACGTTATACTCCTCATTGTTGGATGTCTAAATCATTTTAGCCTTCAATGCACAACATGTAACTGTTGCAAACAATTGTACTTCTACTTGTGTGTGACATCAGGTATACATGTACATGCGTAGCACGAGTATGGCAAGTTTGAACAACACACTGTCAAGAAAGCTATGAAAAAAAAAGATTGCAAGAGCCTATGGAGACAAAGCTAGTGCAAAAGCACATAAGGCCCCGTTTAGTGGCGTTTACCCTAATCCACTTCACTCCGGATTGTTTTTACTATTATTCGTTTCAGGTGTTTACACTAATCCAGCAGCTGCATTTTCATAAGATTTATCATTCGTTTATAGAAGTATCCACTTTGGTATCCATTTGCATTTTGCTTCTGATAGGTGATGCGTTTTCATGTATTAGTGTAAACAGAAGCTGTATGAGAATCAAAAAGTCTCGGTTTACATGTGAAAATGGATTAGTGTAAACGGGGTCTAAATGTTTTGTAGGGTTTAGGCCCTTCAATGTTTAAAATGTTGTGCAGTCTGATGTCAGTTGCAAGAATATTCTTTTAATAGTGATTTTTGTACTTTAATTTATTAGGGTTACTCACGGGCTGGAGCTGCCTTAACTTATCTTGAGAAGTACAGTGAAGCTGAAGAAATGTATTACAAAGGGCTGGAACAAGAACCAAACAATGACCAACTCAAAAAAGGACTACAGGAGTGTCAAGATAAGAAAAGTAAATAGGTTTTGTTACCTTGGAATGCCTAAATCCTGGGTTGTCATCTTTACTTACTAACATTCTGTGTTTAGAATCAGAGCTCAATCCTTTCAAATCTAAAGAGTTGTTTGAGAAACTTAAATCAGACCCAAAAACAGCTCCTTATATGAGTGACCCACAGTTTGTGAAAGGACTTGAGGAAATTGGTCAGAATCAACAAGCTTTGTCGAGGTATGCAATTTCTCTACTATCGTCTCGTTATTTTGTGTAGAATTCTTCTACATTACTTTATGTTCATTATTAATTGTGTTCATGCACATGCATGCATTGCAACTGCATGTACATGTATATGTACATTGTAGTTTCAGAATTACATGGTATTAGCAAAATTTTGTTTTTCACATCTTTTCTATAGATACATGCATGACAAACGATATATAGATGCTCTTGGAGTGATGTTAGGAGTTGATCTTACTACTGTAACAAATGATGACAGTAAGCACTTAACAAACGTTTGTATCACTTGCACGTACATGTATGACAGTTTGCTATTGTCACAGACCATTCATTCAGACAGATCATTGGACAGTGCAATGTCTCCCTTTTTCTGTTATACATGTAGTAGTTGTATGTGCAGTACATGTAGTGATGTAAAACCACAATTAGAAGTACATGTACTAGTATAATGCAAGAGTTGAATATTTTTCACCTTTTATAACATGATAATAGTAATGTTTTATAAATAATTCTTGCTTGAAGTTGTATTAAGTGTTCTTAAAATGGTCTATCTTCCCTTGTTTACAAGCTAGAATTTGGAACACAAGCTCAGAATTGAGGTACATGTACATTATTATAGTTAGAGTCAGGGTCATTGCATTGCATATACATGTACATTGTTTATATTGCTGAATTAAAGGTACAGTAGTCCAAATAATTGATTCATCTGAATCAAAAGATTTCATCAATGAAAGATTTTTTAAAACCTGGGGGCGAACCCCCAGGCCATTCCTATAATTGATTTCACCCACATGCGATGTAGATAAAATTGTTTGTTTGTATGTCAACACTTACATTTCTTCTATACACATTGTATTGGAGAAATAACAAGCCTTAGCAACCACCCGCCCATGCTTGATTTATGTAGTAGGTGTGGCCACAGTAAACAAAATGGCGGATTAAACACGGGACAAAGTTTTGAGCTTTCTAACTGCAAGAGAACATAGAGATACTGTCTAAAGACTTCTCTAGAAGTATTTGAAGGTGGAGAGAACCTCTGTAAGTCTTAATAAGTTCCCAGCTATGCATGCAAGGTGGTGAAAACAATTATAGGAATATTTTTACGCTTGTTATGCATGTACATTTAAATTAATTTTATTATAGCTGATCCACTGATTAAGAAAGCCACTCCTCAGTCCCAAAACGAACAATCAGCAACAGCTGAGTCAAAAAAGAGGAAAGAGGAATCAAAAAAACCTGAGAAAATGGAAGTTGATGAAAGCGATTCTACAAAAAAGGCAAGTTAACTTTCTTGTTTCAGTATTTTTTTATTCTGTCATTGATTTAGGCAGTAGCAGAGAAAGAGAAAGGCAATGCTGCATACAAGAAAAAAGACTTTGTCACAGCACTCCAGCATTATGATAATGCAATTGAGCTTGATCCAGACAACATTACTTTGCTAACAAATAAGTCGGGTAAGTAAAAGAAAAATGATATTTTCTGCTATGACAAACAATGTACTTTCTACTTTAGCTGTATATTTTGAGCAAGGAGAATTCGATCTGTGCCTAAAAACATGTGAAGCAGCTATAGAGAAGGGTAGAGACACTAGGGCAGACTATAAATTGATTGCAAAGTAATAATTATAAGTGAATCATTACAGTTTTCTTGTTTGTATTTATAGAGCCTACACTCGTATGGGTAATGTGTATTTTAAACAAGAAAAATGGTCTGATGCTATCAAGTTTTATGATAAATCTTTGACTGAGCATAGAACTCAAGACGTAGTTGCCAAAAAGGCAGAAGTGTGTCATAGTGTTTTTTTTCTTTTTAAGTGTATCTCATATTACTTTTCCCTATAGGCACAGAAGTGTTTGAAAGAAGAGGAAAAGAGAGCATATATAGATGTAGATAAAAGTTTGGAAGAGAAACAGAAAGGAAATCAATTGTTCCAACAAGGTTCTTAGATTGATGATTGTTATTGTATCATCATACATATAGGTGAATTTTCCCGTGCAATCCAGCACTATAATGAAGCAATAAGGCGGAACCCTGATGATGCCAAAATTTTTAGCAATAGAGCTGCTTGTTATCACAAACTAGCTGAATGGCCTTTAGCACTCAAGGTACCATCTTTCATTATAATAAAATTGGATATAGTTTGTATCCTTACAGGACTGTGATGAATGTATAAGACTAGCTCCTGATTTTGGTGAGTTCATACAAAGTAGAACAAAAACTAATCTTTGCTTTAGTGAAGGGTCATTTAAGGAAAGGTCAGGCTCTCTTAGCCATGAAGGAGACTGCAAAAGCAATGGCAGCATTCAACAAAGCATTGGAATTAGATCCTGATAATGCGGATGCTAAGGATGGTCTCAGAAAGTGTTATTCTCAAGATGATCCTGAAACACGTCGTAAACATGCAATGCAAGATCCTCAAATACAGCAAATAATGGGTGATCCTGCTATGCAACACATCCTTAGACAAATGCAAGAGAACCCTGGAGCTATCAATGAGTAAGTTGTTTATTTGTAATGTATGTATATTGTCAGCAAATAATTTTTGTTTAATCTCTGTAATGGATAACTACTATATGAAGTTTGTTTTTCCAATTCTAATTACATACTATTTATTAGTTTCAAGGATTCAAGGATACAAAATTTAAATTTATGCATTATGACAAGCAAATATTTTTATTACATTTTCAATTAATAAATTTCCCAATGTAATTACTATTTTGACTATACTGCTGTTTTGATGTTTGTAGTCATTTGAAGAATCCTGAAATTGCAGCTAAGATAGAGAAATTAATGGAAGCAGGAATTATTAGCATTAGACATGCATAAGTGTTCTTTGAAAATGGACATGAGCTATAATACTATTTGTTAATGCTAGACTTGTTTTGAATCAATAATTTGTGTGCAGTAATGAAGATTTTGTGAATCATAGTTCAAAAAATTAATGATAATTCAGTTTGTAAAAATTAGGTCATCTTTCTTGATACCAGAAAGGTAAAATCCTTTCACTTCAGGTCGACCTTTTATTAATAAATCATTAATTCATTATTAGTAAGAACCATTTACCTTCCATTTTATGAAGATTAGCCACTTTTGGTTTCAAACCATCTCTTATGCTGTTAATTTCTTTGTCAATTTTTTCCTGATCTTTGTCACATTCAGCCACCTCATAATATCATTTGAAGTACATACCTGCCTCAAGCATATCCAGACACTTCTTTGTATCAGTCTTTATGAATGTATTACCGAAACAGACCCATGTCTTAGATCCTAACAAAAATAATTATACTAAAAATAATTACGACTACAACTATACAGAAGCATTAATGATATAAGGTATCAAATGTATTATTGTGTTGCAAAAGGATTAAGGAAACTTTTTGTATGTTAAAGGCAGTGTCATGTCTGATGCACTTTTCCTAGGCTTACCTCCTGTGTCTATAGCTATGTGCTAGCCTACCAAACATATAATCCCTATAGTTGACACACTATAAAGTTTACCACTATATATGGAGTAATACATCAGTGTGTAGTGAGATTGGAACAAGCATTAGTTTTCGTGGTTGCCAATGACCTAAAATCCCTGGGTCCCAAAGATTCTGTTTATTCAAAGGGTACAACAACATTAAATATATATATATTATACAGTTATACACTTCTGTAAAACATTTCCTTCACAGAAGAAAGGTGTCCCAGATTTTATGAAAACTTAAGACACTATTGATACCCTAAAGCTAGAAAATTTGGTGGAGTAAAACTTTTGGCGAATTGAGGTCCATTCGCCAAATTCGCCGAATTTATCACTCCAAATTTTGTAGCTATACGGTATGTTACCAAGAGTAGAAAACATCTACTCTTGATGTTACTGTATAACTGTATTCTTTGAGAATATTGATAATGTGAATTTCTGAGAATCAGGTGAAGCTAATAGGATTAAAATGGGAGAAAATATTAGAAATTTCAAAACTCGGTCTGACCCACTAATTACTTTACCCTACCAATCATACACCATAGGACCTAGTGGAGCCTATACTGTATAGCTCCAAATTTTCATGAGTCAAACAATTTCATCAGGTATTTTTTGACAAAATTTTTGCTTCACGTGTGTAAGATGTAAATTTATAGCAAAAATGACAAAAATTTTAGTAACGAAAATTTATTTTAACACGAAATTAAGATTCGCAAAATTTTTGACTGACAAAAATTTGAAGATACATGTACATATGGTAACCTAACTAATAATAGCTACAAGAGTGTGTGACACATCTTTTAGTGCATGCGACCCTTTGCAAAATCATATGATGTACCATTTTTTTGTTCTTTGAGGCTCCTACGAGCTTCCCTACACTTGTTCCTCTTCTTGTCCAACTCCACTACCTAACCAATGAAATCCAATCCGCATACTAGATCTGATTTAGCACCTAGATTACCACTTACCTCACGCTTATCCATTAATATGTCTTCTGTGAGTGTATTAATTTCACATAACATAGTGATCAATCTTTCAGTTTCCACCTCTGTCTCCATTCTCTTTCACCGTTTCTCTTCTAAATTAACAGAAGTGTACAAACTTATTTTTATTGGGCGTGTCTTGCGGTTAGAATGGAATGACAACACTGGTGGGTGTGGTCCTAGAATGACGTCATAAAGCTTAACAGAGAGGACTCCGTTCCTATCTTTCTTTTGCTGTTGATGTGTGCCGTTGTCCTAGCATGAAGTGTGAGTAACAGAGCTACCCGTGCCCAGGAGTCAGAGAGTGCATAATTTCAGTGGATTAGTTAAAAGTCTATCTCGTATTTGCTTGTTGATACGATTACAAGAAGGCAAACGCCGAATCGTTTTAAAGAGGGGAGAGACTATCTGAGCCAACTAAATCGACACAGTCTGAGGAGAACAGAAGTCATTGTTTTGTCTTCTACATTGAGGGAATATCAATAAAATACATTCGAGTAAAATTAGAGGCAGATAATGTCTTCTTTAGCAACCAACCATTCTCCAATGCCCACTTTAAGAGAGGGAGAAAGAGATCGCTATCCTGGAACACATTCACAAGCTGTTCAACAGGTATAGTGGGTCATCTTTTATGCCAGCGAAATATATTCTTAAATTGTGACGCAATATACTTATTTTATGTGTGCCTGTGGCCAAGAGTAGATAATATTGAATTTTATTCACGAATATTTTAGACATGTACTTATACATGGTGGCTGGGTAACTGCCCCAAAAGCAAACTGTAGATTCTTTTGAGAGAAAGAGAGTGGGGAGAGAAGTATAACTGCATTCCTTGAGGTTATCAAATACTCCATTGGTTACCTACTATGTCTTCTCTGATAAATATTGACACATTATTGGTAGGGTTGAATTTCTTACTTCCCTAGTACACCTTCTTTTGTTGGTTAGGTATGTAATGTACATGTATGACGAGATAGTTCTTCTCTTTTTTCTTTGTATACACATGCATTTATGTACATAGCTACATGTATGACTTGTAGCTAAAATGTTCAGGCAGTATGATTTGTTTCAGACTACAAATATAATGTGTAATAATGACCCTGTTGACCTCTTTTATTGTAAGAAATATAGAGAGTTGTGTGGTACTTACATCTACATGTAGATGCATGGAACCTTAAACATTTTATGGAGAAAGGTGTTAAAAATACTATGAGAAATTATCATACCAAATTTTTCCTTGGCTCACCCACTAGTAGCTTATACTGAGTGTCTCATTGTTCATACAGTGTAGCTGTTCCTAGTTGTGTGGGATGTGACTGGTAATGAATTACTTTGAGTGTAGCTATACGTAATACCTCATATTTAATTGTGTGTACAGTTTGTATATGTTTGTATTCTGTTTAGTGTATTAGATTAGGAAAGAGGCTACAAGTATTGCAGTAACTATGTGTTCTATGTCTTCTTTTAGAAGACTACCGTATTTTGATAAATACATTCATGTATCACATACATGACATGTACATGTAAATAGTTTCTAAGCTATTAATTAACACATGTCTTGATTATGAACGTATCACACCTTTTACACATGTTATAATAATATCCCTTCAAATAGTATTCTTACTACAATTCATTGCTACAGTTTTAATCTGTTACACTGTGCAAAGCCCATTCTGGAACGAATTTTAGAGCGACTTTAAAAATTTCTACTGTATACATGTATATCTCTTTTTCCTTCCCTCTCTTTCCCTCTCTCTTGTTGATATGTTCACAAGTTGTCATTATTTTATGGTACTATTGTGTTCTCTGAGATGTGTTGACATTTTTTTCATGCGTTACTCCTATGAGCTTGCATGATGTTTCTGAAAGTCATCCTAAGGATTCTTTTGCAGACTTATCATGAAAATGCATTCTTCTTATGAAGCGTCACTTACTCTTATAGGGTCTCTCATTCCTAGCATATTACCTGAGCTGGGAATGTTGGCTGCATCTCCATCTATTGTTACATGCATTATTGTGATGAACTTTTAGAGACGTGCTATACTATAGGAGTAAAGAAGATACATGTACATGTAGCTGCCTGCATGTGCCTATGCATTAAAGTATTATATTTATTGGACATATGCTAGCAACACATGTTTAAAGCATTGATGAATCCTCAGTGAAGCACCTAGCTGAAGTGACATGAATGACTATAATGGATTGAATTCCTAGATGTACATGTGTATAACTGATACATGTCACTATTTAAAAGAGTAATATATCATTGAGTATTCCAGATGTCTCTGATGTTGTATTGAGAATAAACTATTTTTATATGATGTTACTGTGTGTTACCATACACAATGAAAATCATTCTCATACACAGAGAATTAGGTGATTGTGTGTGTTGTGTGTGTGTGTGGTATCTTGGTGGCATTGACTGTTAATTAGAGCATTCCTTATTAGTTAGCAATTATAAATCGTACTTCCTCTCTCCATCACTCTCTGTTAATCAACAATAGCCAGAGCTCATTTGAAAGCACTTTTAATGTTATAACTATATTGTTTAGACTCATTATGTTGCCAAGTTGTTTTTACATGTACATGTACTTCCTTTTTTGTTTCTTTGTGTACAGGACGGTCATCATCATTCCCGATCTCATCATCACCATCATGGCAGTAATTCTCAAGGTACAAGATACTCCTCAAGCTCTCAGAGCAGGTGGGTCTCTCTCTCTCTCTCTCTCCCCCTCTCCATCTCTTGATTTGTTGTTGCACATTTCCTTGCTCTGTCTCCTTTCTGTCTCTCCCTCCTTCCTTTTCACTATGTCCTCTGTTTGGTTTTATTAATCATAATGTATTTATTAAATGTGTACGTTATGGAATGTATAGTATTAGCAAAATTAGTTATTCCTTTTGGCTTCTGTTTTTGTTCCTATATAATCACATGATAGTCATGTGATTACATGTACTGTAATTACATGTACATGTACATGTTCATTTATACATGTACAATAGACCATCTCTCAATTAACAGACATTCTTTATAGTGGACACCTCCATTTAATGGACAGCACCTAGTGTCCCAATTGCAATCCTTAATTTATAAAATGAGCCCCACATAAAGGATATGCATGCATGTACATGTACTTGTATTTGAAAAACTTCCTTGTATCTGTTAGATAGAGGCGTCACTCTACTTAGGTAGGGGCTTTTAGGTTTATTTTGCCAAGTGTAATATACATGTACATCTGTATGTTCAAAATAAATTACATGTAAACCTGTTGAATGTTTTACATTTACAATGTTCATGTAAGTCACGTGGTAATTAATTCACATGTGCAGCAAGGTTTCTGTCATTAAAAAGTAAATTAATGCATGTGTACATGCATGTACAAATGTACATGCATGCATACTACTCAAAAATCTGATTGAATAGTCTATTATAATACTACACATATTAGACCTACCCATTATGTCACAGCCAGCCGTGGTAATTTCTTACTACACATGTGTATAATGGTTACATTTACATATACGGTGTAGTACACATGTAAATTTATTTTTATCAATGTTGCCTTCTTTTTTACACTGCATTTCAATGTGCTGCAGAGTCATTGATGCAATGCAATTTGCCAATATAACAGACATGGTAGAAATTACAATGTACATGTGTATATATGCACATTTTTGTTCATGTGTGTGTGTTTAAATGTACCTGTATTTATATCTGCAGAGACCCAACTCATCGTAGCCATGGTAACAGTGCTGGTGGTCGTCCCTCGTCAGCCGGTACTTCAGTAGGTAACAGTGACTCAGGATCATCATCTCGTAAATTCTCTCGGCCTCCTGGTGATGAGGTGTATGTTCGCAACTATCGACTACTAAAAACTATTGGAAAAGGAAACTTTGCTAAAGTCAAACTAGCAAGACACATGCCAACTGGAATAGAAGTGAGTGATTGATGTCATAAAAACAACTACATGTACATGTAGTATAGCATTGCCGTCACTATAATCACCTTTGTACTCACATACATTACATGTACATGTACTTGTACTACATGTATGTGCATTGTACATGTACATGTAATTTTTTTGTCATAATACAGATTTTTACTCTCTTTCTTTTTAAAACCCTATAGGTTGCTATTAAGATCATTGATAAGACCCAGCTTAATCCTGGTAGCTTACAAAAGGTACTGTACAGTACATGTGAAACTTTTTATTGTTTAAATTATTTGTTCGCTTATCTACAGCTATTCAGGGAAGTGAGAATTATGAAAGACTTAAATCATCCTAATATTGTTAAACTATTTGAAGTCATAGAAACTAAGACCACACTTTATCTAGTTATGGAATATGCAAGTGGAGGTATGCATGTACATGTACATGTACATTAGCTAACTATTTCATATTCATGTATAATCCCGTGATGTGGTTTTATCCATTTTATTTTTTTGTGTTTTTAGGCGAAGTGTTTGATTATCTTGTTGCTCATGGGAGGATGAAAGAGAGAGAGGCTCGTGTAAAATTCAGACAGATAGTTTCTGCTGTTCATTATTGTCACCAGAAGCATGTAATCCATCGAGATTTAAAGGTATACTTTTGACATGTTTTATTTCCTTTTTTATTATTTGTCTTATTGTAATTTCCTCTTCTTTTTTGCACATACATCGTATGACTTGTGTTTAGACTGTCAATTAAATGAGTTATGTCCTACTGTTGATTTAATTGCATAGTTACTTGCTTTAATGTGGTTATTTAGCCATATTACATGTACTGTATGTGTCATATTCCAGCTCTCATAACAGCCTTCTCCCCCTCTTCCTGTTTGTCAGCAATTTTTTTACTGTTTCCTGTTTTATTTTCACTATCTCCCTGTGATATTATTGTTGTTCTTCTCATTTAAATGTACATGTACATGTATATTTCTCTTTTATGTTAATAGGCTGAAAATCTGCTTCTTGATGGCAGCATGAATATTAAAATTGCTGACTTTGGTTTCAGTAATGAGTTCACCCCTGGCAATAAATTGGATACATTTTGTGGGAGTCCACCTTATGCTGCACCAGAGCTGTTTCAGGGCAAGAAATATGATGGACCTGAAGTTGATGTGTGGAGTTTAGGAGTCATACTGTATACATTAGTCAGTGGATCATTACCTTTTGATGGAAACAACCTTAAAGTTAGTACATTTGTACATGTATAAGTACTGTATGTATAGTAAGATTATGTTGTCAATTAATACTAATTGACCTGGTGTTGAGTTTTATTTCTAATGTTATGTTGCTCTTTCTTTGTGTCCATGTTATTTTAAGAATTGTATTTATTTGGTTACAATAGAAAAGTATATTAGACTATTTTTTTATTATTGTACTTTGTAAGCCTTTTGCAATTGTGAAGGACATTTGTGTCATGGACATGAAATGATACTTCAATGATTTTTGTACATTACATGTCCTTGTATTAAATTAATGTTGACATGTACTTATGTGCTTTTAATGGATGTTAATAATACATTTGCCATACCTACTTTAATTGTGGTTGCTTGTATGATAATTTGGCAGGTGACCAATATTTGCTATCAGCAATGTGCATGTACACATGTATGTACATGTACATGTATGCATGTACATTTGTAAATGCATGTACTGTGAAACTGCTAGCAATAAATGAAATATTATTTTATGTAAGTACGTGTACATGTATTTCTTCTGTTCTTGAACCTCAAATGAATGAAATGGAATTATTATTCTGTTTACATGTACAGTAGTAAAAATTAATTTTCTGGACGGTGACCATGAATTTTTGGGAATGAAGTTAATGTAGATGTATACCACTGTACTTATACATGTACATGATGTACACTAACTATACATACAACTTACATGTACATGTACATGTACTAGTTAGTTTTCACATTTTGCATTATTCCAATTGTCTATTTTGTTTTGCAATTGGGCCACTATCATTTTCATGTAATGGGCTAAGGTTACTGATCACAGATGTACATGTACAGTTCTTTATTATACATGTACAGTACTTTTAGGTTATTTATTAGGTGGCACAGCTTAATTTGATTTTTCCTACAAAAGAATGGCTCAGCATTTACATGTACAAATAATCAACAATTCATTGCCATATCTCTTTTCTTATGAGTTATGTATGTGTGTCTGTGGAGTCAGATTATCCTATCAGTATTGTTGCCACTCTGTTTGTACTACTGAGCAAGCTCTCTCAGATATTAATCTACTTATAGTTTACAATTACCGTATAGCTAGAAATTTTGGTGGAATAAAACTTTGGTGAATTTGGCAAATTGAGGCTCATTCACCAATTTTTTAGTCTCCAATTTGGTAGAGTTCCATGGCACAGAGTAACCTCCAAACCTCTTTAAAGTCAATTTGCCAAATTTAACACTCCAAATTTTCAAGCTATACGGTACTCTTATGCTATACATGCACATGTAGTGTAATTAACATATTACATGCAGATCTCAGCTTAGGGAACTTAAAGTTGCATGTATATTTGTTATACACGTATATGAATACAAAATTTCTTTAGATACTTATTTGTAAAACTTTATCCCACAGATAATTGGCTCATGATGCAACCACATGTACATGTATCTAAATTGAAGCAGAGCATTAACTAAATTGAACCTTTGATGTACAGTACATGTACATGCTTGTGCAAGATTTGTTCACTTGTATGCTGCAGCACAGAATTTATTGAATTTTGAAATGCGGACATATATGTACATGTACATATATGTAACGTCATTTGAAAGTTGTTTAACTACATACACGTATGTACGTGTACATACATGTACATGTATGTACATGTACCTGTATGCAATATACATGTGCATGTGCATGTACAAATTTTGTAAAACGTTTATGAACATTTTGTGAAAACATAATGTACTTGCATGTCGGTACATGAATTTTACATGCAGGCCAGTATACATGTACATTATAATGTACAGGATGTTTTTAATTTCAGCATTTATGCCAAATTGACATTAAGTTACATCTACTGCACATTCATGTACATGTAGTGTAGTTTGTTTTGTTTATACATGTCGTTGTTTACAATAATGTGATATTATTTCAATAATACACAAGATGTACATCTAGTATGAAATAACTGTATTAAAAAATGATTAAACAAATTTATTTTCAATGACTGGCTATTCTAGTAATATTTTTAATGCATGTACAACATGTACATGTGCATGTAATTCCGTAATTCCTTGCATGTACCTAACTCTCCTGATATTAACATTTATTCATTTTATTTTAGGAGCTAAGGGAGAGAGTGCTTCGGGGGAAGTACAGGATACCATTTTATATGTCAACAGGTAATGTGAACAGTTTCTAATGCCTTATAAATTTGGAAACGTACTTTCCAATCATATTGCAATTTGTTTGACACTATTGTCTGCATGTACATGATGAGTTCAGTTACTGTATTTATGAAGCATTATATGAGCTATTATTTCTATTTTCAGTGTAAGTATTTAGTTTAGCATTTAGGAAAAAATATCACAGTTATTTGAATAAATTGATATGCATAATTATGTTAAAATTGTTAATGTACACATTTTTAATGTTCATGTACAAGTATGTGTATATGTACATGTGTATAGCAAGTAATTAACTTTTTGATTTTATATCTTAGATTGTGAAAACTTGTTAAAGAAGTTCCTGATTCTTAATCCAGCAAAGAGAGCCGTGCTTGATGTAAGTGGCTATTATGGTTACACTGTTACTGTGTTAGAGGATTGACTTTACCAAACAAACATACAGTACCTTTACATTTTTTCCTTTTACCTTGTGTTAATTTGTAGAGTGTGTTGCCAAGTAATACTCCATCAAAAATTCCCCATTTATTGCACATTAATGCATGTGTATGTTCTATTAATGATTTTTATTAGGTTATAATGCGTGATAAATGGATGAATATTGGATTTGAAGGTGACGATTTAAAACCATATATTGAGCCACGTCTAGACTTATCTGATGAAGAAAGAAAACGTGAGCATACTTGTATAAGTACATGTACATGTATGGTAATTATTATTTTACTTGTGATCATTTACACGTTACACTATATACATGTACATGATGTATGTGTTGTAAAATGCCATGCATGTATGTACAGTGTTGGTCCATGTTATGCACAAATGTACATTATCATGATTTTGTTCTTTTACAGAAAAAATGGTCCAAATGGGTTACAATTATCAGGAAATACAAGAGTCATTGAATGAAAATAAATTTGATGAAATTTGTGCTACGTACATGCTGTTAGGGTTGCAACAAGATCAGCAGATGCTTTCTAATCCTTCCTCCTCTTCTCTGTCACCAATGGGTCTTGAGCACACCATATCTCTAACACCTTCCTCAATACCTCCTCTCTCTCCATCCACTAGAGGTGAGGCTGCTACTGGTTATGGAAGACCACCCCCTCCCTCTCCCTCAACTAAAACTTCATCTGCAGGCACACCCTCGGGCGCCATGCAGAAGAAAATATCAGCACCTGGAGTGGTGTCATCATCTGTAAGCTATGTAGTTGTACGTGTGTATGTGTGTGTGTATGCATTGCATGTGTATAGGTTCTACTTGTTCATGTGCATTTATGTTGATGTACATGTACTTGTAACTGAATAAATGGAAATTTAGCCATAATAATTATGTTCGTACATAAACTTTGTTTATTTGCGCTAAAATCTATTTATTTGCATTACTTGAACCTTAGTGGTTAGTTCTAATCCTATTACAAATTTAAATGGTATTATAATAATTATTACATGTACGTATAAGCACGTAAGTACATGCAGTTATATTAATCTAATTTTATTGTTAGAGTACAAAAGCTAGGAGTCATTCAATGCGTCAGCCTGGTACAAGCTCTTCCTCAAGACGTTATGCTGATTATGGTCATATGCCTCACAGAGGAAACCACACTCCTAGCTCTAGACATACTCCTGATGTTGTCATTGATAACTGTGACCACAACCCTTCATCTAATAATCACTATCAGACAGCAATGAATAATATATTGGTATCTGGTGATAGTCCCAGTACTGTCAGTAGTGCTGCTTCTAATCCTAACAGATCTGATGTGCCACCAGGGGCTAGGAGGAAAGGATCTTTTGATCCAGTGAGTGTACTTCATTATGTATTAGGATTTCATGTGCTTACTTTCTTCTCCCTCCTTTACTCTCTCTTTCTATCTCCTGCAGAATTCAAGGAGGGCTACTATGCATTTTGAAGGAGTCAATCACGTTGATACTAATAAGCTCAATACGCCTGAAATGTATGTCATTATTACATGCCAGTTGTGCACAGAGTCTTTTTGCACAAATTAAATGAAAGAGGAAATTATTCTTTATCTTTATTTTTTTTGCAATAGTAGTCCAGCTCGAGAACCTCTCGTTACATCAACCCCATCTTCTGGAGCTAATTTTCAACGCTCATATTCTTCTAGACAGCCTCGTAATAAAGGGCGGGGCTCACTCCCTCCTATTGATGATATCCATGATCCTCTTAGACCAAGGTCAGTAACATAGCATTAATGACTTGGTGTGTTACTGTTGCTTATTTATACAGTACTGCTCACGATCGATCATTACAGAATCCTAATCCTTTAACTGTTGCATCTCACCAACCTTTCGTTCGTCAGACCCCATCAAGAAGTACCTTTTCTCATACTCCACGGAGCCGGTAAGGTTACATGTACATGTACATGTACATACATGTATATAATGTACATGTACCTATACAGTACATGTGCACCTCTATACTAAACATGTTGCTATTTTTATGTTCTGTTTTTCTAATTACCTAGTGCTCCTGGTTTACATGTTGGGTCTCAGAGTCCTTCTCACGATATTGAGAGAGGAGGAGCTTCTATTCATGCTCAAGGCCCTCAGAGTGGCTTCTTTAAAAGACTCATACCTTCAAGATTTAGCAGGAGGTAAACTTAATGACATAAAGGCACGATCACATTAAATACACACTTCAATATTTGTACTGTTTTATTTAATAATTTTTTTTTCCAAACAGAGGTTCAGCTGCTACAACGACTATGGAGCAACAAGAGAAGCCAAGATCATTACGTTTTACATGGAACATGAAGACAACCTCAGCCATGGATGGAACTGATATGATCATTGAAATAAAACGCGTCCTTGATCTTTTATCTATCGATTATGAGCCAAGAGATAGGTTTCTCATATTGTGTGCTCACGGTGAAGGAGAAGGTGGTGAACTCATACAGTGGGAAATGGAGGTTTGCAAGTTGCCACGTCTCTCACTGAATGGTGTGCGTTTCAAGAGAATTTCTGGCAATACAATGTCTTTTAAAATGATTGCTTCACGGATAGCTGATGAAATGAGGCTGTGAAGCTCTCCCATTGTGCCCATGGAGGAAGGATATATTGACATTATTTAAATTAAATATGAATTAATTTAACAGGAGAAAGATATGTTATTTGTATAAAAATAATACACACATTATTTGTCGTACTACTACAGTATTATAATAGTGCCTATCCTCATTTTCTTTACACATTATTTGTTTTGTCTTGAAGTGATAATGAGTTATTTTGTGTACAACCAGCAATATTTAATTATTATTATTATTCTTGTTATTGTTATTCAATTTTTGGTGCAAATGATTTTCATTGTTTTCCTGTCTCAGAATTAGAGTAGAGTAGAGATCTGTCAGAATATTGTAATTCTTAGTTTGAGATTCAGCAGCGCCAATTATATTATTCAATTAAAATTAAAGAGCAAAATTAATACATCATGCAACATAACCACTACTGAACTATTAATATAAAACAAACTTGAGAGAACATCAGTGATAATATTATACTATTACTATCTGTGAGTACATGTACGTCATTTCAATTATTAAATGGAGCATGTCTAATGACATGATAAGAAATGAACAAATTCAAAGAAATAGTAAACAACCAGCCATTACAATGCAAGAAACACTGACATAAGGACTAAGCCTTTCACCTAAAAACAAAAGTACACTTAAAACATTACAGAATGAACAAACCTATTCTGGCCATCTTATAAAATGTTCCCAGTAGCCTAAAAATATACAACACATAATATCGATGTTGCACATACATTATAGTACCAAAAACAATAATTAATTTTTATCAGCATACAAATTTTCGACAAATTTGTCAGGTATTTTTGCTTGACAAATTCTTAACACACATAATTTTTGGTCCATGTGGGTAGTATGCAAATTAATAACAAAAATAACAAAAATTTTATTCACAAAAATTAATTCTAACAAGAAATTAAGATTTTGACGAAATTCTTGACTGACAAAAATTTGGAGCTATACGGTAGTCTGTATGATACAATATACAAGATTTTATCAAATAAAATTTAAAATGTAAAGAATTTACATTGAGAAATCTCCAAAACAATCTGTGTGAGTGCTACCATACCTGGATTTATTCAAAGTCAAACACAAAAATTTCTTTACTGTCATATAATGACCAATGGGCCAATAAGAAATGTAATACACAAAGCATACATGTACATGTACATGTGATATACATGTACATGTAGCTGCTGTAATATTGTGGCCAAACTCTAAACATTTTCATCATCCACATGTAACTGATGAATCCATAAACATAATGATTCTGCGGTACTTTTGTGCTGAGTTGTATTTGTGCTCACCTTAAATTCACAACCACCTCTAATACATTGTATGATTCTTGCTAAGCCCAAACCATAAAAATTAACACATACCAATAGAGGATATGCGTGCTAAGTATATTCATAGCTTTTAAGTACCGTATATCCAACCCACATAGTAAATTGGCCGCCATGTTGGACGTCAAGTTTATTAAGAGTTCAATGGGGAAAAACACATTTTCTTGCCTTGCTACCTTGAGGCCTTTTTCGGAAGCTTAGAAAGCATCCTGAGGATCTAATGGGGTCTAGTAGTCACCTGAAAGATTGCTATCAAGAAACACAGAGCGGTTTCCTGGTACCAAGCCTTTTTCTATCTTTTCTCCATTGCTGCCAATGGAAAGTTGACGTCCAACGAACTAATTTTTTTTCTTGAAAGTTATTACGGTATGCAATGAATACATTTATTTTGCAATGAATATACTTAGCACGCATATCCTCTATTTTATTTTAAGCAGTTTTCTTTGAAAACAAAATTTTAAACACTTAATTCGAATGCATACACGGCAGCTTTAAAATTTTTGTCTAAAAGACATCTAATTTTTGTGCATAAAACTACTAAAAGTATTATACATCTTAATTACCTATTAAGACAGACAAGAACTCACCCAGTTTTGTGCATATCAGTGATAGCAGGAAACATCTGTCGGATATAAGTGCACGTGCAAATCATTAATAAGATTACCATTAACAAACTCTGAAAGTTAAAAAGGGCAGACTATTGAAAATGAGAAAGTAATGATCAACAAAAGAACAACACTTCAGCTCACCATCTTTAGTAGGTGCGGTTAATTAATTTTAATTAATGAAAATTTATTATTAAAAGTATAACAATTGTACAGTTCATGAATAATAATCATGTTTGAGTCTCTCTCTTAAAAGGAGCAATGAAATTATAGTAAACAAGATAAAATGTCATTAAACAAAATAAAAGTCAATGACAACGAAAAGAGTGATGTATAAGAACAAAGCTTGGTGATTAAAGAAAATATTAAAATAATCCACACAAAAATTATAATTTTTATGTGCAATTGATCAAAATGTGCTATGATTAGTGACAAAATGATATAAGACTAATAAAATTAATGAAAGAACTATGAATAATAGGTGCCTATAGTTTGATTTGATTATTCTTAATTCAAAAATTGTGCTAAAATAATTGTTTCAACTTTTTTAAAAATAATTATTACTCCTAGAATATAATGCTTCCAAACCCAAAACACACAATTACTTTCATTCCACTAGTTTTTTTATAATTTATTTTCATTTTTACATTACAGTAAGACCAGCACCAACTAAAATCTGTGTTATGATATTCCACCTAGGAGAGGGTCTGCATCACTCTTGAATATCATGTCCAGATCCTGAGAGAGAGAAAGCAGATCCAGCTCTGACTCACTGCTAGGAGGTGCTACAGAAAGAGAAGTGGATGATGTTCCAGCTGGAGTGACATCAAACATATGAAAGAAACCATCGAAGTCCATATTCTCATCAAATGGATTCATTTCAAAGCCACCGCCAGAAGAGGAGGAGGAGGGACTGAACGGGTCAGATAATGAAGTACCTGTAACGGAAAATGGAGACAAAGAGCAAGTTTCCTGCATCTCAGAAAGAGATAAGAGGGAATCTGGATTGAAGTCAACATCTTTGAACATTTCTTCAAAATTATCACCATCAGGTATGAAGCCCTGTGACCCTATCATTGACTCATGACAACGGAAAGACGGGAAGAAATCATTCTCTGCTAATAACCTGTTATCTCCTAATTCCTCTCCAAGCTCTTCCTCTTCATCTCCTGGCCCATTCTCTCCTCCCTGCTCTTTGTTTAACTTCTTTAATATAAAATTACGAAAAGCAACAAGGTTGCCGGGATTCATTGATTTAGGCCATTGACTTGATTTGTGTGCTCCTCCTCCATTTTTACTTTTTTTACTGATTCTATGACGTGACTTACTCCCAGAGGATTTGCCTGTTCCTTTGTTTGATGGTAAAGATCCATTGGATACTGGAACAACACGTGCATATACTAATCTGCCATTCTCAATTAGTGTTGGAGGGACTGATGGTTTAGAAGATAAATTGGAAGCTAGTTTGCTAGCTACAGAAGAAGTATCCGTGTTCATAGGAGCAGTCTCAGTGTATCCTAACTGGGTCTTATGAGGCATATCGCTGGATTGAGACTCAGAATAAGCAACCTCTGGTTTTATTGTTATTACAATAGAATCTTCAGCTTTAACAGGAGGAGGTGTTGTCATTAGTGTAACAGAAGACATTGCAGGAGCTACTTCATTTGTTTTGTTTGAATTAGAAGTTGCGGAAGAGGAAGGATTGAAAGAATTGGGTACTAAAACAACGGTTTGCTTGCTCTCTTCAAAACTACTAACATTTCTAGTAGCTTTCTGAACGGTTTGCAATACATTACTGTCTTTTGATTCAAGTCCTAAAGGATTAACCTCTTTCTTAGATTGAGAGCTGGATGATGAAAAAGAGAATGCAGCATGATCTGATAATGCATCAGTAGGTGGCTCAAAAAAATAATTCCCATCACTGCTTGAGGAAGCAGAGAGTGGAGGATGTGGAGCAGAACCTGAGAAAAAGTGACCAGTACCATTCATTAGCAGCCCATCATCTGAGAACCCAAACGAAACGGGAGAAGTGGAATTAGGTAGGCCAGGAGTAGGAGTGACAGGAGTGATTGCAGGAGATAACAAAGCATTACTGAAGAACCCTGTTGAAGCATGGCTTCCATGAGGACTGACATCAAAAGTAGAGTACCCACTGTCAGACTCATACTCAGTACCAACAACTTCACCAAAGGAGGAGAGAGAGGAAAGAATGTGATCTTTTTTGTGGTTATAAATGACAGCCTCAACTTCCTCCACTTTTAGGTAAGGAAGTGAATGAATATTGGATGATTTTGGTTCTTTTTCTGCTTTTGGCTCATCCTTCACTGGAGGTAAAGAGGAGGGAACAGTATGAGGTGTTACTGAAGTATTAGGAGCAATAAGAGACATGTGAAATCCTAAAATATGGATAGGAAAGAAGGAAAAGAGATTAAAAGAGCAAGTATGAGAGTGAGAATGAAACAGCACTCTGGGCCCACATTCATCCCATTAAAATTAACTTTATCATATAATTTCATAATGGCAAGCCAATCAAAGGTAGCACACACACAGTAGCATGAGCCAAGACTTGAATGGCTGCTGATGATCACAAATTTTGCTTATCTTAATAGCATCTCATTTCCTCTTTTGAAAATTATCTTACCTGAAGGTAGGCATTCATTGGCATGAGCTACATGCATATGAAGTTCTAATCTCTTTGGTGTAGGGAAGACAAGACTGCATTGAGGACAAGGTAATGAGTATCCCATGTGAAGACTCACATGATCATTATATTCAAGCTCTGAAGACAGCTTGTGCTCACAACCTAATAGAGTGAAAAGAAGTCATTGATAATTATTATGATTATTAATGCACTTTTCAGGTAGCAATTGACTGGCAATTATAGGCTAATTCAAGTCTGTTTAGCAAACTGGCTGTGTAGTACACAGAACACTAGTTCAAAATAGGCTGCAATTAGTACTTGTCAACAACATCAGAGAACATACAGAGACTGAGACAAACAGTCGCACCTGCACTCTACTCCACGTATAACTTATCAACAATTGAAAGTTTAAATTTTAATTTTACATATGCCTTGTTGTATGCATGATGCGCATGAATACAGTCTTTTAAATGCTAAGTACTTTTAAAATGTACATGTACATTAAAATGTATAATCCATGTACATGTACATGCCGTAAACTATGAATTATGGTACCTGGTATAGGACAAATAAATTGTTCTTTTGCATGAACTTTTAAGTGACTCTTTAGATAAGACTGTCTCAGGAAAACTCTCTTACAGTCTTTGTATGGGCAAACCCAAGACTTGACAGATGAATGAGTTTGACTGTGTTTTTCAAGTTTATCAGCAGTTTGAAATGATTTGTGACAACCCTAAGAGGAAGAAAAATAAATCAGGAAGAAAGAAGCCCCATTAGTCACAGCGTTGCTGAATGTACAATTTAATATTTCCATATCTGGTACAACTACTAAGGAAATACAGAGACCACAAAAAGGCATACACTAAGTTCCAATAGAGAAAAAAATGCTAATCAACGTGTCTGGCTATTTAGTAGTTTATAATAATATTTACACAATTAATAATATGTACTGACTAAAATTTATAATTGTCTGCAATGTCATACACAAACACAAACACTAATTGGAGATACACATGTAGAAATACAAATACAATTTTACTATGAAGCTTGACTGCAAATGATGTGTAAAAATACATTGTGTACCACCACTAGTAAAGCTCAGACACACTTCGTGTCAAGTGTCTTTAACATCAATAAAAACATCTGTCCTACAGTTTAAAATCATTTATTCACCAAAAAGCTACCATTTTAAAAGTATTATAGCAAAATTTTATCTTAATACAGAGATTTGACAGAGTTAAGGTCAAATGAGCTAATTTTAGTAGTACATTAGGACTAGGAAGGAACTTTGTAAAGGAAATTGGAAACTAACAGTACATGCAGCATATAAAGTCAGGCATCTGTAATGTATCTGGTTTCACAAAGAGATATCATTTTAGCCTTAGACACTACTAAAGCCAGTCAAGGTATTGGTTTACTCTCTCTCTCTCTCTCCATAAAAGGAGTTAATTATACATGTACATATTGCATTCATACGTGCATTAGTTCATACACATATTGCATGTGCCTACATAATTAACAATACTACAATAAACACTACTAAACCCACCAAATGCAAACTACATGCATAGTGGTTTAGTACTGTACTACACTACTACAATGTAGTGAAGCACTGAGTAGGTGATTCTTACTGATTGTAGTACTGATAGTGATTCACTATACACGCTCAGGTCACCTCAAATCTAACATAACTAATAGATCTTTATCATTGTACAAATCAACCAATGGCATCTCTTGTACATGTATTCATGTACATGTACAATATATTTACATTTACATTTAAGAGTTGCACATGGAGAAGCTTGTGTTCATAAGTATCAAAATTGCTTAACATACAAGCTTACAAATTAATGCATACACTCACCTCTACTGAGCATTTAAATGGTCGGATAGGAGCTACATGAGTTCTGGCATGCACATTGAGCTTTGCTTGTGTTGTGAAGACCTTTTGACATTCCTTGCATGTAAAAACGGCATTGGCAGATGACTCTGAGTCTTCACTATCATTTCTTTCAGCTTGACTATAAAACAAATAAAAAGATAAGATACATGTACGTGTACACCTTGTAATAAACTCACATTTGTTTGATATCTGTTTTGTGTACTTTTCTTAAGTGTCCATTGAGTCTTGGTTGAGTGTGGAAGGCATCCTTGCAGCCTCTGACAGGACAACTGTATTTCTGTGGAGTGCTGTGTATGGTCTGTACGTGCATCAATAGATTGTATCGAACACTAAAGCCACGGCCACATTCTTTACACTAACAGAAAATACATGTATAATAATTACTAGCATGAACAAAAATGATTTAATAATTCAAAGTATTAAATTATAAACCACCACTTTATTAACTAAACCACCACTTCATGACTCAACCACCACTTTACTATAATAAGTATAAGTGCAGAGACTGTGGTAAAGCCACCTCAAGACTCATTAACCAATGGAAGCCACTACACTACCAAGACAGAAGACTACCTATTTGGTATCTATAATCTTTGTAGTAAATACATTTGAGTGCATTAAAGGTTTTAAATGCATTACCTGATAACTAATTGAAATGGTTCTCTTGTAAGCAACAAACATTACTATAATACTATACTTTCTAAGCAAGACTTCCAAAAAGAGGTTCAATGTCAAGTCCAACATAAAATAATAGCACACAATGGCACAATTTTATTACAACAAATTATAAAAGTGAATCAATACATGTACTGTAGATGTTTGATCCATTTATACTCTAGAGTGCACATGTATACTAGGTTCCTGTACATTATAATCTCTGCCTACAGTACTTGTACATGTATGTAGAGTTTAGAAGAGTGAAAACATAGAGTTTATTACAGTACCAAAATCTGATAAGTTATAAGTTAATAGTGTTAAGGCCACAATAATATGACCTTTTACAAGGCTAATAGTAAATGCACAAACATAATTTAGCAAGGTATGTGAACAACAATTACAAATATAATCAAAAAAATTTTATGCAGGATTTGTCTTGAATGATTAAACATGCATAATTCTGTACACTGAGTAAACAATAATTTCTTGTAATTTGTACTCTAGTCATAAATCTATAAACAACTAGTGTAGTAACCTCATTGCTTTTAGTAATACAGGCTTAGCACTTGCTGTATTAACTATAAGAGCTATAAATCAAGCTACATGTACATGTATTGTTTTACTTCTTTCTCTTTCACAAGTAATAACAAAAACAAATTAGCATGCACACAAACCCACATGGTATGTGTTCATACACATACATATGTACATGCCACAAATGAAAGCACATACTTGATAAGGTGTCTCCTTTGTATGACTTTTAATATGTCTCCTTAGCTTATAAGGTGTAGCAAATCTCCAAGGACATCCATCAAATGGGCACTAGAAATTAATAATACAAAATTAATATGATGACATATTAGATCACTATTGACAACAGTTGATAGTATGTTACACTATCTAAACCAAATTATTACAAGCAAGGATGGCAGTAGTAGAAGAAGACCATGAATAATGTGATGTGTGGAGACAGCACATTTGACAAATACATAATCTTTTGAAGAATGTCCCATTCAATAAGCTATAACCATGTAAGCTGTTAATACAACACTACAATCATGGTATACTTTTCACCTCGATAATAATGCCCCATTACTAATAAATTGGGATCATTATTCTATTCTAGCATGATGTACATGATAACACCCAATTATTACAATAAGGATCTTAAAGTGCCTCAAATATAACCACAAATTATACAAGTGCTCAATGCTGAGTCATGATAACACAACTCATTTACAATAGAGGCAACAGCAGGTGCTCCTTTTAGTGAGTAAAACTACTCAAGTTTCATCAGATATACACACGCTAAAGAAACATTCATACAAATACATGCATCATCATTACATGTACACTGTACAATGCAAATGAATCAAGGAATAGAATAATGTCCCAGTAGCATGTTATGCCCACTTATGGACAATTCCTATAATAGCAATATGAGATCAGACCTATTTATAGAGTAAGATTTAATTGAATACAGCTTGCATGCTGCAAAAACTAATAAAGCTGGAAATGTAGGAACATAAAAATAACATTCAATGTATCTTCATCTGTAGCTAATATGTAATCGCATAAAGACTTTAAGTACACATAGAATGCATGCACATTCTTTCTTACTTTGTGTTTCAATTTTGCATCATTCCCAATTGGTGGTTGAAGGTGTCTTCCTCCAGAGGACCGGTGAGGAACAACAACGTCAGTTTTGACTGGTTTCAAATTGATTACTTTATCAGAAGCAACAGTGCTAGAGCTTCCAGTGGTAGATGCTATAGTGAGATTTGAACTTCTGGTTTGTCTTGATGTACATGCTGTAAATGCTGTGTTAGTTTTTGAATGTCTTGTCTGTCTCCCCATGCCAGTATTACAGTCTCTAATATTACCTTCTACTTCTGTGACAGATGGTACAGAGGAATATGGAATATGATTGATTGTGCTGCAGTCAGTAAGAGATTGGAACGATTGTGGCTATAAATAACATGTGTATGTGTGTAAGAGAGAACATGATAAAATGCTTGTATCCAAATTGGGATGAAACCCATACAACAAGTGCACATTATAATTAACTGTAGCAAGCAAGTGACAGTTCCAAATAGTAAAGGTTACAAGTCAGGATTAAAATAAAAGAAACTGTGTATCATATGCAACCACCCACAAACAATAAAATAGTTCTTGTTTCACAATGTAAAAAATAACAACAAAATACACCAAAATAGGTCATTCACACAAAAAATCACACCTTGCTAAGGAATTAGCATTAACAGCGTACAAATGATACAAAAAGCAATTGTGGAATCACATTCATTTTCTAGATCAACAATAATCAAGTTATAACATTAATTATGTCAGACGAAAAATGGTGAGACATAGGCATAAAGGACAATAATTCTTCAGAAGCAAGACTAGCTAATGCGTTAAGAGTGGTTAAGGAATACTATCGCATAAGCTTTCATTGTCACCTGATGTTTTTGAAACGGCTGCCAGAATCAGTACATGCAAGACGTCACATTGTAATGCTTTACAGACATAAGCTTATACATGTCTTCTTCAAAATGGAGGCAAGAGGACTAGCAATACATAGTAGTAGGAGGGGAAGTAGGAGGAGTAGAGGTTTGTACAAGTAAAACGCGGGCTTTTGGTAGGTCTATGCTTCCATAGTTGACCAATAATTCACTATGACTACTCAAATTACCTTAATTGTAGATTGTCTGCTTTTACGAACTATCAGAGCACAGCGCATCTCTCGGAGGAGCCGTGGTGTTCCTTATCTGTTTCTCTTGCTTCCAGTGGGTCTGTGTAGTGTGTATATCCAGGATGTGAGAGCAGGTTTGTACGAGAAGTGATTTGGTCAATTTAAGTTTGGCAGTGGCTCCACGCTACGCGAGTCTATCACTAATTCCAAAATTTAATAGAGCGGTTGTGTCTGGGGTTGGTGGTGCTATACTTCTAAGGAGAAGGTTTCGAGTCTGATATGGGCCCACACAGTAGAGAGAAGGAAAGCAGAGATTGACTAATGGCAGATCACACTTCAATAATACTGAAACAGCCGACTATCTGTCGTTTACCCACAGCTATATAAACCGAGGGAGGCCGTGCAAATATTCCAACGCCCACTCTCAATCACTTATACTCGCTAGGTATGAAAGGTTTATAGCAGTGGGTTTATACTGTGGTAACTACAGTGATACTTGAAAAAAAATAGTTTCTAATGTTTTTCATTCGGGAATACTTCTATCATAGCATGACAATAATCTACAGCAGCATGCATAACAAACATAAAATAAATTCACTGCCTTACCTTCATGAAGTATTCATAATAACTGGGATTTGTATATCTGTTGAATTTTGTAAATTCTTCTGCAAAATAGTCAATGTTGCTGAAATCTGCAGTCATTTTCCTTTAGAAAATGACTTTTTGAGATGATGAATGCAACAGTCTTTTATAACCAATTTTTCTCTCCACTTCCTCATTTGAATGCTCGTGGCTTCACAGCATCAAAGTACACATACAAAAAGTACTATGAGTATATTGTTGCTCCAGGCTATAGAACATACCTATTCATCAGTTACAACGTCATTAATTTCCTTTGAACTTAATCAAGCCTTATAACTATTATTTCCTGTAATATCAACTCCTACACAAAGTTCATGCATAAAATACAATTCTTCCTGCACAATCAAAACTCAAAAGCAGAACATAATTTGGTAGCGTGCTCACATCAAGATTATCTTCAAATCAAAAGTTCCCTTTTTAAACAAATCTGTAAGTAATTTTTCTAATTTAGCAAATCTGTATCACTTCGCTCACATGCAATGAATAGTTGGCAGACGCTTCTCACATAATAACTCCTCAAAGTTAATAATTGTAATGCTAAATGAAATATTAAAGAAAATTATGATAACAAGTTCAATAGAAAATCACCTGCAGTTATGGCTAAAATTCAAAAAATTAATGTTTTGAGAAATAAAAATCTGAGCACTGTTTTGTCTTGTAGAATACAGTGCACTACAGAAGTCCCTAAAGTTCATGCACATGCTAATGTACTAGACTAGAATTGTGCCATTCCTCACTAATTTGAAAAATACTAATTAACTAGAAGGATAAGTCATATTTTAAAATTAAGTGTCTATGTGTGCTCCAATACCTGTATTTAATACATATTTTATAGCATGTTTTAGTACTATTAACACATTCTCCGAGGGTGACCTTCCAAACAGCTATAATGAAGTCAAGCCAATTGAGTCCATTAATTCAATGACATACACACGTGTAACAAGTATAAATTTAAAATTTATAGTTTTATTAGAAGGAGATCTTGCCTATATGTCAGCTTAAAAATTACTGAAACACAAGGTGAAAAAGATATACTTCAAAAAGTCAAAACCCACAGGGCTCATGAACATTTGAATCACCAGATATCAGTACAGGCAAGGCAAGACTATAAAATCTCGAACAACAAAAATAAGGAGTTGCACAGCATTACATTGAATTTTAAGTGCTTAACTACTATTAAATGCAATAAAACATCATCTATTGCGTTGTCAAATTATGATGTTGATTTACAGCTCACTAAAATTTTAATGGCAAAAGAATAGCCTTTATCATCCTTCAAAGCACAGATAGTTCAAAGCAACTAACATTAAAGGTGGCTATGGCAACCATAAAAAATGAATATTGCCAATACATGTTGTTCTGTTACTAAAAATCAAATTCAGAATCACTCAATAAGTATTGCTTATAATGTAATTGAGTAATGAATATATAAGGTTTATTTACACACAAATATGAAGCAATCAAATTTTCATATAGTCACAAATAATAGCTTTAAAATAATGACACAGCAAAAGTATCACAATGAGGTGAACTTGCTTAAAATTCATTAACTACAAATGTTTCCATAAAATAATGAGTAGCATCAAGTGTTAATAGTAGCATAGTATAGTACAATATTTGCATAACAACAATAGGTTGAATGATGGGTGTTCCATTATTTTCATGATTAAGATTCTTGAGAGTAAGGTTACTACTACTATAAAGGTCAAAGTAGCATCTACAATCAAATCTTTCCTCACTTCCTTTTCACACTACATGATAATGATTTTGGGACAAGTCCAATTGTTCCCAGCCAAGTACTAGTCTCATGTAGCCAGACTCTCCACCCTTCTTGACTTCAGAAAGGGGTGGAGAGTCTGGCTACACGATAGTAGCCATGTACTAGAAGTGACATACACATACCTGTACACACATAGATCTACATGAGCATACAAACACACTGTTTCAGTCCATCACATAACATCACCCAATTACAAGAGGTATATGTATATGTACATATGTTATTATGTATGTGCATAATACTCAATGACCCCAAAGGTGCAGTCGCAATATGTACATGTATGATAAAATGAGTGTAATATTATTAATTATAATAAACTAATTTCAACATTTAAGTATCTAAATAAAACTATATATTTTTAGAGGCTATATGCAACATGTAACAGTACAACAAAACTGACCTGCACTACCATCTACATTCAACATCCCCTCCAGTTTGGCTGTAAACTACACAATAGAGCAGATCACTAATTGTCTAGAACAACATACTCAGTAGACATGTCCCATAATGGAGGTTGGGTGTGACATGAGGAAATCAACCTCAAACAGGCATAAATGTACACATGCACTTTTGATGAGTGTATCCTCCCCTGATACCTCCTCTCTCTCTCAGAACCTGGATTAGCATACTTCCTCCTGTTAGCTCAAACTAGGAAATACTTTGATGTCATTGAGACAAAGAGAGGAAGTGAAATGAGTGGGATAAGATCAAAAAATTATTTTAAAACAAGAATTAATGTTGGAAGCATTAAAATGTGTTATGTCTGTCTTGACCATAACTACTACAGTAAGCAAACACAGTATAACATGTCAGTGTACGAGAGAGTTTAGTCACAAGACTAAGACAACAGCAACATGCATGTAATGTCAATGTGTATAAAAATTGTGAATTAAGTTACGTACTACTTCAAACATTATGCACTAACTCAATATATTCATTGCCACAATTTGAAATATTGACACATATCAATATACATTACATGTATACAATACAAAATTTCATTATACATGTGCATGTATATACACGCAATCACACTTTCAGTTAATTGGATGATGCAGAATTGCATAGGATTCTAATTTATGGTAAAAGCATGAGCTAATAGCTTAATTATTTTTATAGAAACTTTACCATAGTTGGTACACAACAAATTTAACTACATGAAATACTTGTGGACCAAACACAAAATAGGCATAATGTAAACAAAAACTCTCCCTATAAGTACATGTACATCTTGAGGGCTAAAATTTATGCACAGCAAGTAAAGAGATATTCTAAAAAAAGAAAATTAGAGGTCCAAAATAAGCAAAGTATGTCACTGCAATTTAACATTGTAAACAAAGCCACACATCATGCAATTAGTACTAAAGTTGAGTAGAAAAACAGGAAAGTAAGGTAAAAGTCTACTTTGTTGTGAAAGTTTAAAATACATCAAAACTACAAACAACAACATCACTCCCACTATAGTTGCATTTTATTAATGTAATTCCATTTGCTTTGACGATGTGTGTTTATGCAAACACTTGTTTGCATCATTCAATCAGTGATACAGTTTAGAATAATTACTCAAACAGAAAACTGCCATAGTGAGGCAAATGAATGAAAAAATATTTTTAAATTGTACATTAAATTAAATACCACACCCCAGTCACTAGTTTCCACGACAAAATGTCCTTTTCTACTTCTTCCTTCCTCCTCTTTCTTTGAGGCCTAGAAGGACGACAGTTTCGCTTGTAACATTATAAAATCCAAGAGTGTTTGAATCTTTAATGAACAGAGTCTATGAGAGGGATAAAATAATGAGAGAAAAAGATATCAGCCAATACAATTTTAGAATGAAATTGACGTTAAAATTAATAAATTTTCTAACTTACCCCAATTTGAAGTTTTTGCTTTCCAGGTGGCATCCCTAGTTCATCTGCAATCTTTGATTTAATGACTGACACCTGAAAAGACAATATTATTATTAATTTTTTATTTGTGAAAAAGTGGACAAATCAAATGAAACTGTGTTTGGTACTCACTGGATCTGTGATAGGCAAAGAAATGCTCAAATTCTGTCCATTCAATGGCCACTCTGACCTTTCCCCCACATTAGGGACTAATACAGTAAATGTAACTGGACCCTAAAAGTACAAACAAAACAACTTACATCAACAGTACATCTAGCAATATGTTTATGTAGATCAATTAAGTAAAATATTAATGAGAAAAAGTCAACAGTTCAAGGCAGACAACTAAAGGCCTTTAAAGCTACACTTGAACCAGTTCCAGAAGTGGGCTCATCAATGCAATTCAATGCGCATCAGATGATTCCACACTATCATCAGGATCATGTATATTTTGATATGGAGGTGGTTTGAGATAAATGTGTATTGAAATCATCAGGTGTGGAATGACTGGAACCGGTTTCAAACCAGTTCAATGGGCATTAAGCCCCGTTTACACTATGCCCTTAAAGCGGTTCCAAACTGGTGTAGACATAAATCAGTTTACGTGTGGACAATTTCAATGCGGTTTCAAACCGACTTATGTAAACCACCTCAGGAGGTGGTTTGAAATAATCAAACTGGTTTAAGTACTGAAGCAGCTGTATTATGTATGCAATGTAGCATTGTAAACCAATTCAACAACAGTTACGTGTGAGCACAATTAAGCTGGTTTCTGAACCACTTTGATCCAAACTGGTTTGCAGTGTAAACGGGGCTTTAGAAGTGCTAGTGTAGAAAGGCCTTTAAATGATACTAAGAAAAGTTGATACTGCATTTGAATGTAGTTTTGCATAATAGTTAAATAAGACAGACAATAATATTTCTAATAATTACATATGCACAATTTTACATCCATTAACATCCATGAGGATAACTTTTAAAGTAGATTGAGAAAAAGAGAGAGGAGACTTACAGGATGTGATGCAATAAACTGATTTTCAGGAATAAGATTATCAATATCTGATTTAGGCTTCTTTGCCGCAGGAGGCTCAACAGGAGGAGCTGGATGAATGAATGGGTGGGGCATTGGATGAGGTATCATTGCAGGTGCTGGAATGAACCCTTGCATAGGAGGAGGAGTTGGTAGGAGAGGCTTGGGCAACTAAATATGTGGCACAATATAAAATGAGACAACGAATCAGCTTACTTGATCAATAACTGGTGGAGGTTTAGGAATCTAAAGGGACAGGAGTGAGTCTAATAATAGAAGTACACTATGTACACATACACTACCTCTCTTATTATCTGTTTAGGAGGAGGAACAGGAGAAGGGATGGGATTTGAACCAGGTACACGAGGACCAATTTTTTCCATATCAGGATCAGACCTGCGGTGAGGTACAATTAACATATACTGTACATTATACATTGTACATGTGCATGGGTACATGTAGGGCTTAATTTTCCAGCAAACTCAAAAATAATTCCACTAAATTTTTATTACAATCCAATATAAATATCTTAAATTACGTACCCTTGGTATCACATACTGTATTGAAGGCCTTTTCACACAGACAAAAGTAATGTGCATTGATGTGCATTAATGGCATATAGAAATAAAAAATCTATCTCTACAACAATTATACATGTATTTTAGAAGGCTCAGCCTCACATATCAATGATGAGTGGCCGAATTTTCTAAATTTAAGTTTATTTGTAGTAATAATTAGAAATTTTACGATAACTCGCTCTGCCTATGGGTTGGGCTCTTCATATACACGCACTGACTCAGTGAGATCACCTTGGCCATTTTTACAACAGCCACAATTACATGGAAACTAGGCTTAATGCACATCAAGGAGCATCACTCTCACTTTAAAAACTGTGCCCGGCTTGTACAGTACTACATGTACATGTATACCTGTGTTTGATCATTGAACATTCACAGTTTCATCACACATTGTCAATACCACATTAATAAAAACCTTAACTATAGATACACTGTACATGTACATGTAAACTGAAGATTGTACTCACTGAGTGATAGGTCCACCTTTAGCTACTGCTAACTGTGCCAGCTGCTTTGTTTTTTCAACACTTGCTGTGTATCCATCCCATTGCAATGATGCAGGCTGTCTTGATTGAGGCTCTTCACCAATCTAATTCATGAAAAGGGAAATGGAGGCATTTCAATGCAACAAAGCTTAAAGTTACTTATAATTGTGGGTACTAAATTTTGCAATTTTAGCACAAGGTAGATTCTGCTGGTATTAAAAATAGCAATCAAGTATTTTATTACTAATACTTATGTGATGTAACTCATAACTGCACATAATAACTGTGCTTTTAAACCCAAATACAAAATTTGAAATTAATAGTACCCAACTACCCATACTTAAAAGTAACCTTGAGGTGCATGTACATGCGTACAAGTAGCTTACTTCTTGTCCAATAACAGTTTCTTCCATACCAAATATATCAGTACGTTTCTTGGCTAAGTGACGTATATTAGATGCTATATTAAGACCCTCAGCAAAGACTTCCTCCTCTTGCTGTCTGTCTTCAATCTTCTTCTTTCGTACATCAACCCAACGTGGATCAAGAAGTGCTACAATATAAAACACATTATAAGAAAGAATGCACTGAAAGAATAAACTGTATACAATAGTGTGGTATTGTGACATGCACTGTAAAAAGATCAAAAACTGAATGATACTCTTACCGTGTCTCATGTGTTCTTCCAGTTTATCTGCTGGGACCTTCTCTCCAGTAATTGGTGACACCAGCAACTGCTGACTAGTAGTGGCAGCTGAAGCTAAAACATTAGAAAATCAGTATAAATAAAATTTCCTAAGCCGAAGGTTTCCCACGAAGCAGGCAAAGTGAACTAAACAGCATACTATACTTCATAAGCTGACAATTATAAGCACCACAAAAAAACAAATTTGAGCAGAATCAACTCAAAATTGATACACAAAATAAACCTATGTACAAGTATTTAAAAATAAGTATCAGAAATTACAAAAATAGAGAATTCTCTCCTTGTACATTTACATGTACATGTACATGTAATTCTTGTCATAGTATGGGATCTCTGACAATGCAGCTTTGGAGCAACTTTTAAAATCCACTGACAAGAAGCTATACATGAGCCAGTACTATGCTAATTTCTAGTGGGAAACCCTGCCTAATTTATTCAGTTATTTCATTGTATACAATGATACATTACAAATCCTCATGAAGTGTTACCTTTAGGATTGTAGTCCTTCCTTATTTTGACATTACTAGTTCCTGATGGTAATGCAGGGACTGAAGGAGGAAGAGAAGGTGTTGCTACTGTTGATTGGCTTTCAATAGATGGAGCTTCCTCTTCCATCGCTTGCTCTTCCACTTCCATCTCAATCTCTTCAACTTCATTATTTTCCTCCTGAGAAAGAGAGCAAGAGAAAAGTCAAGACACATGTATTAGGATATGTCCAACTACTTCTTGTCTATCATATTTTTGTTGTTGAAGTAGTCTTGCTGCCAATTGTGATGGTTGAATAGGTGGAGGGAGATAACCTAAATTAAAAGTAAAAGCATACAAAGTTAATTAGCATTTAGCAATGTGTGACTAACAAGAATTCTAATTATACATGTGCTAGTACTGTAGTACATGTGTATATCTCTGTAACTATGTACTAGTAATGTAGTACATGTGTATCTCTGTAACTATACATATATACACTGTATATATATACATGTACAACAGAAAAAATCTTACTACTGCAATCAATACTACCAAATTACTATTAATTCCATACAAAGCTGAAATATTACCTTAAGCCTACTATTTTTAGTGTCTACTAAATTTAGCTACATTAGCGAGAGAGCTTTAAATAGCTAAATTAAATAGACGCCAAAATAATTATTATTCATTATAATGGTTATTATTTATAGTTAATTTGGTTAAAAACGCTAAAATTAGTAACACTAAACATGACTTTTGTTGATTTCGCTAAAATTAGTAGACGCAAATAATAGTAGGCTTAAGGTAAGCTTAATTGTGATTAACAATACATTGCATAAAAATACAATATACATTTTAAGTGCAGGTTGGTTATTCAGATATATAAATGTGTACCAGACTACCAGTAGGTGAAACTGATGTACAGTATGTACATTTCACCAGTGTACTATTGATATAGTTTCTTGCTAAGTTAGAATTTGTGGCATGATGATTGATCTCTCTTCTCCCTCATCTCTATTCAAGTTTATATATTTATATGAAGCTACTGACGTGCTCTACTTCAAGTTTCCTTATGTTTTTGTCTTCCCAACCCATATAGATGTACTTAAAATCCTAACCCATACAACCTTAAATGAATTCACTGTAACAATTTAATTTTCATATTATTCTCAATTGAGCTTACCTTTAATTCTGTACATTATACAACGTAAACGATTAAACTATTTAATGCTATTTGACAGCAGATCGACTATATACAACAGTACATGTACATGCACTAAAGCATAACAGGCACATGAGTCTAAACCACATACATGTACATGTATACTGATTATTTGTGTAATACAATGTAACTTACCGGCTTCACTCTCTCTAAAGTTGATAGTCTCAACAATAATAAAGTCATGCCAATCAATTTGAGCATACTCAACTACACAATCAAAGATGAACTAAATTATCAATCATTATTAATTTAATAAACCTCTTTCTTTCTCTGCTTGCTCCTCTGCCTTCCTTTTCTCTCTATCCTGGTACTGCTGCCACACTACCCTAGTGTTGACCTGATCCATTAACTAAAAAAATTAAATAAGCAACATATGATGCCTATAAAATCATGGTCTGAACTCTGAAATATTCATAAATTGCTAAATTTCACAATAATCAAATATTTTGAAAACAATTAACTAACACAGGAAGGTTTGCAATAGTTTTTGAGCAAGTTTAGAAGCTTCACAAATTTTTTAGCCATGAGAATTTAGAGATATAATGTATTGACAAGGGACTAACTTCACTGACTCCAAGTGGATGCTCAGCCAACTGTCTCAATTTTTCAGTTTGGCTATACGATGGCATCAGAACCTAAATTATTCCAATTAATACAAAATATAATGATTCAGAATTTAACATACAGTACACATACATTGTTCAGTTCAAAATGGAATTGTCATAAAGTATGCACTTACTTTACTGTACTGTTCAACAAGTTTAGTAAAGTATGAGAAAAGAATGTGGTTTCTTCTGAGAAAATCAAATGTTTCATTTTTCTGTTCCCTCATCATCAATTGATCCATAAAGTGAGCACCATTACGAGCAACAAACTGAGCAGTTAGTTTAACAATGTCACTGTAAAAAGAGAAAAAGAAAGAAGACAAAGTATAAGAGACAAAGTTAATTACACATGTACAGTATGTCAAATGGTTCCATAAATTCATGTACATGTATAGCAGAAAAATATACTAAACTGGTACAAAATCATGTACAAAACTACGTACAGTACATCAAGGCATTTCAGGTACATGTACATGCATCTAAGCATACAGATGTCGTCTTGATATTGCTGGAGGCTCAGCCATAAATTCCCATTCAGGAGGAGGTTCCTTTGGTATCTCTGGCTCTGTTACTATAGTAACTGGCTGAACAGTAGGACGGGGAGCAGCTTTGGAGGTTTCCATTGAAGCTTCTTGACCTACATGTACATGTACAACAAATTATAGAATGAAACATAAAGAACATAATATGTATCAAGCTAGATAAATATAATTTCGAAAACACATGTGCATGATAAACTTACTAACTCCTTCCTTAATCTCTTTTATCTTATGTTGATAGTAGGCATGGTATGGATCACCAAAATTAAGGAAATTAAATTTAGTATTGTTTGCTTCGTTAAGTCTTATCCGTCCTTCAAACTCAGGGCCTAAAAGTGATAAGAAAGTGAGAACAGAATACATGTATTTCATAACAATAGAGGGATAGAGGGTTCAAAGAAAAAAAGGAGAGAACACATGAAGTGGTTACATACCATTTCTAGCAACAAAATCGGCAGTTTTATCTACAATATCTATTTAAACGATATAGATCAGGAAGACAACAACAAAAGTTAGTACCACTCTAAATTGATGATATACATTGTACATGTATATACATGTATGTACTGTATAGCCGGAAACTTGAGTTTCATAAATCCACCAAAATCTTTTGTGAATTTATTTTTGTGAATCAATGCATTATACGTGTACATACCCCTACCCATTGTACAGTATCAAATGTATTCCATGTATGTATATACACATATAGATATTGACGAATTTTCATTACGTAAATCTCATCGGAACTGTTAAAACAGTCCCCCAAAATCTCCAGTTATACAGTACAGTGAGTACACAACAATTTACATCATTATAAAATTATTATAAAAGTCCAAACTTGCATGGACCACAAATAGGCATAGACTCATGGGGTGTGTGCAGTATGTTGAAAACTGAATCATGGATACTCCTAACTTCAGGAGGAGGATAAATAATCCCAACTACAGCCTTAGACTCCTTCTTCTTTTCACCTTCTCCACCATCATCCTGGGGCTGTTGCTCCACTATCTCAGGCATATATATATATACGTTGTAAACGTGTGTTGCTGCTTGGTGAAGTTGTAGCAAAAAATTATGAAAAATTGAAAATTTATGAATCTCTATTTAAAGGGAAAGTGGGTGTGGACTGTGGAGTGAAAAGGTAAAATTAAATTTCAGTGGCATTGATTAGTCGATTGATTCACTCGACTCGAGGTGGTAACACATTGGCTCGCACATTGGTAACAAGATGTCATCAGAAAATCAAAAACAGGAAGAAATAAAACCTGAGGGAAAGAAGCTAAGACCTTGTTGTGCCTGTCCTGAGACAAAAAAAGTGAGAGATGAATGCATAATGGAAAATGGAGAAGAAAACTGTTTGACATTGATAGAGGAACATAAGGAGTGTATGAGGAAGTTAGGATTTAAAGTTTAGTATTAGTATTATTCATGTCATATCATTCTTTTATATTGGATGCTATTGTTAATTATTTAAAAAGTGCTTAGTAAATTATTCAGTTAGCAGAGACTCAAGATGTAGTGACAAGAATATCAATTGTATGTGCATAGATATTTTCAAGATAATGTTTTGGTTAAATGTTTTCAGTCAATCTTAATTTTTTTAATTCTGAAGTAATGTTGCCATCTCTAAAACTGATTCTATTAGTCCATAGATAATTTTGCTAGGAAAAGCCTTTAATAGATCAAATACAATACATTGATATAGTCTTGCTAGCCATACCTTAGTTCGGCCCCTTACATAAAGAGGCACACTGATACAGGTATGTAGAAAGGGGACATGACAAGACTAAATAGTAGATACAGTAACTTTTGAGTTGAAGGAAGATGGGCTTGAAGCCATTCAATATGCCACCTGTTTGTAAAGGTATATCCTGATACATGTAGGTCATTCATAAAGTGAAACACATTCTTAAAGTGACATGTAGCTACATCAACTATTCATTGAATTATAATTTAGTTTTGCTAGCGAGACACATACCCACTTACAATCATGGGAGTACTGTACAGGCACAAGAAGTGTATGATTTAGATCTGTTTAATTGTTATTATTGTTTGGAATTGAGATCATAAATCATGTTACAGATCATTTGTACATTTGTTTTTGTGATACGTTTGGCACATTAAGTCAGTAGTAAATATTATTTTGCCAATTGTACCACTAATAAATAAATTTGAATTCTAGTGAAGCAACTTTTGCTAAATTGTCAACTAAATATCATTCCTAAATACTGTAATGGGGTACCAATAAAACTAGACTATTTTTCTTGTTCTTATATCTAAGCATTATTATTTACATACATGTAGATTACTACAAAGAGAAATAAATTGTATAGCTCTCAAATTATTATATTACAGCATCTCAGTTGCCTAATACTACAACTATATTGTAGCTAGCAATTGTAATATGCAACTGTAGCAAGTTCCAAATAATATGCTTCATTGTATTTCAAAACATTTTGTTATCCTTGTGAAAGTTGTTCCACACGTAAATGGCTAATAAACAGATTGACAGCAGATCCCTGAGTCCTTGCATCAAGGCAAGGAGGAATTGTTATCAGTTGACATTCTTGCACATAATCCTTGCAACAACTACCGATACTGTTGTTATCAGTATACCCATATAGAAAAAACAAGGTTGCAGCATGGTTGTGGCAACCTTGTGACAATGTTGTTGTTACTAGGTGGTCACAAGGTGGTCCCTACCTGGCCACAAGGCCCACCACCTTGTAAAAACCCTGGAATTGACACGTTTTCCACCTTGTGACAACCATGTAACAACCTTGTGACAACCTTGTCACAATGTAAATTAAATTCAATAGAATAACTATAATCTGAAAGCCTATCGACACATAATTAATGTCATATAATGTCAAATGATTTCTAGATACTTGTAATGTATCTATGATACATGTAGTTAATGTATAAAGATGTGGATGTGTATTAATGCTATCTTTATTGACTTGTACAAGGGCTGGTCAATGGTCCCCTTATATATGGTAGCAATAGCTTCATATCATCGTGGGGCGTACTTAATGAAACCTCAGTTTCCTGCCAACCTTCGGACAACCTTGTCACAAGGTTGTTATGTTTGTAACACGTTAGTCACAACTTCAGCACTTTTATACAAGGTTGTCACTAGGTTGCTCACAACTTTATCACTTTTGTACAAGGTTGTTACCAGGTTGCTACAACCTTGCAAGGTTGTGAACTGGTTGTAACAAGCTTGTAGCAAGCTTGAAATTTCTATATGGGTACCAAGGATTACATCCCATTGTACACCAGCAGTACCCACCTCCTCTTATAGGAAGAGCTTGATTCTTATTGCATGTTCCCTTGCAGGACGGGATTTGCTTATCCTCAGGTAGACATTGGTCGACATAATCAAGGCAACAGTCAAGGTGCTTATCACATTGTGCATCACAATAACACACACCACCACTTGCTGTTTTGATGGGTGTACTACTGTTACAATGGCCGGAACAAGAAGCGCCCACAGGTCTCTTTATCCCAACACTGAAGTCATAGTCATTTTTATGGCATAAGTGATCAGTACGATTATAGGACCATATCCAACAATCAATGCCCGGAACATCTTGATAGGAACTATAAAGGTATTTAGAGCAGTTTGAGTACTCCATGCATTTCCCTTTACAGACATTTTCATCATTAGTTAAACCTTCCCATAGCTGTGTATTATTACCAGCACAGCGTAACTGACTTTTATGAAAGAATATACTTGGATCTGGTGGAATTATTTGAGAAGTTGTATTTTCTCCCCACCACCAGTGAAACTTTGGGTAGTTGACAGCAGGTTTAAGAGGACCAGTGTTACAGGCATCAGAAGTATTGTTAAATGGAGGCCATACAACTGATTTTGTCCATGCAGAATCACTTGTCTTCTGTATAAATGCTGTCACTTTTTCTAACATATCATCAGAAAAGCTTCCATTATCCCTCAGCGTCTCCACAAAATATCCAAGATGGAGCATGAATATACCTTGGAATGAGTACCAGTCACCCCCAGGATCTGATGAAGAACCCCAACAATCATATTGATAGTTTTGATAGCCTCTAGGCTCATCTATAAGAATACCTTCGTCGGTAGTATAGTTGGTCAGTATAGCTTCTAATGCTCTCATTCCTACTAGTAGATAGGTCTTGTTACCAGTCCTCCTGTACAGGTAAGCTGATGAACTCATCAGTAGTCCTTGATTATATGAAGTACCTGGTATCCTTGAATTGTGACATTTAGCAAACGGATCAGTTGATGAAGAATTACAGCAGTTTTCAGGAACAGCACCAGTTGATACTAAATACTTTTCAGTCATTAAGCCATATCCATCATCAAAACTGAAGAACCAGTTCCATACTTTTTCTGCCTTCAACAAGTAAGTATCATTTTTAGGAAAAAGATAAGCTAGTTTTGATGAGAAGTGAAGCATCTGTAGTATAGTGATGGAGTCTTTAAAATGATGGTCTTCACAATTATTCCACCAAACACCACCACAGCTAGTATTGGTTGACGTTTCATTGGTTGACGTTTCATTTACTCTGTCATCATCCCAGCCATAAAACCATGACCAATTGTATATACCGAGAGAGCGGTTGAGCCATATTGGTTCCTATTTCAAAACAAAACATCTTTTATTAGTTTATTACCATAAATCTACCATAAGCTTGTAGCACTATGCCGTTAGATACTAAGTAATCAGATTGTGTAGTTGTCAATATATGAATCAGTCAAAAACAAGATGTGAACCATTATACTGTATAGCTCAAACTCCTTGTTTTTTTTATTTTTGTGGTTTAAATTTTTTTCAATATTGATAACAACAAATCTAGTGAAAATAATTTTGTAAAATTTGAGCCTGCATGAAAATTAATTCCACACCAGCTACTGCTTCACAAATTCTCAAAGCTAGAATAGAAACCCCAAAAATTGAAGGTTTCCCTCAGGAGGTACTAAAACTTTTCTGAATATTTGTTTTAAAAATGGAAACAAGCTAATGGAATATTTTTCAATTCTTCTATCATGCGACAAAAACTGCATTCAAATTTGGTAGCAAATAATCATATCTTCAATAATACATGAACCAACACATTACCTTGAGCCATTCATATACTCGTAAGTAAGCAATACCATACCACAGAAAATCATCAATGAAAGTACAAATAGCTGTAGCATTCCATTTTTCATTATACGGTGAATGAGCATAAATAGTGCTGGGGACAGTAGCATTTCTGTTAGATTTAGTGTAAATGCCATAAGTGGCAATAGATTCAAGAGAGACAGCATCCCACCAGCGATAACAATCAGTACAAGCATCTCTCGTATTACAGCTACATTGGGTCCATACTTCATTTCCACCCCAACCTCCTATTTGACCACAAGAAAAAAAGAAACCAATTTTTTTTGCCTTGGGGTCATGCTCCCAGAAATAATAGAGCAAGCCATCTAGAGCTTCTGTCGCACGTGTAGTGGCATTGGGCAGAGCAGTATTAGTTCCATGACTTCCTTCAGTTTTCTTGCTGCTGGGCAAGCTGCTGAAGGAGAAAGACAGAACAAGGAGCAATGTTAACACAGCATACATGATAAAAATAGTAAATAATCAGATTCATTACAGTCTAGATATGGTGAATCATATGATCAATGATTATAGATGTGATAAAGCACGTGATATAGCAATCCTGTTATTCATGTATCAACAAATAAATTATTACTAAAAAGCAAGTATCAACAAATAAATTATTAATAAAAAGATTAGATCACCGTTAGTAGAAATTCAAATCAATCTTCATTACGATCAAATTTTAAAAATTTCTCAGCATCTGAATAACAGTTAAATTTTGTTTCAAAATCCTTCCAACTAAGGGATACAAAGAGAGCAAAATCGCAATCTGCAACTTTCAAAGAAGCCAATAGTGTTACAAAATCTGATACTCCCACCTCTGTGAAATTGTTATGCCCAATGTCAAGAAACTTTAAACTATTATGGCGTCTATTGGTAGTAGTCCCAGAAAAAAGTTGTTTCAGCATTTTACACAATAAAAAGCCTCCTTTATCACCAATGAAATTATCTCGAAGGCCAAGGGTTGCTAAATGAGTTGATTCTAACACAGCTTCAACAATAATAGGAACAATGTCAAAGTTAATGTTACAATTGATTAGCTCTAGGTTTTCTAGAGTAGAGGAGGAGAGTGCCTTGGGTAACTGGTTGAGGTTCTCTACAGCACATTGCGATTGTTCAATACGTAAAACTCGAAGTGAAGCAGCACAGGGCACACATTCAACTATTGCTTTGATACTATCGGATCCTAATTGATAGAGTTCAACTGTGCTAAGATTAGTTACTTTTGTCAATAGCAATGAGCACTCTTCAGAACTAAGCTTAGAGAAAGAAACCCGTTTAATATTATGCATAGGAATCATTGCTTCAAGGAGAGAACGTTGATCACCTTCTTGCAATCGATTATTGTGATACAAAAGGGTAGACAGGTTATGAAACTTCTCAAAACGTTTGGCAAATTCTATAGCTGATTGAAGCTGTAGTTCACAAGTTGACAAACGTAATGAAACCAAATGGTGGAGAATACGATCAGGAAAACACAACAACTTTATCATTCCTTCATCTCCAATAGGATTAAGTGAGAAACTAATTTCATTTATTTTACATGAAATAAATTTCTCGGAATATAATCCTCTCTGAAGTCTCTCAATATGATCATGAGTTACACCACGAAGCGTAAAACTCAGCTCCCATTGGCATTTACTCAATGCTATGCATCTTCCAATTATGTACATGTCTTGGGGTGTGGCCTTTGGTAGCAGTCGACGAATTTTGAATATCTCATGACTTTTGTTGAATAGTCGACTTATGATAGACTCATCCCCAGACTCATATAAGCAATGCAATGTATTCATGTTGTACAATTCTTTGTTTACACTTATTGTGATTGACTTTAACTCAGTAAGCCCAGCTAGAAACCGAAGCATTGTCGCCAAATTTCTTACATTTTTGTATCGGTGAAAATGTTCCTTGATTTCTTTTCGAGGTAGCTGGCTAACATGATAGGCAGCAAGGAACTCTTGAATAGTGAGATGAAGAAAGGAATAAACAACAACATCACCTTTTCCTGGATAAAGTTGAATTTCTTTCTGCATTATGCCTAAAGTTTCAAAGTTGCTTCCGAAGGTCTCAAATTCATCATTTGCATAAAATAAAAGCTTTGTCTTCTTTTCTCTTAGGCCATTATATGCTATTTCACAAATTTTCTTAAATTCTATAGCAAGATTATAAGGCAATCTATTCAAATCTGGTATACTAATTGATTTTGCTGGATTCTGACTTTTCATATGTCGATATAATAATGTTTTAATCATTACATCATATAATTTGGTTGATGTTACAATGCCTTTTAACGGAACTTGCTCTTCATTTCTAATGGACTGCTCAAATATGGTGCATACAATAACGAGATTGACAGGAATATAAAGAGAGTCTCTTATTTTTGGTGACTCTTCTAGATGTTGATTAAAACTCGTAATATGCTCACTGTTCCCTTTGAAAAACTCAGTAACATATTTTTCAATGCTTGGCTTAGTAAATCCAATCACTTCAACGTGACGCTCAAATAAAATTTCCTGTTTTAAGCAATGCTTTGCTGATGGACGACTAGTGAAGATAAAAGATGCACTTGGGAGCTCAAAAGACAACTTTAAAAATACTGAATCAGGTGTGGTAAGCTCATGAGGTAGCTCATCAAAACCTTCAAGAATAATAATGACACCCTCTCCACTGTTATCAATAATATCTCTAACAACTTCCTCCTTCCATGACTGACCAACCAAGAAGCAACCCAGTAACTCTTTAACGGTCTCACAATCTTGTACAAATTTTTCTCTTAAACGAAACAATAACAGCAGTGTGTAGCCCATTAACGCTTTTCCTTTGACCCATCGGCTACATATCTCAAATGCAAGCATTGATTTCCCTATTCCAGGAGCACCTTCAATCAAAATGGCATCTCCATACTCAATGTTGCACAGCTCATCTACTGAGAGTGGATCCTTGCGCTGAAAAATATCATCATCAATCCCATGTATTGTCGATTTTGAGAAAGGATCAGAGCAGACTTCATCTTTGTTAAGAACTGCTAAGTCTACATAAACTTTTGATGGGGCACTATCCATTGACCACTTTGGGTCAGGCTTTTGCTTCTTATAATAAAGCTTCATATGACGAGAATATTTCTTAATGGAATCAGTCATTAGATCCTCATCATATTCTATGAACAATAAGACAATAAATAAGAAGCTCTCAAAAATTCTCTAAAAATACTTGTAGCAGAAGTTGTTATTTTGTCTGATACAGGTGGTGATTTCTTGGCCGAGTGACTTGCATGTACATCTCTCAGTTTCAAGTCAGCATAACGAGCTACAAAATAATTATGGTAAAAGTTATACTTCCTTCATTGACAAATACCTTCCATCAATAAGTTCCTATTTATGGCAGAAAATACTTCAAAGCTCTTCAGAACAGACACTAACTTAGCTAGGGACCCGATTGGATTTCTTCCTTTGCTAATAAAAGTAGAGACGCGTCCCATTATTGCTTTGCTCCTTATGTCAATGCACGGCAACTGCTGAATGACTTCTTTCTCTGCTGAACCAATAAGGAAGCATTGATACAGCTCCTCTAACAAACTGTGGCAAAGTTTATCATCACCCCTGATGATGTCAACCAGTTGATCATGACATTTGTCAAAGATCTGCCAAGCAATGTTGCTGGTGTCTTTTTCACAAGGAGCCTTCGCTTGCTCACTTTTTGAGTAACTAATTGGGAGGTATCTTTTGTGTGGCTCATCTTGTGGTTGTCTTTCCAAAGATCCTTCAGTTGCCAAACCTATAAACACAGTAAAAATTAGCTAAAAGAATGAATAACATTACAAGGCTCTTGCCCCCTATAATAGCCATACTGCAACATACATGTACATGTACACAAACAAAGGAACATTTATACTGCACATGTACATCAGTAGTGCATAATTTTAGTGGACAAAAACATTTACAAATTGAACCTGCAAAAATTAATTCAATACGGTATACAAGTACAATGTAGCATGCCCAGAATTAAAATCCATATTTCATTAAAAAATGTCATATCCTAGGCCATTTTAATTATCAACAAGCTTCTGCATTTTATGGTACACGTGCATGTGCACCAGAGCAAATATTTCATTAACAAAAGGATTTTGACAAAACTTATGCTTTGGTACAACATGGTACAAGGGACATGAACAGTATTACAGTAGTAGGCAGGATTTCTCACAGGATTTTGGGGACGGTGCTCATGCAGCTCCTTGTCACTCAATGGGTTGTCAAGTTGACAAGTTGCTCAAACATTGGGTCAAAGACTCAGTACAGGGAAATTCGACAAAAACCACAAAACTAGAATTCTTAATTTTATAATTTTTTCTGATATGTGTATGTATACATGTCCTTATGTTATGTACCAATTTTGAACTAATTCTGATCAAATTTAGATTTTGTGATGATTTTTTTAATCTGGCCAAACACCCAGTACAGTATAGGGACTTATGCCAAAGTTCATTAAAACTGGCTAGGAAAGAATTCTCAATAGTAAAAATTAAATTTTTCTGATACATACCGTAAACCCAAACTACCTTATGTTTCACATTATTGCAGTTGTGGGTACATTAATGCTAATAATTTCTACAACTAAAGTAACCAACTGCACATTGACAATTATATTTATGTCCATTAACTTAAACAAAATTAGGCTGCTGGTTAAAAAATAGTTAAAATTAATGGATAGTAATTATTAATGAGTTTACAGAATACATATTCTTACGTTGTGCAGACAACATAATCAGTGATTCAAATCAAAATTTGGTAGCGACAACTCATACAATACATCCACACATCAATTCCAGTTATGTGTACATGGCTTAGAGTAGCTCACTCACTTGCTGGAGAAATATTAGACAGGTCCATACCCAAGTACACGTAGCCACAAACCTGCTCTGCAGCTTCAACTTCTTTACATTTCAGAAGAGCAGATATCAGGGCCAGATACGTTGCATCATATCCTTGGGTTGCTTTCCACTTCCAAAACAGAGCAATAACCCTGTCCTTATCTTTTTCATTATCCTTCGTAATGGCCAAATTATCCACTTCCCCTAAACCAAGAATCGTTACGAGACTCAAGCTGTAGTTCAGATCGAGGACTGCAAAAAGTTTGGTATCACATTCTTTCTTTAATTCTGAGAATGATTTGTCCGCTGTCTTGTATCTGACAAGAAAAGACTCCAAGCTTTCTTCTTGAAAATCAGCCATTTTGTCGAAGTGGGGAGGGTAGTGGGAAGGAGTGGACCAGTGTGGCTTAATTAACTAATCATGAATAATAATAATTAGCAATGATGCTTGTGCAATGGTGCAAGCACAAGCACCTATGTTGTAAGTGTGCTGGTAATGAATTAACTGTGATCTGTGTTTTGTTGCTGAATTTACGCACATAGCACAATGCATATAATCAAACTACCATTGAAAACTAACTACGATTAGAACTACAATACATCACAAATAATGATTGTTAATTGTTTAGTTGAAGAGAAACAGTGTTGATCAGTATTGGATTAAATGGCCGGCATCTCATCCAAAAGAAAATATGTGACCAATTCACCTTTCCCCTTCACATTGACAGAACCACGAAATTCAAAGTTGTAGCCTAGACCTTGCAGTATATTCTTAGACTCCTGGACAACCTATAATTATGACAATTAAAATACCTCAGGGTTTGAATACAAATTGTAGAAGACATTAATCTTTAAAATAATATACTAACTTGAGTTTTTCCACGTATTCCAGTGCTCTCCATTCTGCTAGCAAGATTAACAGTGTCTCCCCATATGTCATACTGAGGCTTCTTTGCCCCAATTACTCCAGCAACAACAGGACCATGATTAATACCTATGATTAAAAATTACTGACACTGAAGACATAGTAATTGAGCAAACCAATTCGCAATTGAAATTTAGTAAAGCTCTCAATGTTTAATCGCTCCAGTTTAGCTCTTAAAGCAAAAGAAAATTCAGCAAGAGTATTGAGGTGTTGCCAGCCATTTTTATCATCCTATTGGAACAATTTATAAAGAATTATAGGTGATTCAGGTTTACATGCAATCCAGATGCAATCATATATGTGCTTCCAATTGTTTTTATTTTCTCCAGTGAATTAAATCTTTCTTCCAACAGGAGTTGATCAAAGTCTATTAATATTTTAATAACTTAATAATGATTATTTATTGTAAGTACCTCCAAATATCTCATTTAGAAGACGAAGACATTCAAGGCCATAGTTATTTGCATCAGATTCACCATAGTAAGATGAAAAATCTGGAACAGCAGCAAACATTACCCCAACTCTCTCATGATAGTGATAATAAAGATCCTAAAATATGCAAAAACAAACTCTACACTGAAAAACATTTTATATACAATGAACATACCATGTGACTAACATCAGGATCTAAGAAATGATGAACAACATGATTTGGTAATATATTAGAAAGGAGAACACAGTTATTAGATTTAGCAGTTTCTATTTTCTTCTGTTGTTCTGCAATCTATAATTACACAAAATTTAATTTACTGCAATTTAGTAACACTAACTTCAAGTGTCTGCAGAAAGTTAAGGCGTTCAATATACTTGTGCTAAAAATCTCATAAATAACTGTACAAAAATAATGTACAACTTACATGCCAAACAACAATAGCTCCATAGCAAGTCATAAAGAAACTGCACAAACCAACAAAGCCCTTTTTCTTTAAGAACTCAGATCTATTGTAGAAATGGGATGCCAACATTGATCAATTAATTTTAGCTTACAAGACTTCAGTTTGAGTGTAGCGTGAATACAAATTAAGCAGAAAAGTGTCAGCAAATAGTGCAGGAAATACAAAACACTGAAGTAACAATGAATAAAATGTGATGATGACAATGCCAATGAAAGGTAGGTCAGAGATTGGAAGAGTAAAGAAGACAGTGAGTACTGTTGTAAATACCAAATGAAACTGCAAATGACTTGTCATAAAAAACAATATTTAGATTTAAGATATTTACCTCTGCAAAATCACACCTTCCTTCTTGAGCATCAAGTGCTTCATATGGCATCAGTACACTTGCATTTGGACTGCATTCAACCTAAAAGGAAGTGACACAATACCTGCCATTGGCAGAAATATTGTTTTTTTACCAGTCCTATTGTTGCTGCATGGTGAGCTACTAGCCATAAAATAAAAAAAGTAGCATAGCGATAACAGCGTTTGTACTCCAAAAAGTATACAAATTTTTTAACAAATTTCCCATAAAACCTCTAAACAAAAGGTATAAGAAAGCATTGTAGATATTATTATACCTCGGAATTTTTGTTGACTATGATCATTATCATGGAACACATTAGAGCAAGGGCACTGACATTGACGAGATGAGTTGACAATTTACTGTAATGATTCACTGGAATATCAATTGTAATGTCAAAAAATTTACTTTCGTGGCAGTATAATTAATTGTGAAATGTAAGAAAGCACTACTAGAACCAGGAGTGATATGAGGAAAGTTATCCAATTTTCATAAGGCTTATTCACAAACTGCAGGAAATATCCAAATTCCAAAGTATAAAAGATATAATTTATTATGATTTACTTCAATTTCATGTTGTAACTTTTTGAATTTCAACAAGCATGGATGAGCATACTTTTTCCAAATTCTAACATGGTAGCATAATACATTTGTCAACTATATGATTAACTGACTCATTGCAATGCCCACGAGTGATCTGCTTTGCTAAGGCATTAGTGTATTCATCAGTAATCTGAAGTTTTTTCCTGTTACATTCAATATAAAACAAAATACACAAATTAGATATAATGATACACACATGTTAAATGATTCCTTAGACTTGTTTCTCTTCTATAAAAATCATAAAGATACTTATAGAAAAAAGAAATTATACACTCACTGATATCTGAAGTATTTTCCAAATTTCAGCCACTCCAAATGACCTATTTTCATCATAATTTTCACTGAATAACATATCTACAGCAACTGATGAAGCTCTTTTTCTCTGAACTACTTCAGAAAATACAGGCTCATTATCTACTTGACCAGGCAATGTGAATGTGTTGTCACTGCCTGCAACAAATTACTAATTTCATTTCAAAGTAATTTAATTTACCATCAGCTTCAGATTGGCTACAAGAAGGATTTTTGTTTTTGAGGACATCAATGAGTGATTCCGATACATCAGCAAGCCGTGTTGTTTTCTTTGCCCTGACATGAAACTTTTGTGTCCTCTTTTTACCACCTCCATTATTCTGTTACAAACTATCAACACAACATTTAAAAGAAATTTACCTCAACAGAACATTGCTGAGATTTACGAATGACAAAGTACGTTTTCATATTATTCACATTGTTAGATGAGAGTTCGGTTTCATAATAACCCTGAATGTGATCATAAGTTTTCTCTGATATATGTACACAGCTATAATTGGTATGACCAATGGCAAAGATAATTACACTACATTGTCTAGATGTGCAACTAAATTACCCTGGCTTTCCTGTTGCTTCCATGGTATTTGCTATTGTTACATCATTTGACCAAACATCAAACTGCCACTTTTTGAGTCCAATGAGCCCACAAAATACAGATCCGGTGTGAATTCCAACACGCATGTTTAATTTGTAGCCTGTTTCATGACTGACACATCTTGAAAAGAATTAAAACATTATTGATGATTAATACTAACTTGATGACTTCAATCATTTGTAATCCCATTTCAACACAGCTTTGAGCATGATTTTTATTACTATCGTAAAGTCCAGCTATACAATAGTAACAGTCACCCAGTATCTTTATACGCATGCACTTATTTGTCTATAAAATATAATTGAATCATTATACACTATTGACCAGTATACCTCAGCTAAACAGTCAAATCGAGCAAACAACTCATTCAATGTTCGCACAAGGATTTTAGCATTAACTTTGGATGAGAGAGCAGTAAATCCTTTAATATCAGCAAACAAAATGCTATACAAAATAAATTATTGTTAGAACAATGTTATCCACATATACCTGACATTCTCAAATCTGTTAACATTAAGTTTCCTAAATGAGCTTGAATCAATTCCATCAATAGGCTCTTCATCATCATACATTGAAATAAATTGGGTTTTAATTAATTTTGCTACAACTGGAGGAAATATTGAATTGAGGAGATTTTCCTACAATTAACAATGATAAAAGCCATTCAACTTATTGTGGATACAGCCTGAGAGATTCAACTGAATAGCTATAACTTATAGTAAATTTAATTCAGAGCATTCATTAGCAATATTCATTGTCCTACAAAATTGCCTTTATAAATCTAACCTGTTTATCTATTTCTTGTTGCATTTCAAACTGTCCAGTTATACCATTCTGTATTCTCTCAAACGCTAAACGCCTATTAACGTTTGTTATTTTGTGTACCATGAAACATGTAATCACAACACTTAGATTGATTAGAATTTCAGTGAACATTGACTAAATGATTAAGTCAATAAATAAAAAATTAAAACATGCCAATAGCTGATTTCTATTGCACTGAGTAGATCTACATAATATAGTACATGAAGTGTATGCATGCTCTACTTACAATCGTTACAGGGAAATTAAATGGCAGAATCTTGCAGTAATAATAGCCCACGGTTGCTATTCCTAGCTGAATTAGAAACAAAACAACTATTAATAGAGTGCTGTTCTGAAAGAATATTGTAATGTTGAGAAACATGATGAAGGATGAAATCAGGAACAGCTGAGATGAACGAAGAGAACAGAAATCTTTCTCTATTGCAAAATTAAACAAAGAAAGAGAAAGAAAGGCTCCAATATAGTGCACTTTTCGAATCAATGATTTTTTCCAGAGCAGCAAACCAGTGAGAGTCACGTGAAAAAGAACAGAGACAATGGTAATAGCTGTGGAGAGCCAGCTCAATGAGCTCATCCAGCCAGACAAAAGAGTAAATGAAGACATTATGACACTGAGAGAGACGTGTACAACGATATTGGCCATTAAGACTGTTATGAATTGGGTTTCGTAGTTGATAAACAAGAAATTCCCATAAAGAGACTTGGCTTTACTATTCCAGAAAGGAGTGACGAGATAGCCAGGATTCCAAGTAAGCAAACTGTTGATAACCATTCCAGCCTTCCTCATCTTCGAGACGAGAAAAGTTTTAAACTTTGTTACAAGCTTGAAGCTCATTCTGACCTAGGCGACCAGCACCAAGGCAGGACTGAGAGACAAAATTTTCCTGCAGCTCGCTTTTATCCCTATCCATCATCCATGCATTGACACATGCATGCAGTAGCATTAACACATTTTTTAGCCACGCCTCATAGCAGCAGGCACACTCCCCCTGTCTCATCCCACCCATCCCATCCCCATTTCCCGACTTTGCTTGTCATTCTCCCCGTTGGAGTGAGAAAGATAGAACAGTAAAAGACAAGGCAGACTAGGTAATAGAAACCAGCCATTCTACATGTAAATTGTCTACTATCTGAGAGCTTTCTATGACTGAGCCCCTCACTGTAATTTGCTTATACGTATTGTATATATATAATATGTATATATACATACACACACTTTTATTACTCTGTGTTTAAAGAAAAGTTTTTCTTCTTTCCTTTTCCATTTTTTTGTTTATGTCTTATACCAGTCTCTCTGGGATACTTAAAAATTTGGTGTAGTCAAGTGTGTGTGCCATGTATAATACATGCCAATATCAACTGTATATTTTCCTATTTCCTTTTAAATAAACTTTGAAATATTTTGTCATTAATAACAGCCGGTCTTGCATGTACATCATGTATATCTTATTTATAAACACTAACATGATGATGATACAGCACAACCATTTTTTTGTAGCTACATGTACATGTACTGTACATACTGTGTGATTGTATTGTATGCAGCTGTGTGGATTTGTTAATGAAGTGCTAATGTGTGTTACCACCATGTCCTGCATATCTTACTAATAATCCCTCCTCTCTCTCTTTTTCTCTCTATTTTCCCTCCTTTCTCTTTCTTCTGTTTCTATTTGACATCAGTGATCAATCATGGCCGCCTCCTTCATGAAAGGTCTAATCTCACCTAAAATTAGAACAGCGTCCTCATCGTCAGTAGGGAATCTGCCATTGACACCACTAGCATCTATAACATCATCGGGACCACGGGACCTCAGAGATATAACAAAAGATGGGTCAGAACCTGAAGCATTGAAAGCTCTCGAAATTGCACCTGATGTCAGTGAATTAACCTTTCCATATGGTGCAAACCTGTTACATTTCGCGGCAAAACGTGGGTGGTGTAAAGTGATGAAAGAGCTCTTGCACAAGGATTATAAAGCTAACTGCGAAGACAACAGGGGCTGGACTCCCTTGCACTATGCTGTTGTGTACCATCAGTTAGAAGCTGTCACTTTACTGGTCAGCAGTTTCAATGCTGACCTATCGCATTCCGACAAAAATGGAAACACACCCATTCACTTAGCTTGTCATCATGGGTACAAGAGCATGGTGGCATACATCAAAGAAATTGATCGGTTGGATTTGGGTGTCAAGAACTCAGAGGGAGACACGCCGTTTCACTTGGCATGTGCCATGTTTAAGTACATGGTGATGTACCTTTTAGAGATTGGTAAGGTTGATCTGAATTCACTCAATGTTCTGGGTCATTCTCCTGTCCAGTCAGCTATAAGACAGGAGAGATGGGAAACAGCCATTTATCTTGTGAAGGAGCATGGATGCAGCCCCTGTGGAGTGGATCACTATGGTAACACTCTTCTTCACGAGTTGAGTCGACGAGGGATGTATGATCAATTAAAGGAGGTGGCTTCAACTGGTGAGCTTTGTTTTTCCAGTCAGAATATGGTCGGAGACACTCCTCTTCACATAGCATGTTATCACGCTCACTCCAACATTGTAGAGTACCTATTGTTGCAAGACTCCATTGATCTTAATCTCACCAACCAGAATGGACTTACTCCAGTGGGTGTGGCTTGTCACCAAAGCAACTGGCAGATTGGGCTCAGGCTAATAACTGAGTGTGGGTGTAGTCCTGTTGGTACAGATCAGCAAGGAAACACTTATATTCATGGAGCATGTATGACAAATAATTTCAATGCATTACAGCACATTGTCTCAAGTGGTTCTGTCTCTTATACAGTACAGAATAGGAAAGGTGACAGTCCACTTCACATTGCTTGTTACAATGGTAACATGGAGATTATCCGTTTCCTCATTTCACTTCCTAACTCCACCCAGTGTTGCCGAAACACAGCTGGGGACACACCCCTTCATTTTGCGAGTATGGCAGGTCATGCTGACGTGATCAAGTTTTTAATGGAGAACTCTCATGGTGACAACTTAACACTCAATAACGCAAAGAACTTACCTCTTCACTTGGCATGCGAATATGGTCATACTGAAGCTGCCAGGATGCTGGTATCTCTTTCACCTTCTCCAAGTGTTCTAAAGCAAGTTATCGAATCAAAGAATGGTCAAGGAAAGACGCCCACAGAGTTTGCTTTAGTTTGTCAGAAGTGGGACACTGCTGTCTACATGGCTACGTTATCAGATATGTATGTACCTGCCATTGAACGTCACTTGCACCTTTTCTGTTCCGAGGGTTACTATGACCTAATACGGACTATATTTTCGACTCTTAAAGTTGACGTCAACTGTCGGGATCGTTTTAAGAACACTCCCCTCCATCACGCCTGCAAATCTGGTGGAATCGACATAATTAGGTACCTACTACTTGAAGCCAATGCTGATGCCACTTGTGCTAATGAGCTCCAGAATACACCCATTCATACTGCTAGCCTAGAGGGTCACAATGATGCTGTCAGTTTACTCCTTGAAACTGAAGGTGTTGATCCAAATGTTCTCAACAAAGAGAAGAATACTCCATTGCACATGGCTTGCAGTCGCAGGCACTTTAGTGTCATTAAATGTTTAATGAAGACAGGTCGTGTGGATCCATTTATTGCCAATAAAGATGGGAAGACTCCAATGGATTCTCTCACTTGTAACTCCAGCCCTCTTTCACCAGAATGCACCGAGGTGTTACAACTCTTTGAATCTCTAAAGTCATTGGCTGTAAAGTACCCGATACAATCTTACACAAAAGTCATCATTTGTGGGCACTCCAAATCGGGTAAGAGTTCATTAGCTAAGGTGCTACTTGATCGTGGGAGCAACAAGAGACGCTTTTCTCTCAACATGCTTACCAAGAAATACGTCACTGGTGTCCATTTTGACACATTGGGAATGATGCCAAGTGACATACAGACGCTGGATCAAGATAATATCATGTTATACGATTTGTCAGGTCAAATACGTTACCACTCAAGTCATGTCGCATATCTTAAGAGCCTCAATCGTACCTCTCCATCTGTCTTTTTGCTAATGGTTAATGCCAAATTGAGTGAAGAGGAAACCAAAGAGCAGTTGAGATATTGGTACTCGTTAATCATATCAACATGCAATCCAGATGTATCTAAATCAGTCGTATTAGTGATTGCTAGTCATGTCGATGCATTGGAAAGGAAAGATATTAGTCGTTTAAAGGCCCTTATTGATGAAACAATGAATGACCAAGAGCAAACCCTCTGCTCTTATTCTACTAATCACTTCCTGAACTGCAGTAAACTTGTCAGTAAACGTTTGCTGCCATTTTTTAATCTTCTCACTGAGAATTGCAAGTCAATTCGTTCCTCCCCTCCTCTTACATCTGGTGTCAGTCCTTATGCACATGCTCTCTTTTCTTTTTTAAGCAATAGTCTGACGGAGAAAGCAATCACTCTTGTTAATTTAGTTCGTAAGATATCGTCTGATGCTTCCTTCAACTTGTTACCGTCCCAGACACAAGTCATTGAAGAGTTGCTTGTCTCTTTACGTGATAGAGGATTAATAAATCTCATCACATCCAGTGATCCATCGTGTACCAAGTGGATTGTCGTCAACTTGCAGTATGTGTGCTCTGATTTGTTGGGGAATCTTTTTGCTGCTCCATCAGCTAGTGGAACAGAACAAGGTATGGCACTACAAGCACAGACTAATACTGGTATAATACCTGTACATTCACTGGAGGCCATGTTCCCTGATTGCCCTAATAGCATGGTAGTGGGACTATTGCAAGGGCTTGAGTTATGTTATGAGGTTAATGTCAAAGCTCTCACTCAAATACCAAACAACCTCAACACACCTAAAATCCAAGACAAGAAGCGACGACTTTTCTTTCCTAATTTCGTATCACTAGAGGAACCAAAAGCTGAAAATATCACTTGTGGGACTGGGTGGTGTCTAGTAAACTCTGCCTCATTTCCCTTTATTTCTCTTCACTTGTCTCATGCTCTTTTACTGAGGTTGCTACGTCAGTATTGCCTACCTGATGTCACTCACTCATTGAGTAACCCTACACCCGTCCTCTCATTTGATGTATGGAATAGCGGTCTTCGCTGGGTTACAAAGAAATGTATCGAAGTCACAGTTAAAGTTTGTATCAAATCGCAAAAGATCACCCTCAGCCTTTCTTATGCAGAAGATAATATAGTGGAACATGTGATGCTTCGAAATGAGATCATACTTTCAATACGACGTGTCCTTTGTGATTTAATTCCATTATCTAAATATAAAGAATATTTTGTTCCATCAACTCAAGTGAAAGCTCTTAACGAACATCACTTCAATAAGTTACAGCTATATTGTATTGAAGAGGTCTCTAATGCTATTCTCTCTGGGAAGGATTGTCTCACAGAAGGTCAAACGGTTAATCTTACTGACCTGATTCATAATGATCCATATCTTTGTCTCTCTTTGAAACATTACCAGTTGCTCCATAATCCATCGATCTCCTCTGATAGTATTCCCGGAGATGTACTTGATGAGATGCGTAAGTCCTGTGGCGTCTTTCTCTCAGACTTTCCTGAAAGCAGTTATGAGTCAGTTAGAGAACATCTGGATCAATTCACTGTTCTCATGTTATCTGAAGTTTTTGTGAGTGTGTCCGTTTTAAACTTATAACTGTATATCATATGTCACATTCCATTCATAGATGAAAGGTAGTATACACTATGAGGCTGATGCTGATGAGGATTGCTGTATACTCTATGGTATGTATCACTGTTACACTATGTAAACTGTTGTGTGTATATGTTTTCTACTGTGCATTACTTCATGTATTGACAGCAATTGTTAATATCCCTTAATGTTAAGATTAGCATTGAACCCTGATAACAAGTTGTGCCAACTACATATACATGTAGTTGTTTGTTACAGCTTGTTTACCATTTAATGTTTCTGAAAGGGAGTATACATGTACTTTCATTTTGACTTAATAAGGAGACATTTGTTCCGATTATCTTATAACTTAATAAGGATAAGCTATTTTCTTTATCCCACAGATGATTCCGACTCTTCCTTTCTGGTAAAAGCTCTGATTGGTGTCAAGGACTGGAAGGAGTTAGGCAGAAGCCTTGGACTGCAGGATGACTTGTTTGAAGAGATAGCAGCAAGTGGAGGTTCATCGCAAGAGGAAATCATCAAAAATTTACTGGCAGTGTGGCTTGATAAAAAGCGCTCTGGAGTAGCCAGTAGAGAATTGCTCAAGAGAGCTTTAGAAAAAATAAATGAGACAGAAATAGCTAATTCACTTTAAATTTTTAATTTTTGTTGATGTGCAGTGTATACATGCATACATGTACTTAATAATTTGTGTATTGAATGAATGCTATTTTTATATTTTCATTAAAAATAATATTTTGCATTTATTATTATTATTAATCATAATCAATGAGTTATGAAATTAATTTAAATATTTTTCTAATGATTTATGACTTTATTACATGTATGGCTAAAATTTACTATGTGCTCTTTTACTGGTATTACCTTGCACATGTACACGCATGTGATTGCTGATGTCTAAATGATTTTTGTGAATTTGTTTTAATTCCTAAAAACCAGTAATCTCAATTTTTATTTTCATGTGCAACCTTCCCCCTTTAAACTTGTTACAACTTTCAATAGAAGAAATTGTTTTAAATTTTTTAAACAATAACAAAAATATGATGCTAAATTTTGTTCTTCACCAGTGGTTTAATTCTTGTACAAACAATTTCACTGGAACTAGCCTAAAGGAATACTAACATAACTTATTTTATAATTGCTACACAAAATTTACATGCATACATGGCTGTGATTACCACTTTACTCACTTTTCCTTCTAGCATTATGAATGATGCTTATTAGCATTAGTAGGAAGCCATTATACACTTGTATAACATATTATGTCCCAGTGCCTCTTGAGCGTAACTTCCTTTTATCATATGCACCTAATTAGCATTAGGTTTATTGCTCACGTTTCACAATTGATTCATATTTTTCTCATCAGTAAAACCTATAATATACTTTTGCCCACACCAGAAGCAGTAGTACTAATAATGTACAAATGGTGTAAAAGTGCATTAGCACTTGCTCTGTCTTTTGGTTCAACTGCTAGCGTCATCTCAACAAAATTTACAAGATTTGGATTTACTTCTGAAAAAAACTGTTTCAGACGAACAATCTAAAAAAGAAATAATTAATACGTGCACTACTTCAAAAAAAACTGACAGGTAGTATTTTAAATATGTCTTTATCAGTTACTCGTGGCTCTCTTTCCCTGAAGTACATTACTCCATTTTTCTGCAATATCTTTCTTTTCATTTCATCAAGTTGATTTACGGCAATGTGCTTTGATTGTTGAGCTGATAGTAAAAGTGTCCCAATCTATAAAAAATAAAATCATTGAAATTGATAACTTCTTTTCACTTGATTGAGGAACTTTGGTCCTTCTTCATTTAATAAAACCAAACAAACCAACATACCAAAACTGTAAATACAATAGATTTAATAAAACTTTAGTTTCAATGAATTTTACCTAAAAATATCAGTTTTTGTTGTCATATCTCCAAGTAGTGATGCATCATTGGTTATCATGTACATAAATCCTTCTGGAGATTTAAATCCAATAGTACCAACTGGTGAAACATGATACGTTCTATCAGCTGAAAGGTGGAAATCTCTCAATGAGTTTTTTGGTGGATCAGGTTTCATGGAATTATCAGAATTGAGTTCAAGTGAAGCATCAAAATCAGACAACATCTATAATCATAATGGTTTCTTATTTTGATATTTTTTTTTGTTTTATGACTGTAATAATATTTAAAATTATAATCATACCAAAAAATTTTATGCAACACTCATAAAGTTATTTCAAAACATGCATATATCTTACAAGATTATTTATTGGCGAGAAATTAATATTGGCAATTGGCAATTTTATAAAGAAATTGCCAATATAAATCCTCTATTTTGTTGTATAAAATGTAATTTTCTCAAAGTCATTTTTGACAAAATATTATGTACCACCAGCCCAATTTTATAAATTTTATAAAAATTTGCTTTTCACATCAATATGTATCAGAAAATTTAATAATTTGGGTTGTTAAAACTTAGTCAACAAAATCAAGATAAAATCATAAATTAGAAAAACATTATTTTACTAATTTTAATGTGTTAACATTATTGATCTTACAATTTGAGGCTTTGTAACGCAAACACAAATGAGTGGATTCTGACAGCCACAGGACATTTTAATGAGAACATTAGATGGCTTTACATCTCTATGAATAACTGGATTTGGTAGAGTATGTAAATAATCAAGTGCTTTAAGTATTGAACTAAAGAGATGTCTGTGAAATCAGACAGTATTATGCCACATTTTGATTATAACTAAGTACTTGAAATTGTTGTCAATTTTTTTAAGTAGTAAAGGCTCATTCTTGTATCTCTCATTCAAGCTTCTTAGGCAGAATCTCTCATATGAGCCAACACTTCTACCAAGGTCATCTATTTATTTTAAAACAAAAAGTGCTTAATTAACTCACTTGTCATTCTTGAATAAAAGTGAAAAACATGTCGTTGTCTTGGAAACAAATCAATAGGATATCCAATCATCATAGAAATTAGATTTAATACGTTAGGATGATGTAGTTTAGGCATAATGAGAATCTCTCTCCATCTCAATGCTGTTTTTTTAACAGCATAAGTAGCCCCTTCAAATGTCACCTTTTACAAAAAACTGATAAATTTCATAATGTTATAATTTTAAGTTAAAAACAATTATACATGCAATACTATAATGGTACCTCAAGTATTAGTCCATTGCCTCCTTCTCTTATTACACGAGTGTGTGGCAGTTCAGTTGGTACTGTATATACTTCACCCATGATGAAACTTTTACCTTCACTCTATTATGAAAAGACACATACTGATTATAAATACACCCACTCTTGATGTAATTTTGATTAACTTACATATATACAATATCCTGGAGTATCATGCCCAGCTAAAGTGTGATGCTTTATTTTCTCACTTGAGACATGTTGTGAGGTGTATTCTGCTTTTGACATGGGAGTCAGATTTTCATTATCTTTTAAACTATTAATAGCATTATTTAATGAAAGGAATAATGATTAATTATGATTCAATTTTACACACAAGTTATATTCATTGAAATAAGTAAACAGGTCAATGAATAATTAAATGCACATACATAAAAGGAAGCTCTTTTTTAGATGAAACAGCGGCACTCGTCTCTTTAGGTTCTGAATCCCTATTGGAAGGTAGAGGTAACTCACGTACAACCTGTTCATCTTTATTAATTTGAAAAGGTTTTGTCGGTTTCCAACGAATCTCTTGTGATACAAAATGTTCCTCTAATAAAAAGTCACAGCCAATAATGCCAAGTTCTGAGCAGTCATCTGAATTAATATACAGAGGTATCAATGCTGGGTCTTCTCCTGTGGGAGGAGTTATTAATAACCGCAGGACTTGAGATGAGTTCAATATTACTAATTCAGCTGCAGCATTTTGAGCACTGACAGCAGTTGGTGACTGATAACGTTGACTAGAGAGAGACCTATACTTATCTTCTAGTTCCATAGACCCATTTGGCTGTTGCACCTAATAATTAAATATTAATAAGGTGAGCCAGTTGAAATATTTGCCATAGCCAGCAATGTTTACACAATCATGTCCAAGTAAGCAAATTAACTAGCTGAGTTAGCAAAGTGCATTGTGTAAACATGCATAAGTATCACTTAATACAGCTCATTATATGAGCATACATAAAATATAATATTATTATAGTGATTTGTGTTCAAATTAATCAGTATAGTATATGAACTAACTTTAGCCCAATGTAAAGGAATTATAGGATTTATTAAAACTGCTTCATAAAAGTCATGCCTCATATTAAGAGGAAGCAGAAACCAGTTATGATCATCTTTTCTGTATTGAGACTTAATAAGCTCAGAAGAATACACTTGGAGGTGAGATAGCAGTAAATCCTTCAACAAATTGAAAAATATTGTAACTTTTATTTTCTTCCTTTTTATGTATTGGTCTGTTGATAGGTGGCCATATGAAAGTAGTGGAATATACAAAGGATCAAATGCCTTAATATTTGATTGTTGCAGTGTAGTAGAACCAACAACAGTTGCTGATTTTTCTAAACTCATTTCTTCTTCTTTATCTTTTCCAATGACATTGACCTCAGTTTTAACATATTCCTTGCTACGGAGCGTGATAATAATTCTGTTAGGATCAGTAGTTAACTGTTCTTTGTCTTCAACTACAACACATCCTTTTTTCCTGTGCTTGTCCCTCTCAAATGCTTTTATCAGTCTCGTCAGTTGATCGACTCCTTTATTTCCATGTGTACAATATATTTTCCAGGCGGCTTCATTATGACTGGTTAAATAATATGCAATGGCAGGAAGACTATCATGTATTTCATTGATATTATAGGAAAAAGTTTGTGACTTCAAAATTTCATAATGTGCCTGAAGAGATAAGGAATCATCCTCAGCTTCATGAAGACATCTCAACATCAATAAAACCAAGTGGTTATCAACAAAAGGAAAATTACAGTTGAAGCTCTGGCTAATATAACTAAGTATATAAAATAGATTGTCTTTTGCCACAGACAACAATCCAGAGCCCACAAGACCAAAATAAAACTCCAAAACTTTCCATTGAGATTGATCAAGTGATTGCAGAGTGCTCGTAAATGTGAATACATGCATTAGAGGTTGAAACGTAAGGTAGAGAGCAGCAAAATAATTTTGGACCATAGTATTAACAAAATTGTGACTAGTTATACTTGATGCAGAATTATATGTACATTCAATTAAGTTATATGAATCAGCTTTTGATTGGCTGGGTATTATTAAATGGAGAAGCTCTAATGAGAGCTCAACATCATTCAAAGGGAATTTACAGACTACAGAACAATATGCAAGTCTACAAACAAATGTCAAATCTTTTCCAAGATTTTTCATTCTCTTCATTAAAGAAGATATATCACATACTGTTGGTTTAAGATCAAGAGTGTCACAAATAATACTGCACACATGTCTAGTTGTAAGAGATGTTGATGACTGCGGAAAAACTTTTTAATGGTTCAAACGACTATATTCACTTACTAGTAAATGTAGATCTAGCTCATTCGAGAGCCCACTGCTAGAGCTCGTGCTCATAACTTTTGACAAAGCTTATTAGCAAGCCTTGTTTGTTTTCGAGCTTGTTTGTGAATTTTGATGTGGGTGTGGCTCAAAATATTTTGAGGAATTTGGAAAATATCTATCTATGGACTAGATTACTGTAGCATGGCACTGGCACTGTATTTTTTGTTCATTTTACTGTTTTTCAAAGCTTATGGTAAGATATGATCTTTTAGCTTAGTGATATAATGTCAATATTCATGATATTATGTATAGGAGAAAATTCTGCTCAGTCTGCTGCTAGCAATTTCTACTTTGGTTTTATGAATGGCAGTGGAAATAGTGGAAATGGTGGGTTTGCTTTTGTGGTGACAAATTTAAGTAATGTCTCATACAATATTTCGTTTGAATACACCGGTAATACAATCAGAGGAAATGTATCAAAGGGTAGTTCTCCAATTTTAGCTGATTTAAGATTTGGTTCTTTTGTTGAAGTTTCGTCAAACACTTTTGAAGATCGTTTTAAAAGCTTTCATGTGCAAAGTGACAAACCAATTTCAGTAACAGTTATAGATGGTGATGATGTATCAAGTGAGTTCCTAGTGTTACCATGTCATGAGTATACAGGTATCAATCGATACGAGTATTATACTGTTTCCACTAGTAGTTATAGTAACACTACTTTCAGTGAGGCACTGATAATTGGCTGTCGTGATGGCACAAATGTAACTATAACACCATCAGCTGATCTGTTCTTGCCTATTGATGCACAGTTGGATGGTAGTAGAGATACTTTAGTTATTGCAGGTAGCTCTCATACTCTTGTATTGCATGAAGGACAGACACTTCTAATGGGTAGCAGAGGAGGTGCTGATATATCAGGGACACACATTAAATCTGATAAACCAGTTACAGTGATTACTGGTCATGAGTGTGGTAGTACTCCTAATATGATTGCTAACAATGCTTGTTTCTATATGCACTTGCAAGTGCCTCCTACTGTGACTTGGGGTAAAAAATTCATTTTGAGTGACTTCACCAGTATATATGATAATGTTAATTTTGATTACACTGAATATGTGAAGCTCATTACTTCCCAGGATGATACTATGGTAACAACAGACTGCAATGGAACCACTAGCTCCATCAAATACCATAAAAGTGGTGCAGTTGGTACTTATGAGTTTAATATACTTACTGGTAATTTTTGCTATATAGCAGCAAACAAACCGATACTTGTAGTACAATTCCCTCATCATAGGTCTTATACTACTATGGTGCTAGTACCACCAGTTGAACAATATCTTCAAAGAGTTGATTTTGATTTAAACTATCACACTTACTCTAAATTTGTCATTATAGCGACTCCTGAAGGATTCTCGCCATCAGCCATTCTTTTCAACAAAGTATCATTAACTAACTGGACAACAATATATGATTCTTCGGGGAATATTTTGGGATATGGAACTGTGATTGAAATGTATCGGGGTAGTGATAGGTATAGGATTCCAAGTAGCAACAGTGTGATCCACACAGGCAGCAATGGAAAATTATCAGTTTTAGTGCAAAAGACGTATTATTATAATTACCAGTATCTGCTAGGGCACTCACCAGTATTGTCATTACAGTCAAGTGAGTTAATAAATTTGAAATAATAATGAGTGATTTAGCATCATATTATTTTTAGGTGTAATTTGTAATTTCTCTTGCAATAATGGAGAATGTATTGCTAATAATTTGTGTCAGTGTCTTGATGGTTGGGCAGGTGATTACTGTGATCAAGGTATGTATTTTATTATAGATATAACATGGGTGTATATCTATGATTTTATTACTTAAATTTATTGTCATAACGTTTTGCTTTATAGTATTATGTGAACCAGAATGTAGCAATGGGTATTGTATTCAAGTTAATACCTGTGTGTGTGATTCTGGATGGACGGGTGATAGATGTAGACTAGGTGAGATATGATATGAGTCTTATCTGAATGATTAATTATGTACCTTAGATATTGATGAATGTCAGTTGTCCAATGTGTGCAATCAAACCTGTATTAATACTCAAGGGTCTTATTATTGTTCTTGTGAGTTTGGATATCAATTGACTAGTGACAATTATACATGTGAAGGTAAAATTATAATATGAAATTATAATTTAAAATGTGTTACAGATATTGATGAATGTGAGAGTAGCAATCACAGCTGCACTCATTTTTGTGTCAATACCCCTGGTTCATATGCCTGCTCATGTAGAAATGGATACAATATTCAAAAGAATGGAAGCTGCGCAGGTAAAATGCTAGTATAGGAATTTTTAAGTTTTGTACTTGTTTGTACATTTTACTTATAATTCTATTCAAATTTATGCTTGATTGTGCTCTGGCTCAAAATACATGTAACAATTATCAGCTAATTATATTACTGTAGTTGTAGTACTACAAGAATTTACTATTGTAAGATGATATACTTGGGATTATTTCTCAGAAACCCTGTATCTTCACTGCACATTATCTTTGTTATTTTAGTGGTATTGTTACAAAGTAACCATAAAGCATTCTTTCCCAGATATTGATGAGTGTTCTCTGGGGATTAGTGGCTGTCAACAACACTGCTTTAATACTAATGGAAGCTATAACTGCTATTGTGACTCTGGATATGCACTGGATTTAGATAATACCTCTTGCAATGGTATGTGTGTATACATGACATGATTTGTGTAATGAAATATATGAAAATTATTAGTACTTATGCTATACAATGTTTCCACATTATTTTTAGCTCCTGGAACTCTCCCCAGATTTCTAAACTGATTAGATAAATTTATTCAGATTTTGATTAGGCTAACACATGGGTGTGTAAATGCTGTGGTACTATAGAGACATTACAATTACCGTATAGCGGGATATTTTCGTGGGGTCAAATTTTCGTGATTTGGGGTGGTTGAGATTTTCGTGGGTTAAATTTTCGTGATAACTGTATTATAAGAGCCTCTGGCAAAGCCAGGTGAGCTTTCTCTACCTCTCTCTCGACAGCTTTAATCGTTTTTGAGGGTAAGCCAAGTGTACTGTCATCAATGGAAGCGGCTTAAAGTATTTCTCCATTTCATTGCGCGTGGAGCAATATGAATATACTGCAACAGGACACGCCTATACCGAATATGTGCTAAATTTTCGTGCGTTAAATTTTCGTGAAAGTGTCTTGGACACGAAAAATATGAAAATAAGACTCCACAAAAATATCCCGCTATACGGTATATCTTATATGTCATAGTCCCTAAATGTACATACATCAAATAAATGAGATATAAGACCAAAATGATTATTTCAAGCACATATGGTTTATTGTAGTCAAGTAGTTTATTATTGTTCTCCATGTTTATTATTTTTAATTCAATGCTTTGTAGATATTAATGAGTGCATCAATGATATATGTCCTGATAAAAGTACTTGTGTCAATAAATTTGGAAGTTATGAGTGTAACTGTGCCACTGGATATAAAATGAATAGCACTGGACTCTGCAGAGGTAAGAGCATTTGTATTTTTAATGTTAACTTTTAAGTTTAGTTTTCTTCTTTCTTGTAATTAAATTAGTTTGTTGTATTTAGAAAAGATGATGCACTAAGAGTATGATTTAGCCACACATTAACAATTTTTCAGCTCAGCAGAGCTACATGTTGCAAATATCGCTATTTTCAGATTGGAAAATATGATGTATCATTAAGTGAAGTTGTGCTCCATGTTTTATGATCTAAATATACCTGTAACGAAAATCTTCTTGTGTATCAATTGCTAAAGGCAGAGCTAGATCATTCAAAGTGAGGCATATATTATTATACATCAAGTGAACCTTCATTTATAAGTGTCCTGGGAAAATACAAGCATACAGCACAGGCTTTTACATCTATTTTATACTGAAGTCAGTAGCCCTACAACATTCTTATTGTAAATTAAATACCAGTAGTAAAATAGAGCCTATGCAACAAGAGTTTAAACTACCCATGCAACAGTCACAGGTGTATTGATCGTTCTCCAGCCTACACTAACAGTCATTTTGGTGGGCAGCAGGGATTGTGCCTGACCCTCCCACCCAAATGACTATAGCTGGAAAATGATTTAAACTTGACGTCCAACATGGCAGCCAATTTATTGTGTGGGTTGGCTATATGGTACTTAAAAGTTATGAATATACTTAGCAGCATCCTCTATTAATATTGCAGAGAACCTGGCTTTTATCAAGTGGAAAAAGCTCTTTGCAATGATCAGCTGCTCTAATGTAAATTATTTTGAAGGATAGAACACAGATAACCATGATAACCATGATAACCAGTTATCTGACAGCACATCTCCTAAATGATCCCCCCTATAACTGGCCACATATGTTGTGATGTACCGGTGTTTAATAATAATTATTTAGATATTGATGAATGTTCTGACAATACTCACATTTGTTCTCAACATTGTATCAATACTGAAGGATCCTATAACTGTTCCTGTTCTAATGGATTTATGCAAAGATTTAAGTACTTTTGCTTTGGTATGATGATTGTTTAATGTGATAATTTAATTTATTGGGACTCATTTTGCATAGATGTCAATGAATGTTCTAATTCTAATCTTCACAACTGTACTGGGAATGAGGTGTGCCAGAATACAGTTGGCAGCTTCTTGTGTCAGTGTAAAGATGGATTTACTCGTAGTAGTAATGGATTAAATTGTAAACGTAAGCTAATCATGCTTAGCATAGTTACGTATTTAAAAATTCAATAAAATTAGATTAGCAGAAAAGTTAATTTTACATTTGTCCAATTCAGTGTGAGAGATTAGAACATGTACATAGCACTTTTATCTACATGTGTACAGTCCATGTACATGCAGTATGATCACTGAGGTAAATTCAAAGCATTTTCCCTGAATCTGTATTGAGTAGGTGTCAGTATACTATGACAATTCAATTTTGATAAAAATTCCAAATTACAGCCTGTTCAGGCTGAGCTCCTAGTTATAATTACAATGGTAACTGACCCAAGGTCTGGTATTTACAAACATTATTGTGCCAATATTGCCTGCCCATACTAACAAGAGTACATGTACTCTTGATACAAACTAGATGTATTTGTCTTTCTATAGTTCAACCATGCCATGAAATATTACAGGATCCAATTAATGGTATGGTGACCTGTCCTTCAGGCAATGAAACAAATGATACTTGTTATTATTCATGTGATATTGGATATGACTTGAATGGTGGATCAGTACAGCGTACTTGTCAATCAAATGGACGCTGGTCAGGAAGACCTCCTTCATGTTATCCGGTCTCTTGTCCATTGCTTTTACCACCAGAGAATGGTTATCTACAGTTACCTTGTCCTAATGTATACCAGTCACTATGTATAATAAGATGTTTTGATGGTTATACATTTGGTGGGACTAGTAACACTATTAGTAGAGTTATTTGTAGTCTTTCATCAAGTAACATGAGTCGGTGGAATGAAACTGTGAATTGTACAAGTAAGAATTGTGCATAACTCAATATTTTATTAATTAATTATGTGGAAATAAGTAAATTTCAGGATAGGTTACACTAAAAAATCAAAAATAGTATTGTTGTGATTTTTATCATTTTTCATTATTAACAATTGGCAGAAATACCATATAGTAGGGTTTTGTGAAGATAAAAAATTTAGCAAATTTTGCAGATTTTTCAAGATCTGCAAAATTAAACTCCTTGAAAATCAATTTAATATGGTACAAGATGGCAGAATATTGGAAATTTGTGAAAATTATTCCCGCGAACTCCCAGATATGTGTCATTCGCAGAAATTGTTATCCTAAACAAACACGGTATATAAGAATATTTACTGAAATCAGTAACTTACAATTGATTTTTGAAAAGACTACTGTTCTCAATATAAAAGCATTTGTTTATAATTGAAGTCTAACTTAACAAATTCAATGCTTGATGCATTATAATGTTGTTTATTTTTTTTCATTTTTAGAAACTAACCCTTGTTCTACTAATCAATGTCTTCATGATGGAGTGTGTCTGCTAGCTGATAATGCCAATGGATTTGTATGTAACTGTACTGGAACACTGTATGAAGGAGAAAGGTGTGAAAAAAGTTTAATATTGATTGAACCTGTTGGGTTTGTGTTAAAACAAGGTATACAACAGATAATTACTATTAGAGCAAAGCCAGATAATAAAACTGAGTATAAATTTGAAGGCTGCGGTACCACTAAAACCTTTCGTGTTTTTGATAGAAGCTACTTTTTGTATCCATGTGCTTTCTACCTCAGCAGCAACAAAACAAATGTGAGTGTGACTATTTCAAAGTTGAGTCAGCCTGCAATGATTGGCACATTTTTTCTTAAACTTAATACCTCCATTTCACCTAGTGTTCCATTTATCATTACCTCTGAGAAACCTTCATCATTTTTTGCTAACTATTCTGAAATTAAGCCAGGTTGCTCTCATATCAACATCAAGATATGCTCTAATATCAATGATATTAAACTTACTTCATCCTGTGACTGGACAAACAGGAGCGATTCACCTCAAACTCGTGTAACTAAAGGAATAGTGATCATTCAGTATGATAGCATGGAAATACCTCTTTCATTGGCAGGCATAGAAACAACTGATAGCGTTATAAATAGTTCACTTCCTGCTAGAAGATCAAGCAACAATCCGACATGTAATGTCACCCCAATTAACACTTCTGTACATTGTTATCAGTACATACCAAGTGCTGAAGATTTCAGTGAATTTGTTAAGAGGCAGTCGCTTGCTGTTACCTTCCTTTCATCAATCAGGAGAACCATTTTTCCCAATTGGCTTTCGCTAGATATAACAGAAGACAGTAATGCTTTAAATAAATTAAGTAATACTGACTATCTTGCTAAATTACTATCAGCAACAGCAATATTGGGTGAAAAAGGATGTGAATCATTAGTTCTAAGGCATGATACAGGACGGTTTCTTTTATTGCAGCATAATGGACCTTTAAATCTTACAATAAAAAATGAATTATCATCTAAGACATTAAAGTCTCCATTATCATTCAATTTTTATTGTATTGCTCTTCATGTATGCTCTGGTCGAATCTCTCCACTCTATATTGGAATACCTCCTTCAGCTCAGGATGGCATTAAAAGTATCAAGTTCATTTCAAACTATGTCAGTAAAGGATGGGAACTAAATTTTAGAAGTGCCACTCTGTTTGGAATTCCTCAAGATTTTAAATTAAGTATAAAATTTTGGGATGGTATTGCAGTCAATCAACATTTATCAAGAATTGATATTTATTATGATACCTTAGTTAACCTGACAGCTACAGGACAATACTCTTTTGGAATGACTAATGTTGACTTAAGTTTTATTGGAATTATTCGATACAAATATATCACAAATAAATCAGAGGTATATTCACATCAAATTTTACTATCACATATTTTGTGCTAATGTTTCCAGGCAAATATAGCATTGCTTGAAGGAGATTCCACACTTACAGTTGTATCTGAAATAGCTGGGTCAGTAGAGAAATTGGAACTCAAGGAAAGAGCTACTAATATCTCAATTTATTATCAAAGTATTGCTTTATTAGTGATAGTAATGTTATTATTGATTTGCAGGTCATAACATAGCAAGTTGTGCACCAAAAGGACCATCAAATGGAGCATCATTCAAGTTATCATATGTTCCACAGCGAGATCAACAGTTTTATCTCAATATACTAAAATTACCTACACAAATTGGTATTTATCAATGTCCAGTTGATGTGTTCCTTAGCCTTGATAGTAATCAAGATATGAATGGGTTGAGTTTCTATTCTGATTGTCTTGATGTGTCATTTGATACATTGCTGTTTACTGGTCTAGTACACAGACTATACATCCCCATGTCTAATGATACATTGTGTATTAAGCCAACTGACTTCAGCTCTCTCTTCTCAATGATTGACTTTGGCTTAATTATTCATTCTTTTATGATAAATGCAAGTCATGTGAGCTATAACAATTTTATTCAATTATTACCTGGAAATGATGTGTACAACACAGCATTATCACTGGGCTTCTCTCGACACACTGCTAATAAAGTAGGCCTTTTGCATTCAGTGAAAATGACAATATTTGACACATCCTTTGTGACACAGGCTATACTGAATAATAGTCAACTAAGCTTTATTGCTACAATTAATATTTCTAACAGTCACTTTTACATGTCACATATACATGGGCTAGCCAATATCAATAGGCAATGGAAAAATCTTATAGTTAATGTCACGGGGTTTTTTATGAATAAGTCAGGATTATTTATGAATGAATTAGAAAGAAGTGTTGTTGAAGAAATAAGACGGCTAGGTATAGCAGCTAACGTTAGGAAGACAGAAGCAGATAAACAATTAGCTAATGCTGTTGCTAGACTGGTGGGAGCTAGAAATCAGTTAATGTTAGCACGAGAATCAGTCACTAATTCAACACTTAAACTCAATGAAACAATGGATTCTCTTCAAAGGGCAAGAAATCAATTGAGAGAAGCTGAAATGAATGTAACATCAGCTACAAGCGAAGTGAAAGAAGCAGAAGAAGCAATTAATATTGTTTGTCAGAGAATCACTTGCCCATTAGAGTGTAAAAATGCTTCAAGAAAGCGAACAGTGTATGAAGATACATACTACACTGCTGAAGGTACTTGTGATTCAGTTTGTAACAGCACTATCAGAGTAAGAGTTTCTCCATATTTTGAACCATACATATCATGGCAGTACATTGTTTGCTGTTGGGATGTTGAGGTTCCATGTGGGATTCAGAGTCTTTGTGAAACAAAGGTTTGCTCACCTGTTTGTAAGTTCTTAAATTCAACTAGGCCTGTTTTCAATTACATGCTCCAAGATATTCAAATACCTTGTAAAGTTCCATGTCCAGTTCGTCAGTACAATACAACAATTGAAAGAACCGAGGAATTTATTGACCCATGTGGTAAGCGAGTACCAAATTTAAATTGCACCCAAACAAGCAGTGCCTGTGACAGTGAGAGAGAAGCATCACTTAGAGCTCTTAATAAGAAGCGAAGGGATTTGGTGGCACCACTGCAAGAAAGAAACAGAGCAAGAAATTATGTTTTATTGCTTGAAGTAAGAGAAAATGAAGTTGCAAATGAGCTTGTATTAGCACAAGAATCATTAAAGTCAGCTGAAACATTTTACCGTGCCTCAGTTATTTACAAAAATGCAGTTGAAGCCAGTTATAATACAACATTGGAGCTGATAAGGAATGACCAAAACCTATATAACTTAATCCAAGTGTATGGTACTAAAGTATTTAATATCACTAATATTACGTTCTCGGTTTCTATAAGTGAAATTAATAATCCTTCTGTCTTCCCTATTACCATTGGCTATAGTATTCCTGGAGAAAGTGATCTTCAATTAATCTATGTTTACCAGTTTGGACAAAATTACTCATCACAAAAACAATACATTGTCAATGATATTATTGATAATATTTTTAATTTACCAAGAAGGAGAAGGAGGCAGATGGAGGGATTGGGTGAGTCAGGTCGAGAACAGTTTGAAATTCGCTGCTCTCAACTGAATAGCATTGACAAATTTGTGCAATATATGATCAACACATTAGATGAAGTTGAGTTAAAAGGGATGACTATACAAAAGAACTTGCTTGATGTAATAGTGTCAATTAATATGACTCTTAATGCAACATCAATTAGTAATGTATCGATTACTGGTAATTTTACTAGCTTAAAGGTACTGTATGGTCTAACAGATGAAGACATAGAGCAAAGTAGGCAAGAAGTTAGTAATATGGATGATGAAGTATTTAATTCTGTTCAGTCATCATATAAAACTTTACAAAGTGAAGCACTAATGGTATTGAACTCACTCAATGTCACTCTACTAATGCAATGGAGATCTGGTATTGAGTCATTACTCCAGGGCAATGGTACTGTAGCTGGTAAACCTTGTTCAGGACTAGTTGATTGCATACTGGTATCAAATAGTGCACTGGATAGCCTGATTTCCTTTGCCCCATCCAATACTTCATCAGTTTTATTGCAGCATTTGCCATCAGCTTCACAACTCTTTCTGCAACTAGCAACCGATGAATTGCTATCCTTCAGTGAAGTAAGGGACAAGCTTGCTCCTATGAACTCTATTATTCAGGAAATGATTAGTAATGGGTACTGGTGCTCTACCCCGCCTGTCATAATTTCTCATCCAGTAGCTAAAATCAATGTACAAATAGGTACTGAACTTGTACTCAATTGTGCAGGCAATTCTAGCTTACCAATAATATATCAATGGAAAAAAGATGGAGTAGCATTACCAAATACTAATAGTCACAAACTAATGCTTGGCAACATGCAAGTATTTGATGAAGGTAACTACAGTTGTGAAGTAACCAATAATGTTGGCTCTTTACAGTCAACGAATTCTAGCGTACACATCTTCATTCTTCCTCAATTTTTCCAAGTACCATCATCAGTCATTACTTATTTAGGAGATGGTAATGGAGCTTATTTTACATGCAACGCTACTTCGAGGCCTGATCCTGGCTGGAAGTGGTATCACAGATCAGCTGTTAATAGACCTTGGAGAGAGATAATAGGAGAAGAGACAAATGAACTACTGATAAGAAACCCATCTTCATCTGATAAAGGAGAATACAGGTGTTTAGCTTATAATGATTTTGGTAATCTCTCATCAAATCCAGTTTCATTACGTCTCATATCAGTGACAGCAAAAGTACTGGCATATAACATAGATATATCAATGAAGGAGTTAAACAATACAGAACTATTAATGACTAATATTAGCGTGGAAGACCAGATCAGGAGTCAGTTTAAAGATGCTGTATTGTTTGGTAATGTAACACTATCACAGATTAGTATGAGAGAAGTATTAATTGATGAGTTATTGGTCAGTTTCAAACTGATTGGTCACAATGTAACCACTATCTCTGCAGCTGATACCACTCCACTTCAAGTTATTGTTGCTAACCTTGCAACATCTACACAGGAATTAGATAGGGTAAGGGATGAATTAAAGACATACTTAGAAAAATCTGAAAATTTTAAACTGGAATATAAAGACTCCAAATACCAGTATAGTGCTAACTCATTTGATCTAGACATGCCAGAAATTCAGTGCCCACCTGGCCAGGAGCTTTATTCTAACAGGTTTTTGTGCTGTAAGTTTTTGTGAACCTAAATTATAAGCTAAATAATGCTCTCAATTTTCCATTTAGCTGATTGTCTTGAAGGACAGGAGCAGATTATGAAAACCGAGAGTAGATTCACTATTGGTAGAGTTATTACTGAGAGAGTACCACGTTGTTCTCCTTGCCCTCTTAATACTTATCAAAATATAGGTGGAAGTGGACAATGTAAACCTTGTCCTATTAATCACATTACATTTATTACTGGTGCTGTATCAGTGGAGCAGTGTATAGGTTAGTTATTACATGTACTGTAGATGTTAATTTTGTCAGCCCGTATACATTAATATAGTTTTGTGTCTATAATGTAACTCATGTTGTTTATTATAGAATTGTGCTCAGTCAACCATTATTCACCTAATGGATTAATGCCTTGCAGGCCATGTCTCATAGGCACTTATCAACCTCAAACTGGTCAAATTGAGTGTCTTCCTTGTTTCTCAGAAGTTGATGATCCACTTTGTTCAAAAAGTAAGCAAAAATGCCCAAAATTGTCTCTTGGTATACTTCATCTCAGATCCTTGTGAACAGCCAATGGTTATTGGCTCTTGCAGTGAAAAGCAGCTCAAGTTTTATTATGACAAATCATCGCAACAATGTCAACCATTTATATACAGTGGCTGTGATGGTAGTGAGAACAATTTTAATTCACTCAATGAATGCTCTCAAAAATGTGGTGAGCTTCCCCATATTTAAATATGGACTGTCATTATTTCCCATTAATTTATAATTATTTCTAGGATGCCCACAGAATGAATCTATCATAACAGAATGTGATGCTGATCCATGTCTATCTAGTAGTTGTTTGTCTGCTCCTACTGCTCAGTGTTTTTCTGATAATTGTAGCAATTGTACCAGTAGATACTACTACAATGATCAAGAAGTCACTGATACATGCTGTAAGATACTAACAACTTATTGTCATTATTTTACTTCTTTGCCACTAGCTTGTAATAATGGATTGGTACCTGTTTCATGTTCATCACCCTGTCTCCCTACTTGTCAAATTCCTGAGCCAGTCTGCTCTCCATCTTTATCATGCATACCTGGCTGTGGCTGTCCTGATGATACAGTATATGATCAAACCAAGCAAACATGCGTTACTCCTCTCTCATGTGGTAAGTTAGTTTAATAATTATTTTGTGATTTTTATTTTGGTGTCCTTCCTTTTTCAGATACTTGTAGTCTTCCTCCCAATCCTGGTACATGTCATGGTATATTTCCTCGCTGGTTTTACAATGCTTCTTCTGAACGTTGTGAACTATTCAATTATGGTGGATGTGCTGGTAATAATAACAGATTTACCAGTCTACAGGAGTGCATACAATCATGTGGTATGTCAAATATAAATTTTAATACCATATAGCCGGAAAATTTCATGGTCAAAAACTTACATAGTTTTTGTGGTTTGGAATGATACCACAAAATTGAAAGCCACAAAATATTTGCAGGTTAATGAGAGGCGTGGGTACTTCACTGATGAACTAGAAAAAAAACCATGAATACCATTGGAGCCACCAAACCACAAAAGTTTTTTGCCTCAAACTTTCTGGGTATGTGGTAAACAACTTTTGTAGTCAAAATAGATGATCACAGTATCAGTAAAATTTATAATTAAAAAAAATTATAAAATTCATAAAAATCCAATTATGATCACAAATCAGCCCAAACTTTTTATGCAATAGGACGTGTATATAAAAGTATTAATGCGTCATATATAATAATGCTGAAATGAATCATTAAAATTAATTATGATAATTTTTACATTTTGTGTAGGTTGTGGCTCTAATGATGTTTCCGTGACTTGTACTAGTGATCTTTGTGAAACTAGCTCTTGTGAAGCTCACAGTAATTCAGTCTGTGAAGTTGATTCTTGTTCAAACTGTACTGTGAAGCATTATGTTGGACTAAAAGAAGTGACTAATCAATGTGGTACGTTGTCTAATTGTGTATTTTTGATAATCATTAATTTTCTTTATTTTATAATATATATCTCAATTTATTATGCTGTAAATTTTTGTAGATATTTGTGCACTTCCTCCTGATTCTGGTAACTGTAATGGATCCTTTAACAGATGGTACTTTAATAAAGCATCTGGTCATTGTGAACTGTTTGCTTATGGTGGTTGTCATGGAAATGGTAACAACTTTAAGTCTTTAAACACTTGTCTGCAAAAATGTGCCAGTGGTTAGTACTAATTTCAATTCAAAACGTAACTATGCATCTGTTTTTGTCTTTTTGTTTTTTAAAGGTGATAAGTTATGTGATGAAAGTGTGACAAGTGTTGAATGCTATTCTGATCCATGTGTAACTACTCATTGTCCTAATTATGATAATGCCGTTTGTATACCTAATCATTGTGGAGAGTGCTCTGCTCATTATTATAACAGCACAGGACATGATATAACAATGATGTGCAGTAAGTATTTTCACATTATACTAAGCTCATGAAAACTTCTTGGATATTGTACTTTTTTCATTGGCTGAATGTAGATGTAAAATACAGCTAGGGTCTAATATTGATATGGCTATTAATTATTGATGTATTTATTTTACAGGTGATTGTCCACCAGAACAACCTGCTGCAAAATGTCTTATTAATTTATGTGATCATAAAACATGTCCCAATTTACCACCAACTCAGTGTCTACTGGATGTATGTGGAGAATGTAAAGCACGTTATTTATGGAATAATGTTGATGTTACTGAATTTTGCAGTAAGAAAAAACATCTGTACACTTAAAACATTTTATTGAAAAGAATGTCTTGTAATTTATTCATTATCAGCCTTACATATTGCTCAAATGTGCTGAAAACCTTTGTTGTTTTTAGTGACATGCCCTGCTCAAGGTCAGATATTTAAGGATTGTGGTGGCTCCTGTGAAAGAACATGCAGTGACATATTATCACAAAAGCCATTTGTGTGCAGTAAACATTATTGTATACCAGGTTGTGCTTGCCCTGCAGGACAGGTAATAATATTTCTCTTATGGACCTTATTTTCTCACTCTTTGTTTTATAATTTCATTAGGTATTAGATGAAGGAAATAATAAATGTGTTTATCCAGAGCAATGTCCTTGTCAAAGATCATGTGACCCAATGCCTGAAAATTGTACTAGAATCTATTATGACAATTGTAATTGTCCATTATGTAGAGGTAAGTAATATAATATTATAACTGACATTGAATAGTTTGTACTATACAGTGTGTAAATTTATTCAGGCATTTTGGTATTTTTTAATCAAAATAACTAGCCAGTATTAAACTACTAGGGTACATTGATTGTTGTATGCATTTCTTAAAAGCATGCTACCTATATACTGTACATCATGCATACTTGATTATAAGCACTCATAGATATGAATACTGTATATGTGTAGCACTGTAGCTTGATAAAAGTATTACTTTATAATTGTTATTGTATACACAGATTGCCCTATTACTGGTCAAGAGTATAATGAAGTTTCAGCATACTGTCCAAAGACTTGCTCTAATCCTCACCTTTTGTGTGCTGGTGAAGGACAGCCTGGCTGCTCCTGCCCATTGGGTCAAGTGATTGATGAAATGAACAATCGTTGTGTACAGCTTAAAGACTGCCCTAGTAAGGAATTGAATGAGAGAGGACAAAAGGAAGAAGTTACATGCTTTTATTTATAGAACCAGATCCATGTACATTAGCACCAGAAAGAGGTCCCTGTACTGCTAGTATTACAAGATACCATTACAATGTCACTAGTCAAACTTGTGAGCAGTTTTCATATGGCGGTTGCTTCCCTAATGAAAATAATTTTTTTACTAAACATGACTGTGAAGAGAAATGCAGTGGTAGGTTTTTGCTTGACTCTTGGTATTATAATAATAATATTAACCAGTAATTTTTAAATATTTACTAATAAGCTGTCTTCCTAATAATTTTATAGATTGTTATCCAGTATGTACTCCAGAATATTGTGCAATAAAAAGAGGAGGAACATGTTCTGTGTAAGAGATACAAAATCACATATGACTGCCAGTCACATATTCTTTTTCAGGCCCTCATCTCCTCCTGGCAGTACTCAAGGGTGTCCTGGAGGATGTGCTATATCTAATTGTGGTGCTTGTTATTATTCATATAATGATCTACCATTCCCTCCATTACCTGGTTCTTGTCCTAGTGTGTGTCCATTTGTCAATGGTCAAGTGGATGAGTCCTGCATGGCAAGATGGGGACGCTGTGTGCAGAGATCATACTTTAACATTTATAAATCTGTAAGTATCTGTATTGTTGCAAATTAGTGACTTTTATTAGGTTTCTGAGCGTGAGCAGTTTAAAGAAAATTTTCGTTGCTGGTCACATCAATGTACTAACTAGACTGCTAACAATTAATTAATTTCTTTAAGTTTTTAGTGAAAATTAGTGGTAGTGGAAAGTTTGCAGTGTAGATCTTCTTTAATTTTGTTTGCAAAATTCAAAAAACTAACTTTTGATACTAGAATGGGCGGGGCTAGGAATCATGGCAGCCATGGAAGCCCCAGCTGACTTTCCTTTTCCCTTCAAGCCGTATAGTATTCAAACTGATTTCATGAGGAGTCTCTATAGTACACTAGAGGAAGGTAAAGTTGGACTTTTTGAAAGCCCAACAGGGACGGTGAGTATAAATTAAAATGGGATATTGGGATAGGTAGTTACTGTGAGGAGATTGGTTAGAAAAAAATCCATCAATGAAGTAACTAGTATTTGTGTGGTTTTTCATAGGAGTTCATGAAGTGTCTCATTTAACTTAGCACACTTTGTAGAAATCCCCATTTTATCAAGATTAATTTTATTAAAAAAGAAAATGCCTTAATTTTTGTTACATTTTCTGGTACATGCATGCTGTTATGTGCATAGAAAGTTAATTTTTTGAATTTTTGGAAATGCATTTTTTTTATCAAAATGCTTGTCAGCTCATAAAGCTTGATGTTTAGTTGTTTTGCATTACATGTAGTTGTTTTTTGCTTGCTGTTTTGTATTTCTGTATAGCTGGAAAAGTTTGCTGGAAGTATTTCGCAATTTTCTACTAATAGAGCTAATTTTAATGTATGTTGAATTGAATTTTGCTGGGGTAGGTGTGTACTGTTGATACACCCATTACCTATTTGCTGAATTAAATTGTGCTTTTTTAAAATTAATGCATTTCCAGGTATACAGTATCTCTGTTTATTTTTGCTGGTAATCTGGTAATAATGTGTGTTATTATTGTTAGGGTAAATCATTGAGTATAATATGTGGTTGTTTGAAGTGGTTAATGGATCATCAAGAGAAAGAGACCAAGAGATGTGAAGCTATCTTGTCTGGTGACGTTTCTGTACTACCTCTTAGTGATAAAAATGAGAAGAAAAGTAAGTTAGTTATTAGTACTATTAATAGACTCATGTTTACATGTAAGTATTTTAAATATATGTAGTTGCATTGTTATTTGCATGAGCCTTGCACAGATGAAGTTTTTTTGTACATCTACATTAACTTATTTGTATAAAATGTGTTCCATTCTCCTTTTCATGAAAAAAGTACAACATTGTAATTCTGAATCTGAAGACACTGATCATAAACTTGCCTTCTTCTCTTTTATTACGGCATTATAGGTGTAGTTGATGATTGGTTTGCTGAATATGATCAACGTAAGAGGCTAAGAGATGAAGCATTTAAAATGAAGGTATTGCTATTTACATGTAGACACACTATGCTACAATAGCCCTCATTTCTCTTAGTTAGCAGCTGACAAGAGGAAGCAGAGACAAGAAAGGATTAGTTTATTGAAGGAACGTTATGGAACATCTCTTTTTAGTAAAAGACAAGCAACAGTTAAAAATGAAAAGGTACTACATGTACTCCATGTAAACTAAATAAACAAAATTTTGGTAATATGTAATGTTTTATTGCATCATTCAGTACTATTCTGTGCAACTGATATTTAGGCATTTGTTTTAACACAATTTATTCACTTGTTAGATGTCAATTACTGATGAGCAAGTTACAGTAGCGTCATCAGCAGACAATGAATTGCTATTAGATGAATATCATAGTGATGATGAGCATATGGAGCATAATGATAGGTATGTGAGGGAGAGACTGAAATAATAGTTGTAATGTACATGTAGTTAATGTAGTTGTAATAGTTGTGTAGCCCTAATATTTCATTGTCTTAAATTTTGTCACTTTAAGAAAAATGTAAATATTATTCAAAATAAAATTTGTTATGCTGAGAGCAGACCAGATGGTCAAAGCATCAAGGCGTTGCATCAGAATTTTTCCCATCTTAAGTATTTTTAAACAGAGATGTTTCTAACACTAATGCTAGTAAGACACATGTTGTTCTCATGTATGCCCGCAAATGATTGAAAATTTTGTTGTCTAAATTTTTTGATTTTTGGCAACTACTGACGAAAATGACACAATTTATTTGTGACGAAATGTTGGGGCTATATGGTATTAGATTTATTAATTTTGTTCTATTTGTAGTTTACATGTACATGTATATTTTTATTTGATATTTATCATTGTCATAATACATTATTTCTATAGTTTTGAATCTGATTGTGATATTGAGGATGAAGATCAGACTGTTAAAGTATTATTTTTGTTTACAAATTTATTTACAATAATTATTAATTATTTAGATATTTTATGCTAGTAGGACACACTCTCAATTGACTCAGTTTGTTCACGAGGTTAAAAAAACTTCTTACAAGGACACTGTGTCTGTGATTCCACTTGGGTCACGTCAGACATGCTGCCTGAATAAAAGTGTAACAAAATTGCAGTCAATCAGTCTCATTAATGAAAGATGCATCGAACTACAAAAAAATAAGAAAAAATGTAAGAAAAATGGAACCCTCATTATTACATTTATTGTATGGTATGTTGGATCAGTGATGTATAGTTACCTTTGGCCTTGTGCCAGCATTTTATATGCAACTAGATGTGCATAGTACTGACTTGTACAATGTACATGTAGGGGATGTTATCCTTCATTATTTTAATGTAGCATCAACTCGTGATAATGATACTGTGAAGACAAAGAGACACAGAACAGTTAATAGTGATGGCTGTGATTATTATAAATTAAATAATATTGAAACAATGAGAGATCTGGCATTAGTAAGAAATAATTATTTGATTATTTATTATTATTATTATTAATTTTTATTATCATTTGGATAGGATGAAATACAAGATATTGAGCAGTTGGTTACATTAGGTAGAGATATATCTGGTTGTCCTTATTATGCTACAAGATACGCTGTACCACACGCTCAAGTAATAAATGTGACTATATACTTTATTACATTTATTTTATTTCATTTTATTTATTTATAGCTAATTGTACTTCCTTATAATATTCTTCTTCATTCTAATACACGTGATGCTGTTGGTATTAAATTGAAAGGAAATATTGTGATTATTGATGAAGCACATAATCTTATAGATACAATATCATCAATACACTCTGTACATATCACAATGCATCAAGTAAGCAGCTACTGCATTTCCTGTATTGTTTCACTGTATTATTAATTTATTAGATACAAAAGACTCATTCTCAATTATTACAGTATAGAGATCGCTATCAGTAAGTACATGTAATCCTTTTGCTGTTATCATTAATTTATGTAGATCAAGACTCAAAGCAAAGAATCTTATGTATATTGATCAAATATTGTTTGTTTTAATTTCATTCCAAAGACTCCTTACCCGTTCCTCTGATACTCCTAATCCTCATACCAGTACTGGCACTATCAATCAATCCCAACAAGGTAGTATGCTAGTCATGTACTACTTTTGAAACCGTAATAGCATCAATATCAGTATTGCCTGCATGTACATGTGCTCCAATGCATTGACTAATTTTGTTTTAGAGCATTGTGAGTTGGTGAGACTAAATGAGTTCCTTCTAAAAGCAAAGATTGACAATATAAACATGTTCAAGGTCAGACAATCACACACACACACACACACACTATTTTTAATTATTATTATAAGTTACTAAAACAAGCTGCCCATAATTAGAGTGTTGGTAGTTGATACCAAACATTGCAAATGTATTTGATTGTCAAACTGCCTAATAGTATAACAGAAGTTTGCTGTAGTAGAATACATATAAATAAATGTATATTATTAATTTTCGACATAATAAATTATTTATTCTATAGTTATTACAATATTGCAAGAAGAGTCAGATTGCTAAGAAAGTTAGTATATAAAATTGCGTGTTATAATTATCATGATTATTAGTTGAATGGATTTGCTGAAAGTTATCAAAGAGATGAAGCCACTATTAAAGATGATATAGGTGCTAATACTAGTTCCAGTGTTGTAAGACACCAAGGAGATATTGATAGAGATGGCATTAGATCTCCTCTAATGATAATCCAACAGTTTATAGAATCATTAACGACTGCTGATCAAGACTGTCGTATTGTTATTAAGCAAAGTAATGGTTAGTTTACTAATTACTGTGTAGTTGGTGTGTGCTAAATAAATTAGTGAATATGATACAAATGGTACCTCTAATGGGTTATAAGAGTAGGATATAGCTTCTGTCATAATTATAAAAATAGAAGTTGTATAATTAGCAGAAGTTTATTATAACAATTTCTCCAAAAAAATTTTGCAGCCAGGTATTGTATGGCTGGTCATATATAAAGTAAATGCCATATAGCACAAAATTTTTGAGGGCTGCAAATGTTGCTGATTTTACGATTCTTTGAAGATTCACAAAAAATTACTTCCATGGAAATCAAATTATTGTGACACAAGATGGCAGACAGATTTTAGGCAAATTCGTGAAATTCACAGCCCTCGAAAATTTTGCCCTAACTGTGCTTGACATGTTGATAATTAATAAAATTAAAACTTCTTATATGTAATTGTAAGTACATGTATATATTTTGTAGATTCTTCCAGCCAATCAAGCTTGAAATACTTGTTATTGAACCCGTCAGTTCACTTCACTGATATTGTAAAAGAGGCTAGAGCTGTTGTTCTTGCTGGAGGTACAATGCAACCAGTGAGCATCTAGTTTTTATACATTGTACAAGCATATAATTAATTTTTGCACAAATAAAATAATATTCATTTTATTTTTTGGTACTGAGAAGTGAGAACATACATGTATGGAACGATCAAAACCCATATCACATTATTGCATCTACGTGTATATACATTGTAGTTCTCATTTTATATTTTAGTTTTCTGATTTTAAAGAGCAACTCTTCACTGGAGCTGGTGTTCCTATTGATAGATTCTTTGAATTCTCTTGTGGTCAGTCTTCTTATTGTTGTTGTTGTCGTTGTTGTTTATTGTTGTTGTTCTCTTTATATCATTGCTTTATAGGTCATGTGATAGGTGATGATCAACTCCTCCCCCTCACTCTTAGTAAAGGTACCAGTGGATACACTTTTAACTTCAATTATGAACAAAGACAAGACAAACAAATGGTAACCAACAATCCATAGTATAACCATGTAATTACAGATGTACAATGTCATGTATTATAGATAATAGAATTAGGAAGAACTATTAGTAATATTGTGACCATTGTTCCTGGGGGAGTTGTCTGTTTCTTTCCTTCATATGAATATGAAAAGCTCGTCTTTAATATTTGGGAGAAGAATGGACTGCTAGATAGAATTGCAAATAAAAAACAAGTGAGTTATCTGCATACAATACGGAGTTTCAATACAAAATTTTCAGAGAGATACATTGTATGTGTATGTACATGTATATCTTGGGTACATGTAAATGTACATGTACATGATATATAGAATGAGAAGGATCGTCAGACCCATTTGTATATACTTCTCTCTATAATGTTCATTGCAAGTACAATTCATTCATGAGTTAGATTATCACATTGTAATAATTGTGTGTTTGTAGATATTTAGAGAACCAAAACTGGCGAGTCAGGCTGAACTGGTGTTGTCTCAATATGCAAGATGTATTGAAGTATGTAGACTATAAATTACTTATTAGCAGGGCTCCCACAGGGTTTTGACATTGTTCTCTGCAAGTTCTTGTAAGCAGATTTTGAAGTTGATCAGAAATTTGACACAATATCATATACCGTACTCGCCCCAATTAATGCACCCTCCTAATTATTGCACCTCTACATGGCTTCCACAATGAAAAATTTCTTTTGTGGTCAAGATAATTATTTTTGAGAGATGCATTGTAATTAGAAAGTTCCATTGTTTACAGGTGTGTTGCTTACTTAGCTAAGCACCTCTCTAAACAAGCACCTCCTGGAGCATTTCATAATTGTTTCTATTAAGCAATGCACCACCTGAGACATGTAATTATTAAGAGGTGCATTAAGATAATCAAAAGTGAATTTCTAAAGTTGCCCTAAAGCTGTTATACATGTGCTTATCAACTCACGAAGCATGCTTTGTGGTAAACCCTGCTTATTAGTGATATACATGTACCATATTATTTGTTTCTACCAAGCAAAATTTGTTTTTGCTTTTCCATGTCATATCTTGTAATAGTATAATGGAGGTATATCAGTCAGCAGTCTAACTGGTGCATTGATGTCTTGTGTTGTTGGTGGAAAATTAAGTGAAGGAATCAATTTCTCTGACAATTTGGGAAGGTATGCAATATTACATGTACATTTGCATGTAATTAAATGATATATTTACCTTATTTCCCTCAAAGTAAAGCCCAGGCATCTATTTCTTAAATTGGCTTTTGAATCTAAAATAAAAATCATCTGAAAACTTTGGACAATGTGACCTAATGCAAAGAACTTTTCTAACACTATGCATGTATCTACAAGACACAGATAGTATTTTAAGACTAGATTTACATGTTTATAGATTATAGTTGTTTATCTGTACCCGGCTTTTATTTGAAAGTAATTACATTATTGTTGCATGCTTTATTTCTTTATCTTTGGTATGTATAAGTACCAGTATTGATGTTATGTTCACATGAAGTTGAATCAAATTTGAGAGTAGACGAGAATGATAGGTTATTATTATTATTAAATTATTATTATTATTATTATTATTATCAAAGGTGTGTAATTATGGTTGGCCTTCCTTATCCTAATATTAAATCACCAGAGCTTATTGAGAAAATGGAATATCTTAATTCTACTCAGGTACATTAATATTGTTCATTCTTAAGTTCATATAATATTTGTTTGTGTTCACTTCTCCATTCTCTACTTTCTGTAGAAAGTTGATGTCAGTAGTAAGTCTCCAGGTCAGATGCATTATGATAATCTGTGTATGAAAGCTGTCAATCAATCAATTGGTAGAGCTATCAGACACGCTAATGATTATGCTACTATAATACTGATAGATCAGAGGTCAGTTAGAACACATCATTGTTTTAGTTAGTAATAATCATTATGAACTGGTTAATAATCAAAAACTGTTAATTTTATAATCATAATGATAAATGTACTTAAAAGTTACTATTTATGTGTATACTCTTGCATTAGTATTGTTGTGCATTGTAGATATTCACATCCATCAGTTTATAGTAAACTTCCAAACTGGATATCATCACAGTTATTAATTACTACATCCTTTGGCCAGTCATTCAGTGCTTTAAGAAAGGTAGTTACATGCACATATATACAGTACATTATAGCAGTTTGCTTATTGTTTATGTACATGTATTATAGCATTGTATTGCTAAGCCTTTCAGTTCATTACTGACAGTTTTTTTAATGATGTGTGTAGTGATTAGTAGAGACATTTTGTAGCTAAAGGATTTTGTTAATAGTATAATCAGGAGCTGTCGTGGTATGACATTTATGCTTATTTGCTAATCATGCACATCTCTTCATAAGTGTACTCAGTCTTAATTAAATTTTTATAAAAGTAGACCATTTCTATTTGGCATTTTTAAGTTACAAATTCGAGCCCTAGCTCTTCTAATCCACTTAACTTAATAATTAGTGCATGGCAGTGCAGTATTTTTACAGCTCATGTATTAAAACTGAAAATGTTCTTTGTCTAAACTTTTTGTTGATACTGTCATACTTGTAGAGTAGTGACTCTTTCATTTCTTTATTTTTTAGTTTTTCTTATCAAAAAAGAACAAGTGATCTAATGAACTGCGCCAATAATAAACAATGACATTAATTTTATGTATGTATAGTAATGAATGTCTTTGTCTTCTACATTTTATACATGTGGCACAAGTGATGTCCTTCCTCTTGCTTATAATGAACATTATGTATCGTCAAACACCACTAAACTACCATTTTTCAATTTGCCAATCTAAAAGAGCACACTTGGCTGATGCTATTATTTATAGTGTAAATTTGAAATGTATATATGCAGTTCACTGGTCCAAATGCTATAGACTACTGGTATTGTAGATATCTCTGTTTTCACCACTATATCACGAAGGGACTCCATACCATAGTAGAAGTAGAACTTCCCAGACAAAACTGAGTTTTCTGTCCTATTTAGAGAATGTCAGAGAAAAGATGAAGACAGGCAGAAAAATGTCTAAGTCATAAATAAAATTCCCAGGTAAAAAAGGATGCATCTACCAGCGTATTGGATTACCTGTACTATTAATAACCTCTCTGCTAATAATTTATTTTGCAAGTTCAAGAAATTGCAAGTGTTGTTATTATTAACTTTTGTTTATGTTTAGGTTGGTCAATTGCCTAATCTTGTTGTGACTTCTGCTGTTTATCTTTGTCTATTATTAGAGTCTGGAATGTACATGCATTAAATATTATGCCAAATACTGCAATTATTATTATGTACTGTTGTCTATTAATAATATCCACTTACCCAACCTTTCCCTCTTACCTTAAACTTATACTCATTTTTGCTCTAATTAAGAACTTCTTAACATTTTTGATATTCCCAATCCCAACAAAGTAAGATTAAGATCTCATAGTTTTTACATTATTTGATTAGAATGAAATTGATCCTATGATACTACCTGGGACTTCAGATTAATATTTATCTCAGCCCTCACACTTCACTTGGAGAGGGAAGGGGTGAAGCCCTGACTATTGTACACCATTTTCTTTAAGCCTGTAGTAAGATACAAGCTTAAAGAAAATGGTGTACAATAGTGGTTTAGTCTTAGAAAGTCTTAAGGATGCATGTGTTGATTATTTGAGTTCCATTGCTGTAATTCACACTCTAAATGAGGGCTAACTGAGAGAAAGTTGCCAAAATTACAATTATATACACGTACATTTTGTTTATTATAGCTAGTATTTAGTGGCACCACAGCATTTACAATATCTATTGAATTATCATAAAAGAATAAAGTCTACGAAACCATATAATTTTTTGTTATTGATTGGTGCTTTCAGGTCATAGTGTGCAACTGTGCATGGTGGTTGTTGTTACATTGTCTTACAATAACATCAATGAGTGGTATTGTATGATGGTGTCTTGTATTTTGTATATAGTCTTTTGAGAAAAGGAAGCCACCCATAAAGGCTTTTCTTCACCTTTGGGTAAGTGGGAATAAGTGCTTCAAAAACCTTTATACCTTTCCAGGCCCTCCCTTTCTGTTGCCTTTTCTCCCTCTTTCTTCTCGGTGCTGCTGTGAAAATGCTCAGTCATTCACAGTATACAAGCAGCAATCAGTAATACATGCATGTATAGACTAAGGGCAGCTGATTCTAAAGATAGATAGACAGTCCTGGGTCTCCCATCCTTTTTAAGTTTTCTATCCTTTTCATTTAATAGTTTACAATATAATGCTAGGATAGCGTATTGTCAATTTTGGATCAAAAGCGTCGGTGAGTTGACCTTTGGTGCTGCTCTACTCTATTCCAGCTCCAACGTAACAAGCATAATATTATAAATTAGCCTTTACTCTAATGTCTGTGCTAGCACGAAGACAATAATGAACCATACCCACTATTATCATAACATGACAAAGCCATAAATAGAACTATAACTAAGAACTACAACAACACTAGTACTGATTACAGTTCACCCATCTTCATCGTCCTGCTCTGCATCAGCATCAAACAACTGGACCCTCCTACCACCATTGGATACCTACAGAAATACATGTACATCAGTCATACAATGTAAGCAGAGATACTAGATAAAGTTATTGAGAGTAGTAGACCAAACAAAGGCCCAGTACTATAGTACAGAGTATTCAGTTTACCATCCATTTTACAATCTTTCTAATTATACATGCTCTTATATGTTACGTAGAAATTTGAGCTGATTCCCATCAAAATTGAATTTTTATGATTTTAAAAAGTTGCTTAGAATCAGACCAAAACCGATGTATCATAATACATTGTCTTCAGCCAAATTTCACCAAAAATTGCAAGGAGAGAACTTTCCATTTTGCAATTTTCCCTGATATACTTAATGAAAATTGAATTTTTAAGATAACATTTAAAATGCTACGTCAAGATCACAAAGTAAAAATTTTAGTCATTTGAAAAAAATCCTACTTTCCATTACATTTTGATCAATTAGCACAGAGTGAATCCCACTCAATCTTTATTTAATTTGAGCAAATTTTGAAGAAACTTAAAGAATTCATAAAAAATCCAGTTTTGCCTCACATGCAGTGACTCTAATCATAGAATTCACATATATACCTCTGTGTCTCCATTAATTTTTTCACTTATTGTTAATATTCTTGTTCCACCACTTTTGTAATCAAGGTATGCTGGTATATTATTCGTTTTGGTCCTTCTGACAATGAATGCATCTAAAAATAGCAACACAAATAGTGTTTAACTTGAATCAAGTGCTAACGGGGTCTCACTTGATGCAGTAGTTCTCAGATTTCTATTGAGTGATTGGATAGTCTAAAAGTTAATGGTAAGTAACAGTGTGATTCTGAAGAGTTTTACTTGCATCCTGAATGAATTGTGAGCACTGAAACGGATGCCAGTATGATACAGCCTTGACGCCATTGTTTAATGTTTAACCACGTGGGAAGGCTTGTATCAAAACATGTATTATTATTATTATGCAATTTAAGCACAAATCATACTATTATTGTTATTCAAAGATCATAAGATAAATAAGATCAGAAAATCGCAAAATTCACTGGCACTGTACTCAGTACACTAAGAGCAAGTTATTTGCTCCAGAAACTCCCTCATGTGGATGATGTGGCATGTGCTGGTTTGTTACTGAATTCAGGAAAGTCCATTGTACCTAGAAACTACAACCAGGGATAGATTATGCCAATGAAGAAAATCAATAATTATGTGATATTTATGGTAATTTAGTTTTTGACAATTAAAACACCACATTTTTCTACTATAATTGTTAAAAATTACTTGGTCATATTACTGGATCATGCCAAATTATTATGACTATCCCAGAATGCATCATCATCTCCCTATAGTGAATCACATGAGAGTCACATGATCAATGCAAACTGTCATTTACCCATATGAGAAGAACAGGAATATTAATTGGTTTAGAAGGACCTTTCTTTGAGCATATTACAAATATAAATGATAGAAGGTGTCATTGAGTTCTTTCCTTAACTGAAGTCTGAAAGTGTATTTGAAAGCCTCAAGGATTTCATCTGAGAAATTATATTTATTACGCAGGCCCTGTGGTGATAGAAGGATAAGGGGCACACACATTTATTCCCATATACTTGTACACGCTGAACCTTCTTTGCCATTCATCTCTCTCAATGTCTTACTCCTTTTTTCTTCTATAGATTGCATTGAGCATATCAAAGTCACCCACTGAAATGAGAATAATAATAACAACAACAACAACAATAATAATAATAATAATAATAATAATAATAATAATAATGTACTACTGGTATACCAATCGTGTCTTAATTATTAATAGTATAGTTCATTACAGCATCTGGTTTATCACCTTCACCATATCCTCTAAAAATGATAACTCGAAAGTTATGCCATTTTTAAAAATGCTATAATAGCCCATGCTTTTTCCCAAAAAATGGTCCAAAATTACCTTTAACTTTATACATTTTCTGATGCATATTGATGTCCTTATGCTATATAGAAAGTCTGACCTGATTCTGAGGTCAAATGTTTGAGTTATGGCCACTTACAAAAAATGAACCAATTTGGAATCACCTTTAACTTTTTACATTAAATATTAGCCAATTAATTTTGGAGTAACAAAATGACCACAATTTTGATTACATTTTCTGCTACGTAGAAAGTTTGAGCTGATTCTAACTGAAACTTTTGAGTTATGGCTACATTAAAAATAGTTCATACCCTACATATAGCCCATGTTTTTAGTCAAGGGTCATTAGAAAGTGTATATATAATGTAGGTGCATTGGCACCCAAAGTTGAACAAGATACACTCACTAATAGAGCAAATCTGTCAAAATAATAGCAAGTACATACTGTATTGCGGGAAAATTTCATGGCCTAAAATTTTGCGGATTTCGTGTTTTTTCAAAATTCACGAAAATAAAATTAGTGAAAATCAATTTAATACAGTTCGAAATGGCCAAAAATTAAAAAACCACAAAAATTAAAGCTACGAAATTGACTTTTAGATGGATCCACGAAAATTTTGGGCCATGAAAATTTCCCACTACGCAGTATAGCCTATAATTATGCACCCACAAGTTACTATTAATACTAGACTAGAATAGAGACACCAATCAATCAATATGTCTTTTGTTGTATATCACATACCTCATGTCAATGGCTACCACACGATACTAATTACAGAATTCTTTCAACTGATAATGCCAAAAATAATGATTGTAAATAACCTTTAAATAAGAAAGAAATGGCGGTATTACAATATTATATATGCCGTGTACATTATACCTGATTATGTATCATCCATGAGTAACAGTAGCAGATAGGATGATATTGATGATATGTGAGAAAATGATGAAGATAAGGGTATATCAAGATCTTTCTCTGATGCACTGAATCAAAAAAGAACCAACAGCAGCATGCTGGCAAGGTCCTTTCTAAGGAAGAACCTTTTGCTCTAAAATTTTGATACTTAAAATTAAAATGCCATTAATTGAAACTCTGTACATGTATTTCATTACTTGATGATCTTGCTTTCATTGACTTTAATATCTATGCTAGCGCTAAAGGGGAGGGGACAATGATGAACCATACCCACTAGTTATAATAACATGAGTGTAAAAAAGCTATAGAACTATAGAACTAGAACTATTACTAAAACAAAATGTTGAACTAGAACAATACTATAGTACTAATAAGCTATAGTTCAACCATCTTCATCGTCCTGCTCAGCATCAGCATCAAACAACTGGACCCTCCTACCACCATTGGATA